AGGCAAGTATGTATAAATCTGGCCAGCTTACCTGCAGAGGGGTCCCTACGGGATGGCAAGTATGTATAAGTCTGGCCAGCTTACCTGCAGAGGGGTCCCTACGGGAAGGCAAGAATGTATAAATCTGGCCAGCTTACCTGCAGAGGGGTCCCCACGGGAAGGCAAGAATGTATAAATCTGGCCAGCTTACCTGCAGAGCAGTCCCCACGGTGAGGCAAGAATGTATAAATCTGGTAAGCTTATCTGGAGAGGGGTCCCCATGGGAAGGCAAGAATGTATCAATCTGGCAAGTTTACCTGCAGAGCAGTCCCCGCGGTGAGGCAAGAATGTATAAATCTGGTAAGCTTATCTGGAGAGGGGTCCCCATGGGAAGGCAAGAATGTATCAATCTGGCAAGTTTACCTGCAGAGCAGTCCCCGCGGTGAGGCAAGAATGTATTAATTTGGCCAGCTTATCTGGAGAGGGGTCCCCATGGGAAGGCAAGAATGTATAAATCTGGCCAGTTTACCTGCAGAGCAGTCCCCACGGTGAGGCAAGAATGTATAAATCTGGTCAGCTGACCTGCAGAGGGGTCCCCACGGGAAGGCAAGTATGTATAAATCTGGCCAGCTTACCTGCAGAGGGGTCGCCACGGGATGGCAAGAATGTATAAATCTGGCCAGCTTACCTGCAGAGGGGTCGCCACGGGATGGCAAGAATGTATAAATCTGGTCAGCTTACCTGCAGAGGGGTCCCCACGGGAAGGCAAGAATGCATAAATCTGGTCAGCTTACCTGCAGAGGGGTCGCCACGGGATGGCAAGAATGCATAAATCTGGTAAGCTTACCTGCAGAGGGGTCCCCACGGGATGGCAAGTATGTATAAATCTGGTAAGCTTGCCTGCAAAGCAGTCCCCACGGTGAGGCAAGAATGTATAAATCTGGCCAGCTTACCTGCAGAGGGGTCCCCACGGGAAGGCAAGTACGTATAAATCTGGCCAGCTTACCTGCAGAGCAGTCCCCAAGGGATGGCAAGAATGTACGAGGGCCATTCAATATATACCCAGCCTAAGCTATTTATCAGATCTTAACGGTTGCACGCTTGTCACGTGCTGTGCACCAATGTATGTCACGTGCATAGACAAAGTTTCACTGAGGAAATTGTATTTGAAGTCACACACGTGATCTATAAAGATGGTAAGGGTAGATTCTGCCAAACTTTCGTCAAAGGTTGAATACAGGGCTGTTATTAGGTACCTCTACTTAAAAGGGAAACCGTGAAAGGAGATACATGATGAATTGTCAGATGTTTATGGAGACAGTGCACCTTCGTATGCACAGGTCAAATTCTGGGTTGCAGAATTTAAGAGGGGTCGGGTGAACCTGGAAGATGAGGCACGCCCTGGCAGGCCTGTAGAGATGACCAATGACCAAACCAGTGAAGCTGTGAGACAACTGGTTGTCAACATCTTCCCGAGGCAAGTGAGTTAACTGACTATAAAAGTCCAGTTTCCACCCTTGCCGAACTAGGCTGGTATTATGGAGTTACATTTTGGCTGGGCTAACGAGTCTATGCATAGTCCAATCAAAATCGCGCACCGAAATCGAAATCCGGTTCGTAAACTGTCATGCAGATTTCGGTCGACTGCAGGATTTGCAAAGCACATGCACGGCTAGCTCGTTGTCAACAGACATTTTCTAAATCTTTTCATGTTTTTAATCAAGTCGCTGACGAGATTTCATGCACTTCGCGATGTAAGACTCGTTTTATCACAATATTGATCTTGATTATCGTTCAGATCGTCTTGACTGGGCGCCACCGTTTTGTTTGAAGCAAATGCAAGTGATACCAGAGGTTGAATCTGATTGGTCAATAGAAGAGGCATAGAAAGGCCATAACTCTTAATAGCCACTTGTGGCGCTACGATCGAGCCCAGGAATTCCAGCCTAGCTTGGCAAGGGTGGAAACTGGACTTTGAAAGTCAGTTAACTCTCTTGCCTCGGGAAGATGGTTGTCAAAGACAGGCGAATGAAGGTGTCAGAAATGGCCGAGGCCTTGGACATTTCAGAGGGAAGTGTCCATACCATTTTGCATGATCGTCTGGGTATGAGGAAGCTGTCTCCCCGATGGGTCCCGAAATGTCTGAGTGATGATCAGAAGGCTGTACGTGCGTCAATGTGTCAGGCACTTTTGACGCAATGCAGTCGGGATGCAGACAACTTTATAGAGAGAATTGTTATGGTGATGAATTCTGGGTACACCACTATGACCCAGAAACCAAAGAACAGAGTAAGCAGTGGACTGGCTTTGCTTCACCCCGTCCCAAAAAGTTTAAGACTCAACCATCGGCTGGCAAAGTCATGGCAACCATCTTTTGGGATACCAAAGGGGTCTTGCTCATTGACTACTTGCCACGTGGCCAGATTATTACTGGAGAGTACTACTCCGATCTCCTGGGCCGTTTGCGGACTGCTATTATAAATCTGGCCAGCTTACCTGCAGAGGGGTCCCCACGGGAAGGCAAGTGTGTATAAATCTGGCCAGCTTACCTGCAGAGGGGTCCCCACGGGAAGGCAAGAATGTATAAATATGGCCAGCTTACCCGCAGAGCAGTCCCCACGGGAAGGCAAGAATGTATAAATATGGCCAGCTTATCTGGAGAGGGGTCCCCACGGGAAGGCAAGAATGTATTAATCTGGCCAGCTTACCTGCAGAGGGGTCCCCAAGGGGAGGCAAGAATGTATAAATCTGGCCAGCTTACCTCCAGAGGGGTCCCCAAGGGGAAGCAAGAATGTATCAATCTGGCCAGCTTACCTGCAGAGGGGTCCCCAAGGGGAGGCAAGAATGTATAAATCTGGTTAGCTTACCTGGAAAGGGGTCCCCAAGGAGGCAAGAATGTATAAATCTGGTTAGCTTATCTGGAGAGGGGTCCCAAAGGTGAGGCAAGAATGTATAAATCTGGTTAGCTTATCTGGAGAGGGGTCCCAAAGGTGAGGCAAGAATGTATAAATCTGGTTAGCTTACCTGGAGAGGGTCCCCACGGGAAGGCAAGAATGTATAAATGTATCACTTAGAGCTTCCTTTCCAAACACAAGCCCTGAAATACTGTTTAAATTGGAGTAAAACCAAACTCACCCACTCACATTCCAAAACGCACAAGGAAGGTTAACAGCCTTGACAAGTCACTTTGGTCAGTCTTCTAGCATCTTTCTTCATGTTTCTTGGTGAAGGCACGATGTAGACGTTAACAGTCCAGTATGTCGGACTTTTTTTCAAACAAGTAAAGTTTGGTTTTCAATATTGTAGTACATGTATGGAATCAAGTAACAAAAACGCAACTGCAACAGAGAGACCCATGCATTTCACTACCCAAGAATGGGTATAAAAACATGTGCGTTAACGGGATTCCATATGCATTGTTTAGCATCGTGCTGACAACAACCTGTCAGAAAAACAACAAAATTACGCAATTATTCAACATTACGAAATGCCACGCCTGTCCGAAAATGAGCGTCTGCGTCTGCATGGACGGCCATGCAGTGGGGACAAGTTCTATTCACTGACGAGCCTCATTTTCACCTCAGCCACAACGATGGACGGATTTGAGTGTACCGACGTCGAGGTGAACGTTACGTCAATCATTGTGTCATGAAAGAAGATCGGTTCGGGGGCGGCAGCGTTATGGTATGGGGTGGGATTACAGCAAGATAGAGGACCCGTTTGATAGTGGTAGAGGGATATCTTAATGGACAGCGCTACCGCGACGAGATCATCGGCCCTGTTGGTCTACCGTTTTTGTGTCGTCATAGCTAAGGGATTTCCTTTCAACATGAAAACGCCCGGCCTCAAAATGCTCGACTTGTTCAGAATTCTCTTCAACAAAACAACGTGAATGTCATCCCCTGGCCGGCTCGCTCCCCTGATCTCTCACCAATCGAGCACATGTGGGATGAGACGGATCGGCGCCTGCGACGTCAAACACTCCAGGAACTTCGAAACATGCTCCAGCAGATATGGACAGATATCCCACAGGACTTTTTGCGACGCCTGGTCCATTCCATGAGACGAAGATGTGTTCCTTGCATCGCAACCAGAGGTGGACACACACGCTATTGATTTGTAAATTGACATTTTGGCATGTTCATGGTTTTTTTATGAAATCACGCATTTTCTGAAGTCACTATGGCAAATTAAACCATTTGAACATTTACAGGACTCATGTATCTGTTGCAAACCGAAATTGTTCCAGATTTGCATTAAATCTTATTCAATGTCACAGGAACTTTTGTTGTTCAGTATATTACAAATCAGAATTACAGGTGAGGATTCTGTTTGATAGCGCCATCATAAAAAATTCATCTATGTAACTGTGGCCTATAAATAATTGGCTCTGGACAAGGAAAGCTTGCTAAAAGTGACTGAAAGCATAGCCAAGAATCCAATCCATCGGGCATGATGCCACTGGATCAGCATATCCAATCCATTTTAGTCAACTCTTAAGAACAGCACAGTTATCTGGGGACCAATCCTAAACCAGATTCGCCAGGCACTCTGAATGCAGAAAGAACTAATGAAAGTCCATGGGATCCTGATAAATAAACTGGTTATGTGCCATGTTAATTATGTCTACCCTGCCTGTTGCAGTGTTACATGTTTTAGGGTTGGGATGGGAATAACCAACCAAACCCTTGTGGAAAACTAATCAGTTTACACTTTAACCAGTAAACCTTTAACCTACAAGTGACCAACTCTGTTGAGGACATAGCAGTGTGGGTTCTTGTTTGATGGTGCAATCAGCAATATTCCATCTGAAAATAATTGAGTCTTGACCAGACAATCCAGTGATTGATATTGTGAGCAACCATCCATGCCATCGCAGTACAAGCTATCAACTAAGTCACCAAGCTTGACCACCTGATCCCTTAAATCACCTCTTAAGGCCAGCAAAGGATGCTCAGGACCAATTCTAACTCGAATCTCAAATAGGAACATTGGAAGTAAAGAAACCAGAACAAGTGCAGTTAAGGATATATTTGTTTTATTTGTCAGATGAATTCAACAATGAGTTACATGTCCTACATGCTGGGCTACAACCTTCACACGGAGGTGCCTGTCACAAACAGCATCAGCACCATGTCACCAGGATTGTTTATTTTTTCTTTGCTTACAGTTTCAATCTCTATAGTAAAAGTACATAAATATTGCAAGTATTCTAACCAAGTTTAAAGATTTGACATAATAGAGTTCGTGAATGTTGTTTAATGCTGAGGTCAGCTATATTCCAGCTGTATCAGGACAGCCCAACAAACCCGATAATGATATAGTAACAAATGCATGAAGCCTCCAAACTCATCTACAGGTGGTAACATTACACAGCCTCCAACTCATCTACAGGAGGTAACATTACACTGCCTCCAAACTCATCTGCAGGTGGTAACATTACAGGGCCTCCAAACTCATCTGCAGGTGGTAACATTACACGACCTCCAACTCATCTGCAGGTGGTAACATTACACAGCCTCGAAGCTCTTCTACAGGAGGTAACATTACACTGCCTCCAAACTCATCTGCAGGTGGTAACATTACAGGGCCTCCAAACTCATCTGCAGGTGGTAACATTACACGACCTCCAACTCATCTGCAGGTGGTAACATTACACGACCTCCAACTCATCTGCAGGTGGTAACATTACACAGCCTCCAACTCATCTGCAGGTGGTAACATGACCCGACCTCCAACTCATCTGCAGGTGGTAACATTACACCACCTCCAACTCATCTTCAGGTGGTAACATTACACGACCTCCAACTCATCTGCAGGTGGTAACATTACACGACCTCCAACTCATCTACAGGTGGTAACATTACACCACCTCCAACTCATCTACAGGTGGTAACATTACACCACCTCCAACTCATGTGGTTACATTACACGACCTCCAACTCATCTACAGGTGGTAACATTACACAACCTCCAACTCATGTGGTAACATTACACGACTTCCAACTCATCTACATGTGGTAACATTACACGACCTCCAACTCATCTGCAGGTGGTAACATTACACGACCTCCAACTCATCTGCAGGTGGTAACATTACACGACCTCCAACTAATCTGCAGGTGGTAACATTACACTGCCTCCAAACTCATCTGCAGGTGGTAACATTACACGACCTCCAACTCATCTACAGGTGGTAACATTACACCACCTCCAACTCATCTACAGGTGGTAACATTACACTGCCTCCAAATTCATCTGCAGGTGGTAACATTACAGGGCCTCAAAACTCATCCACAGGTGGTAACATTACACGACCTCCAACTCATCTACAGGTGGTAACATTACACCACCTCCAACTCATCTGCAGGTGGTAACATTACACCACCTCCAACTCATCCACAGGTGGTAACATTACACGACCTCCAACTCATCTACAGGTGGTAACATTACACGACCTCCAACTCATCTGCAGGTGGTAACATTACACGACCTCCAACTCATCTGCAGGTGGTAACATTACACGACCTCCAACTCATCCACAGGTGGTAACATTACACAACCTCCAACTCATCTACAGGCGGTAACATTACACGACCTCCAACTCATGTGGTAACATTACACGACCTCCAACTCATCTACAGGTGGTAACATTACACGACCCCCAACTCATCTACAGGTGGTAACATTACACGGCCTCCAAACTCATCTACAGCTGGTAATATTACATGACCTCCAACTCATCTACATGTGGTAACATTACACCGATATGCCCCTGGAAGACTTTAACCAAAGGACACAAGTCCTGTGAGAGGCAAGATGCAGATGTTACCATGGTTACATCATGTTATCATGTTGGTCTCTGACAGGATATTGGTTTTTGTGTAAGAATTTCTGCATTTGAGGCCAGGCCTTGATTTCTATTAACTAGTAATACTCATATTTGAAAACAACAATATGCTGACATGGTTAAAGAACATTTGAAACACAGAAAATAGAATAGATATTTTGCAATGTTGGGGAATACTTCACACATTATCTGATGATCATAAACTATTTAACATATTTGCAGTTCATGAAACGACAGAGAAAATCTTCAGCATGATTACATCACCAACAACTGCATTAATAGAGGGTCTTGATGGGGGGGGGGGGGTTGTTACAAGTCAGTAAAATGTGGGCCCTTTAGTCAGCAGTCATTATTTTTTCATCTGAGTAAAAACAAATACTGGAAAAGTGGACAAGCTGTCCAGCTGAACCTAAAACGCAAAATCATCTCTATGGGAATGGGAACATCAGCCTGTATGTAGGGAAACCAAGGGACAACTGGATCTGCGTTCCTTTCATTACTGCAATTTGTTTTGAAAATACCAAATTTTGCTGGGTCATTAGGTCCAGTTAAATCATTCTTTTTCAAGAATTTATGCAATTCAATAAACAGGAAAGGTTTACTGTATGCTAAGCAGGGTTTTTGTTTTACATTTAACATTAATCTTTAATGATAAAAAATCGGATTCATCTTACTATACCATAGTTTTCTTTAGTTGTTTTATGCTAAACAGTGTACAGCATCAGGACCCTCTTAATACTTTCATGACAAGGACGCGCAGTCCTCATCCAAATGCTGCTGATTATCAAGTTACAGAGCTTCCTTCTGCACAGAATTTCTAAACACAACAAAATATATATTCAATTCCAATACTAGTTTGGCTTACCTTCCCGCAAACAAGAAGTCTTCTACTTCTTAACACAGACAACAAAGCAGTGGTTAAGGTCTCATATTTACAGATTTTATAACCCTACTGAGACTATCTTAGGCTTAATAACTCTCACTCACATTGACAGAAGTCATATTCAATATCAGAAGCCCAGAAAAAAACAACCACAATGGTAATAGACAGGCTACTTTTTCTGCAATTTCATTAATTACACACACTGACAGAAGTCACTTTCAATATCAGAAATCTAGATAAGAAACAAACATTTTTTGCAGCTACTGTTTCTGCTATTACATTAATTACACATGAATGTACTCTTTTTCTAAAGTAAGCACTCTGATAAACGAATTTCTAGAGCTCAATTATCTGAACTCCTACACACCCAAATGGGGAGTGAGTGAGTGAATATGGTTTTACGCCGCTTTTAGCAATATTCCAGCAATATCACGGCGTCCGACACCAGAAATGGGCTTCACACATTGTACCAATGTTGGGAATCGAACCCGGTCTTTGGCATGACGAGCGAACACTTTAACCAGCAGGCTACCCGACCGCCCCCAAACGGGGAGTGAATATACATCACTGTGTCCATAACAGAGATATTCTGATTGACGGCCTTGGTGAAGCCTTTATTAATGTAAGACATTCAATATCTGTGCAAACTCTCAGTACAATAAACTCTCTGATAATGTCAGGTGGATGAAGCTTTGAACTTATGAACATGGACAATGTCAATAACAATGTTGTAAAATTAAAGTAGCAAAAACATGGTCAATTTCTAGCAATAGCTGCCTATTCTGAATAACCATTTCATGGTTTACAGACTACGATAGGATGTTCCCTAGAACACAAAAGTAATAAATAAAACAATAATATGAAGGTATTCTATAACAACTGTTTGTATCAGTGATGCGACATATATGAGTGAGTTGGGTTTAACGTCGCTTTGAACAGTATTGCAGTTATATCACGGAAAGTCCAAAGTGATGCAGGTCTTTGATGTTTACCATTTGGTGAAACCAACAAGCAGGGTATGGTGCTGACAAACCTAGACTCATAATTAGGGCCAACTGGGATTCGAACCCACAATCATAGGTCTGGCATACCTAAGAAACACAACTCTGTACAGTGAATTGTGGCATATTTAGACGACTTGGACACCCATTTCCCCTGAATTGCTGATGAGTCAACAAAACATCCCTTACCCACCAACTGCACCATTAGGAGATGTGAACTTGCTTAGTCAGATGAACAATGCAACACATTTATGGTTTTCAAGTCTGCAAACACAGTAAAAACAACACAAAGTTCTCACAGGGTTACCAACAATTGTACAATCTTGATTCACCTGTAAGAAAATGTCACGGAACAAATTCAAGACTAAGCATGCAAGGACCCAGAATCCTAATAGGCTAAGGAATACAATACAAAAATAACATAAAAGTTACCATCACAAAGTACAAAGAAATATTTTGGCATCATCTGACTGTGTCATTAATCTTGACAATGACATGCAGATCCCAGTTGTCATAGTGTTTGTGATGTCACAATATTAAGTACTTCAACATCACTATCATGTATTAAACAAAAAGAGTCTTTCAGTCTCATGAGCTGTTTTGTTCTTCTAAAATGACATACATTCAAATTCATATTTATGATGTTCGCATGTCCTCGATATTCACATATCTGAATGTTCATGTCATTGATATTTGCACATCTGTATAGGCCCATGTTCATGATATTCACAGATCTGTGTGTTCACATATCCTTGATATCCACTTGCGTATGTTCACATATCCTTGATATCCACATATCAGTATGTTCAAAAGTAAGTGAAGTCCACATGTCTGTTTTTTTCTCATGTCATTTGTGGCGTCATGTTCTGAACACATCCCAAAGTCAAATGTCTGGTGTTCCCTTATGGCCTAATGTCCCACTATTCACACTGGCTCCTGAGGCGGTGTGACGGAACACACAGGTGTGCTAGATGGCTGCTACAGTGTACACTGCAAGTGTTATGATGTTTCCTGCCCATCAGCCTGGTTGTCCGAGTCTCCACCTCCTTGATGTATGACAATCTGCTGGCCCCCCTGGCCCACCTGCTGAATCTGGTACATCGGCTGCAAATACACACATCAAATGACTGAGTGAGGCAACTCATAAACAAGGCACATAAGGCTTAAAAAAATAAAGGAATTGGTTCTCAGGCAATGGTTTTTGAAAATATAGTGCAGGCAGACGGGTCTTTTTTTTTTTTTGGGTTGTACAAACTAGTATATAACCAACAAACAGTTGTGTAATCAATAAAACAATTGTGTAGAATCAACCTGGGAAAGGGCCTCCGTACATAAATGTATTCCTTGATGAGTAAATTTCCGGCATACAAGTTGGACTTGAAATATTTAAGGATTTCTTATATATATATATTTTTTTAAATTGAATCAAAAATGAAACATGCGGCAAACTTTATGATAATGACTAAGACCAAGACTATTAATTTTTTTTAGCCTAAGGGACAGATCCCTGACAAAAGTTTTTAATCAAGAAACTATGATGCCTGAATCATTCACTGGATATGTTGATTAGTTGTGAGTCCACACAGCACTCTTTTATAGAAAGAAATTGCATGTACTGAAGTGACAGAGAAATACATTCCTTGTCTGACAAAAGTACTTTAGGAAGTAATCTTAAACCAATGTACTTCAGGAAGCAGTGTGAAATTCTTATACTTCAGGAAGCGTTTGGCACTCGTTTTGCAAAAAACAAATCAGAAAGCAGTGATGAACTCTTGTACTTCATGAAGCATTGAAGGTACCTTCATCCTTGTTTGAAACAATGTTCAGGGCATAGTCTTACCCCTTCATCACATGAAAACCGAGAAAGTGTATATGAGTTAATATACACACATTCTGATATGGTTACAGAGAGTACAAAGATAACAAATGTAGCAAAGTTAACACTATAACACGAATGGGATTAGAGAGGACCCAATGAAGTCGCAGTGTTCTCCTACCTGTGTGAAAGTCTGTTGTGTCTGCTGGGGCTGTGCTGTTGCTCCCGACTGCAAGCCCTGATTCATCTGAATGATGATTGGCTGGTCCCCCTGCTTGCCCTGCAGCTGCATCTGGATGGCCTGAAGCTGGGCGGACGATAACGTCACCTAAACAGACCATACAACATCTCACTGATACAGACAATGAACTGGTAAATGCACGGCCTGAAGCCTGGGCAGACGATAACGTCACCTAAACAGACCACATGACATCTCACTGATACAGACAATGAACTGGTATCTGCACGGCCCGAAGCTGGGCGGACGATAACGTCACCTAAACAGACCACATAACATCTCACTGACACAGACAATGAACTGGTATCTGCACGGCCCGAAGCTGGGCGGACGATAACGTCACCTAAACAGACCACATGACATCTCACTGACACAGACAATGAACTGGTATCTGCACGGCCCGAAGCTGGGCGGACGATAACGTCACCTAAACAGACCACATAACATCTCACTGACACAGACAATGAACTGGTATCTGCACGGCCCGAAGCTGGGCGGACGATAACGTCACCTAAACAGACGACATAACATCTCACTGACACAGACAATGAACTGGTATCTGCACGGCCCGAAGCTGGGCGGACGATAACGTCCCCTAAACAGACCATACAACATCTCACTGACACAGACAATGAACTGGTATCTGCACGGCCCGAAGCTGGGCGGACGATAACGTCACCTAAACAGACCACCTGACATCTCACTGACACAGACAATGAACTGGTATCTGCACGGCCGGAAGCTGGGCGGACGATAACGTCACCTAAACAGACCACATGACATCTCACTGACACAGACAATGAACTGGTATCTGCACGGCCCGAAGCTGGGCGGACGATAACGTCACCTAAACAGACCACATAACATCTCACTGACACAGACAATGAACTGGTAAATGCGTGGCCTGAAGCCCATTAGATTTAGACCTCACCTAGGAATGTGTTCTCTGCAGACATGGTTTGTTGCGGTAGAATGTTAAATATGAAACTGTTAAGTGTACTGAGATATATGACAACTGACCTTTGCTCTGACCATGTGGTAATGTAATCAAACAGTCAATCAACTACGAAAATCGAGTCTTTTTATTTTTCAAATGAAAAAGTAAGAAAGGAAAAGTCCAACCAACATTGATACAACTGTCAATCCGCTATATTTGAGTGTTACTCACAGGTACAGTCTGCAGCTCCCCCGAGGGTGTGAGCACCTGCTGATACACTTGTGTCTGTGGCTGCTGCTGTTGCTGCTGCTGTTGCTGCTGCGGCTGGGCTGGTGCTACTGCTGTTTGTGCCTGCTGTACAAGCACCTGCTGTTGCTGTTGTTGCTGCTGCTGCATCTGTTGCACCTGCTGTAGTTGTTGTACTTGCTGTACTTGCTGCACCTGTTGAGGTGCTTGTACTTGGATCACCTGGGGCTGAGCCTGGTTTTGAAATAAAGGGACATTGTCAATCTCTACTGATCTAGAGGACGTTCTTTTACACATGTCAGAAAAATTCGCTTGTAAAACATCTGTGCTAGGCAAACCTAACGTTTGACAGCAGGAGTAATAATCCATACCATCAGAGCATGCCACTCATTATACCCAATCCTCATTGAAGTCTGCTCTTACAACTACTTTAGTTGCTTGGGACCTATGCAAGCACTATTCCAGCTTCAAGACAACAGCCTGTAAATAATGGCATTTGCACCAACTTGAGGGCTTTCATCCAACTTGAGAGCCTTAAGTTAACAATCTACACCATCAAGCTTTAGCTCCATCCATTGAGGTACAAGGAGGAATGGAGCTGCATCTGCCGCTAATCGATGACATGATATGGAATTAGCTTCCCCAGGACTCAACGCGTTAAACTATGAAGGAAGGAAGTATCCTACCTGGAACTGTAGAGGCTGTTGTATGATCTGACCCGCTGAAACAAGAAGGACAATGTTGAAAGTACACTGCAGAACACTTGGCCAGCTGGTATTATATTGATTAGAAAGTGGGTAAATGTTCATCAGGAGACTTGAATATGGCTCCAAAATATACTGTTCAAAAGAAGTTAAAGAACACCTGATTTTTTTATTTGACTATAGTCAATCTGTCATTGCCATGGTCATAATGTAACAACTTCCTTTGAGAAGTATATTACCAAGTCTCACGAAACTTTTCAAAAGGAGCCACCTGACTTCCTTAGAAGTACTCGCATAAAAGGCTGCACATGCACTACATCTTTAATACCTATGGTTATTATCATTATTATTATTACATGCATTTGGGTGAAATGCCACAGTATTCAGTTACATTCATTATGGAGCTCATTAACTCACTCATTATGGAGCAGAACTCAAAGTGATGCTTGTCGTAGACAGATTATTGTGAAACCCAAGGGTGTGGGTATGGTGCTGACAGATCACAGAACCAAAATTGCAACAATTCTTGGATTTGAAAAGACCAGCAGATCCTGGTAGGAAAGGGCCACAACTCAGGACCTTCACAACATTTGCCACAAATACATCCATTGAAAGTTGACAATGAAACACCTGTATATTCCTAATCATTATACAACTAAAGGGCACCTACATGGCAGCTGTATTGCCATAACATTGGGTTGCGCCACTGCCTGTGTTGTTGCTGCTGCTGCCGTCACCACCTGTGCTGCGGGTTGAGTTGCAGGGGCTGGCTGTGCTACAACAGTCTGCTGCTGCTGCTGTTGTTGTTGTTGTTGTTGTTGCTGCTGCTGTTGCTGTTGTTGCTGCTGTTGTTGCTGCTGCTGCTGTTGTTGTTGAGACTGTTGCTGCGCTAGTTGGAGATAGTAGTTGATTTGATCCGGGAGGTTATTGGACACTCGAGAAGAATCCTCCTGATGGTGGAACAAAGTGAGTTTACTTTCTCATGAAACCTCAACCAAAGCAAGGATTTGTCATATCCAACAAGACTACTGCTATTAAGGGTGAGAGGTTTATGTAAAATAACTAAATTTTAGAAGAAAACAACTAGTCCATCAAGCATATTTCAAACTATCGATTAGTGACCATGTCTACCCTCTTGTCAAGTCAACTTGAAGCATTAGAGTAACGATGATAACTGTAGATTTATTACCATCAATATTTAAGACTTTCCCAGAAAGAACCTTGTTTGAGATACCAATACCATTTTTAACATTTTAAAGCAAACGCATATCAAGGATGAAAAAGCAAACAGACTTCATTTCGCATTTTCTTCACTTAATGTTTAAGATAAGAAAAAACACAACTTTTAAGTAGCATTGGGCTTCAGAGCATGGGCAATGTTCTGATGTCATTAAAAGTCTTGGCATAGCATAAGCTGCAAATAAGGTTCTTACAAACAATGTTTATATATACTTACTGGTCTCTTTGGCGGTTTCAGTTCATCTCTGGGCACGATGTCAATCAAGAAATCGAATTGGTCAAACTTTGAAATGGCCATTGCTATGTCATTTCTCTGAAATAAAAACACAATATCAGCCATTTCTTGAAAATTTCATAGATCTCAAACTGAACATTCACTGATTCAGCACAGCTACTTTAACATACACATAGTCCTAGGTTGCCACTGAACCTGAAACTTTCACATGCCCAAATAGTGACAACATATGAGGACACCTCTTACAAAGCCTGGAATTATAACCAGCCTTCGGGATACCACACCAAAAACATAAGACAAACAATTCAAGCAAGCCTAGCACTATGAATAACATACAAAGCAGGGATGAAACTGCATAGTATGTTAGTTATAGTACTACTCTTGCTTTGTCACCGGCTGCCCCCAATGTGAAGGGCTAAATAGAAAATCTCACCAACGTGTCTTTTGATATCAAATATATCAACACGAGTCAATAAAAGTTTATAACACAGAGGGTTGCCGATGATGTCACAATGGCTTGGAAATCATTGTGATGTATTTTCTTTGTAGAGATACCTCCCAGGAGGTATCACTTCATATCGCCCAAGCGATATCTCCTGTGGAAACCAGTTCTGGAAGCCAAAAACCAGAGCCAAACTATTTTTCTTTTTCCCAAAAGAACTATCTCTCCTAAGGAGCTCCCAGAGGGACCACCCACCAACCTGCAGTGTCCTCCTCTTGTTGTCCTCGGTGTGGATCCAGGCTCTAAGTGACAGCTCACTTATAAATATCTCCGCTGCCTTGGCAAACAACACTGGAGCCTCCGCACTTATCATCTAGAATACAGAACAAAGCACACTCAATGCACAGCAAACAGGTCTGTACAGCCTTAGAATCTTGTTTTTCTCAAAGACTAGCCCAAGGATTAGTGCTAACCTAATTACACTGGTCCTCAGGGTACCTAGCTGGTCCTAATTGAAAAAGACAAAACAATTTACTGCTTACATTTTCTGTCAGTTTTATTCAATCACAATATGTAGCAAAATTGAAGTCAAGGATAACCCATAAGCAACTGGACATTTGTTACAAATACTGTTGAGCCAGCAAAGCGTATAAGTATGACAAAGCAATAAGACGAAGCAGAGACCATATGCTTGGATAAGTAAATTACTCGATTCTGATTGCTCAATCACAGGTTGTTAAATCACAATAAAGCCACTCTGATTGAAACAGCAAATTTGACGACCGCATCACCACGGAATATAATATAGAATAGTACTTGTAGTACATTGTCCATAGGCATATTTAATACTTATATCTATAGTTGCTGTTACTACAATATTCAAAGGATGTGTGGCAATCCATTTCGTGCAGAAAACACAATAGAAATCTACAAAGAGAATGTATTTTAAGTTTTGGGGACAACAGAGAGCATGGAATTTGGCACTTTTCTATATATGACTGTGATGTCATATCTTTTGTATCACTATATTCGATATGACGTCATAATGGCGACATGCGGTGTAGCAAGAAAACTTGACAAAGCTTGCTTAGTTTTCTTTAGTGGTGCCCACCCGATGTAAGCTTTACAAGTTGATGTGCTTCTATGCTTTCAATGCCTGTCATATGTTTGAGTTAAGTTTTACGGCGTAAACAAACTGCTTGAGCATAGTTTCTTTAAATGCTGTTGTCCGTCATTCCGTAATTCAGATCGTCAACCCACTCAAAACACTGGACTCAACCCATGCCGCTTCACTCAATACATTTGCTAACACCAAAGAGTTCACGTTTGATTTAGTCATGGTAGAATGGAGATAAACATGCTGTGTTTTCAATGTAGAGCTGGTTACCTGTAGATTTAACCGCGCTAAATTTAACATTTGAAACCTCACATTGCGCGTTCGATCCCAAATTCAATTTAGCACGGTTAAACCTACAGGTAACCCAGCTCTACATTGAAAACACAGTATGTTTATCTCCTAAATAGTATATGTTGTAGTGACTTCTCAACATGCTCAACTTACCTTTACATCTTCATCAAGTTTCATGATCTTTTTTATTCTAGCAAGGGGGAGTTCCTGCCCCTTAAAATCATTCTGGAACAAAGATTTAATTCCAATAAGATGAAATAAAGTCATAACTTCTTAGTAACCATGGCAACAAATAATTGATAACATAATCATTACCAATCTGATCTAAGTGTCCAGTATGAGTGTCTTCAGGTAAAAAGGCTTATAAGTTGATTGGAACCAATCTGTTAACAATCTGATAAAGAAATAGCCTAGCCTAAAATAGTGGTGCATAATGAACATATCAATATCCCCAGACAAATACAGTCAAACACTGTTGTGTCGAGTGAGTGAGGTGAGGTGAGGTGAAATTGGGTTTAACGTCGCGTCCAAGATTATTGCACTTATATAGCCACATGCACGTGTATGTGTGTGTGTGGCTGCTTGTACTAGTCCGGACTGATGCCGATTTATAGTGCTAGCTCACTGAGATACCATGCCGCAGTTTAACATGAATACCCCACTCAGACACAGTATACTGACTCCGAGCAGACCAGTCCTTGTTTTAGCCCCTTAATGCCGAGCGTCAGACAGGGTAACAACAAGTACAATCTTTTAACGTCTTTTTGTATGACGCGGCCCGGGATCGAACCCTGGACCTTCCGCTCTCCGGGTGGACGCTCTACCACAAGACCACGGAGGCGGTCTCGAGTGAGTGAGTGAGTGAGTGAGTATGGTTTTACGCCGCTTTTAGCAATATTTCAGCAATATCCCATCAGGGGACACCGGAAAATGGGCTTCACACATTGTATCCATTGAACCCAGGCCTTCAAAGTGATGAGCCAAAGCTTTAACCACTAGGCTACCCCACCGTCCCTGTTGTGACAAAGTTGAAGGGGCCTATGTAAATACTTCAAGTTATCTGAGGTACGACACAACAGAAAAGCGCCCCGCTCTAATAAGCGCCCACCGCGATATTTGATCACATATATTATAATATATATAAGTGAACAATACCAATTAGCACCCCTTCCAATTGATCAATGTACACATGACTTATATATTCGTGTATAATACGCACGCATGTGTTATATGCACCCTTAATTATGATCAATAAAATTCTGGAAAAATATATCTGTCCTATTTATATATGTCGAAATTTATCTTTCAACTCTGTTTTTCCATCAAAATAATATTCTTATAAGCGCCTCCTGTTTCTAATTTTGAGAGCGTCCTGGGCGCTTATTACGTCGAATACGGTAATAAGCAGGGACCAAGCTCTTACTTCAAGACAAACATAAGTTTGACACAACAGTGTTTGACTGTACTCATGGTGGACATTTCAGCCTCTGTGTATTCTGTGTTTCCCATGACTTACATATTGGAGGTTCTGTATATTTTCCAGTGTCTTGGGCCAGAATTCTGTCAACATCAGCTGTGCTTGTTCTGTGATGCCAGACATCTGCATGGAGGCTTGGAAGTTGGGATCCGACGCCATGGTCATCTATGTGCTAAAACATAACCACAGTGCACAAACATCAAGCACTGGTGTCTATTTATCACATTAAGTTTCGTTTGGTTGTTGGTTGTTTAATGCTGTTCTCAACAATATTCCTGCTATATGACGGCTGTCTGTAAATAATCAAGTCGGGACCAGACAATCCAGTGACTGACATTATGAGCATCAATCCACACAATTGGGATACAATGACATGCATCAACCAAGTCAGCAAGCCTGACCACCCTATACCGTTGGTCGACTCTTATGACATGCACAGTCACCTTTTAAGGCAAGCATGGGTTGCTGAAGACCTTTTCTACCCCGGATCTTCATTGGTCCATAACGGAACTGAATCGGCATACAGCCTTAAACAAGCAAACACTGCTAAGGACTGATCCCTGTGTAATCCATCTTTACACTGTTTGGCACACATACCACATATTATTCATCGGCTGTCACAGCTTGTGCCAATTGATTATATTACGTGAGGGGTATATTACACCACAGCTGTGATAGACAGATATAATACTAGTAACAGCTAATTTTGTTATCAACATGATCAATGTTAATATTATAAGAAAGTAATCCAGATATCTGCTGTCATATTATATAAAAGATGGTTGGCTATCTATCATGTCTATTGCTTTTACAATAAACACAGGTATTCAGCATGTTCAGGGTGAAACAGTGCACTAGTGCATCTTGAGTTTTCATGTGACGATACAATACATGATAGGTTATTTTTGTACTGATACAAAATGATACACTTGTTAAAATATATTTTTATTCAGTGTCTATTGATTACTGTCTGTGCCGAAAACTTTTGTTTTGTTATGTTTGTTTGTTTAATGACGCACTCAGCAATATTCCAGCTATATGACGGCAGTCTGTAAATAAACGTGTCTGGACCAGACAATCCAGTGATTGACATCATGAGCAATGATCCACGCAATTGGGATACAATGACATACATCAACCAAGTCAGCGAGCCTGACCACCCAATCACGAGCATAGACGCCTTTTATGGCAAGCATGGGTTGCTGAAGACCTTTTCTAAATCGGATCTTCACGGGTCTAATTTTGAAGTAAAACTGCAACTATTCTTAAGCAACTCTTTTTTATGGCCATAACAGTGAATCTACACTTAACGGGTCAGTTGTAGCAGTATCACAAGGGGTGCATGTGGTATTTATACCACCTAATGAGGGACGCATAAAACCACTTGTACCCCTCGTGATGCTGCTACAATGAATGTATCTTACTGTCATGTTTTAATCTGCCATTGTAAGAGAATTAACACAAATTCAAAATTGATTAAAAACAGCTATTCGATTGAGCTGAATTTAACTTGGGCTATGTCACATGACTTTCATTGACTCAAAAAATTGTGCATGTTTTTGCTTTGAAGCTGGGTATCAGGAGTTAATTTTCCCACTCAGAATTCCATGTGCAGTCTGTCTTCGTGGTGGGGTATTGAGGATTTATTCTCCAGCTCAGAAATTTACTTCCTCCCAACATGCCCAAATACATAGTATTTTATCAAGTTCATGTGAACCAATCAGATCTCATCACTTGGCAATGGACCAGGAGGTGTGATAATAAAGTTTATACATGATGAACATGATGAATTAAAGTTCAATCTGGCATTTCTCCAATAGTATACAGACTGGAATTACCTGAATTACATTAATGGAAATAATGTTAAATATTTTAGATTGTTGCAATGTTTCTTGGTTTTTAACATATGTCGTAACATAGTTAAAATTAACCATTGTAACATCCGACGTACAATTATAACACTAGGCCAAACATTTTTTACTTTTCGTTTCACAGGCCCACCACCACTAGTGAAAAGCAGCCGGTCCAAGTTAATTAGTTACCCTTTCAAAACCAGCTGGTAGTAACAAAATACTAAAATTTACCAAGTTATTGCTCGGGGAGTTTGATTAAAATTGGATTGCAAAATGAAAAAGGAAATTTACAATTTTTAAATTTTACTCTATGCCATTGCTGAGGCAGCTGGGTGTATGCAGTATACAAACAAAGTAGGCCGTTATCTGACTGAAACATTCAGAGTTTGTCTCAAACTATTCAGATATAGATTCAAGAAGTCTCAAAACGTGGTAAGAAATTTCAAATTGAAAATGTATGTATTTTATGTAATATAACTACAAAAATGTGGTGACAGGATGAATATTGTTCAAATAAGTGGAATTTGAATGTTTTCGCAGTGAGGTGTTCTGGAGATGGTAAATGCTGATTAGTCAGTTAAAAATGACAATTTAAACCGAATAAATTGAATGAGAACACTTTGTAATGTAACGACATCACATAACAATAGGTAACATATGATCTCCGATAGGTAAGCCGTCTTAAAGAAATGTATTGCGAGGAAATGTGGAAACTGTTACTCATTAATAAACATTAATTTCATAAATTTTCCATAATCACTCATATCAAATTGGTTATTTAATTATGAACAGATCTCATCCACCCCTGTTATGGGTTCACATTCACAATTACAAGGGAAAAAGTAGCAATTACATGATTTATTTCTTATTTTACCCAACAAAAACGGCAAGACTAGAACCTAAGCTTTCGTACATGAATATCTTGAATATGTCAAAAGATTGTAGATCTAGATTATGGCGAGAGAACATAAGACCATGGTCAAGGCATAGATCTATCAGAACAGGATAAAGTTTCAGGTCTGAGGAATGACCTTGACCTTTTGTTGTCTGTTCGGGGAAGTGAAATTGCAATGATATTCAGGAAATAATTTGCTTACTAAAAGAACATCGATAAAAAAGAGTTGTATACTTCGGTAGATGATAGACTATCTCATGTCTGAACATCTCAACAACTCCCGGGCGAGATTGCTTAAGATTTAGAAAGCACATCGTGGTTAAATATATCTAGACTAGATGCCAGAATGTGGGGCTTCTCGGATGTCTCCCGTTATGAATAAAGAATACGTGGGTTTGCGTTTCTTTCGTTGGCAATATTTTTCGCGCGAATAAGAGTAACTTCTAATGAAGAAAACGTAAGCCGAAATCTGACTGGACATTTGATTAGAATGAATGGCTAGGACAGGGAGAATCGGACCAATAACTTGGTTAGATGTGCCACCCAATCATTTTACCCAGGCCCCCGCCAATGAGAACAAAGGAGGCGGCTTTAGGTGTGCGATAAGCCAAAACACCACATCGCTTAACATCATGACACTAAAAGTACTATTACCAGTCAATAAATTGAGAATATAAACTTACCTTATTAAATATTTTTTGCAAACACAACCTAGAAAGAAATACTTTCCTAAGATGGCGGCTTTTCTGATTGGATGAATGACCTCACAATGAACTCGACATGCGCATTATCGACTATAACTTATACTTCCTGTTTATACCAGTGCAAGCACCTGCTAACGGTTCAGACATTCGTTCTTGAGTATATTTCTTGTACAAAGGCTAATTATGCAGGTAAATTAAAGTTTATCTTACAAATGTATAATTTTAGGACCCAAATGACACGGCGTAAACGCCAAATAAAACACACTCGATAATCTTTGAGGGAAACTTCTTCGTGAGCGAAAACTGGATCATCCTATATATATATTGATTAAATGATTATTGTCTTTTCTTCGGCTTAACATGTCATACTAACGGGGCATTGAGAAATACACGGTCTCTTTGTCATCTTAGAGGAACATATTGGCATGTTAAACAATTGCTCTGGATAATTTCGGTTTCAAAAGACTAAACGTAATTCTTTCCAAGAAGATGTCATTCATTCAGATTGCGCTCTTGTTGGACAGGCTGCCTGACAGTTAACCTTTTTATGTCAGACGAACAGAGTTAGCCATGCTGATAAATATTATTTGAACACACACACACACACACACACACATACACACATACACTGTACATATGCGGGTTGGCAGCACTTTTTTGGTTGTTCAAACTAATATGTAACCAAATAAACATTTGTGTACAAGCAGTCTGGTAAAGGGCCTCCCCACATTAATGTATTCTTCCTTGATGAGTAAAATACTGGAATACAGTATTTGACTACTGACTGACTACCATTGTGTGCATAATTCACGTGTGCATAATTCACGGCTACAATGAGCTTCAATTTTATTTCACAACATGAAGATTTTATCATGAGCACACAACAGAACTAACATGTCAACAAATCTGTACTGAAGTATGCAAGTTGGTCCTGTTATTACACTGTCTGGCTATAAAAGTGTTCATTGTGTATGTGGACTTACATCTGTAATCCATTGATGATATTATATTACTTTTACCCAAGATTTTGTTTCATTTTGTTTACATTATTTTTGACGAAATCATGTATGAACTAATCAGCACACATCACATCAGCTCACCATGAGCTTGCCTTGAACATTAGTCATTAGAGAAACAAAGTCATTTTCAGTTTTGATATTGGCCATGATAATTTTTAGTATTTTTTAAACTAAATCTCCCATAGATCAGGTAGAAAATGGTCATCTGTTTGCTATTTCAGGCTTATTTTACAATAAGACAAATACACACGCAATATTAATCTCTGCGTATGAAACATACAGTACTCAAATGCCATTGAATTTGTAAATCATCATGTCCAGTGATGTTTTATCATAAATTTCATGTATTCATTGACTAAATTTGCAAACGGCAAAACAAGCACACAAACTCCTATTTTGCTGCCATGACCATTACCCGAAATGCGCAGAGTAAAGCAGTGCGCATGTAAAGGGAAGTAACTGCATGCTATACTCAAAGCCATTGAAAATGCAATTCAATGTTCAGATGGTGTGTATTTTATTACATTAAACAGCAAAAATGACAAACATAACCATCACATGAAATGTTTACAATAAAGTCTGTGTGAAACACGCCCGTGGATGAAATCACAGAGGCTCAGAAGAAAGCCTTGGTGCCTGAGGATCAGTAGTGGGTATGTCCACCTTGTGCTCTGACACTTGAACTGACACAGATGCCTCAGGAAGCTTTGTGGGATGCCCTGCCAGTGATGTAGGTACCGTGTCAACTCTGCCACTGTCTGAGGTGGTTGCTGTTGACTTCGAACCCTCTGACCAAGCTCGTCCCACAAGTGTTCAAGGGGGCACGGGTGGCCCAGTCGTCTAAGGCGCCGCGATTCGCTGTGCAGAGTTGCGTCCCTTGGGCACGCCAGAAACCTATGATTGTGGGTTCGAATCCTGGTTCGCCCCGATTATGTTTCTAGGTTTGTCAGCACCATACCCGTGCTCGTAGGTTTCACCGAAGTGGTAAACGTCTAAGACCTGCATCACTTCGGGCTTTCCTCACACATTAAGCTGATACGCAATGATATAACTGGAATACTGTTAAAAGCGGCGTTAAACCCAACTCACTCACTCACAAGTGTTCAACGGGATTCAGTCAGGTGGCATGGCAGGCCAGTTCATCACACGGATGTTGTTTCTGGTCAGAAAGTCTCCCGTGACCCTTGCTGTCTGTGGACGTGCATTGTCATGCTGGAAGACAAGCTGATGTCGGGCGCCATGTGGAGCCAGCAATGACAATATTGCTAGACGAAGGATATTGTTCACATAACCTTGAGCATAATCATGGTTGATAACCACTAACTGTGACCGGAAACGAGCATTGATGACACCCCATACCATTACACGCGTCCTCCAAAGCAATCCCTTTGCAAAACACAGTTGTTAGCAAAGCGTTCTCCCCTACATCAATAGATACAGCGACATCCATCCATAAAACTGAATTTGTAACGTCAGAGAAGACATTTTCCCGTGGTGTATTTTGCAGATAGACCCCATCAGCTGCTCATCGCTGTTTTCTGTTCCATGGCAACAAGTTTGACTTTGACTCATAGTAGTGTGTTTGTCCGGACCATATCTCTAAAACTAATAGCCTCTCTTTCTTGAAACTGCACACACACAAACACCAGATTGTCAAATGGTGCTTTTTGCTATTTAGGGATTTTTAGAATTTTATTTTTTTTCCATTTCCATGGCAACAAGTTTGACTTTGATTCTGTTCATATTGGTGTGTGTACAAATGTACCTGACATAGAAATACACAGTTCTGAATCCCAATTCCATGGTATAGTTTTGATAGCTCAATAACTACTCTTGTATACAGACAGACAGATTGGATAAAACTTCTGATGACTCTTGTTTATTTTTGTTTAAATGGGAATAAATACAAAACATGGTGCAGCCTTTGTGATGATGCAGCAGTGCCTGAGAACCAAGGCAATCAACATTTGACCATCAACATTTTTATCCCAGGTTCCAAATACAGTTATTCCTAATTTGCCACATTGTAGATTTTAGTCTTCAATTACAGCTATCTTTGCGTTACTGTGTGACCGCCATATTGTATAAATTCTCAACTACCTCCTGTCAAGCTGTTTTTTTATGTCTGTTGTGGTACATTGATGCACTTATTAACCGTCAACAGACAGTCATGCAAGGTCGTAATTCCTTTGAAAAGAATAATGAAATGTCTACCATATGACGTGAAGTAATTAAGGTTAACAAAATGTGTTTTATTTGAATTTGACCTGGAAGTGAAGTGTTATATTCTGCCATAGACCTTGGTCACTTACAAACGCAACATGTATGACTGGTATGCCTGTTGATTGAAGATTTCCACAGCAATGTACCACAGCAGGTATTAATCAGATCAGCCTTTAAAAAGTTTAGAACCTCTTGCATTATGACATTTAGTGAGTGATGTTGTTTTAACACCTCTTTGGTTTATCACCTCTTTGAAAAGTATTGCTGTTTTATCACGGCGTGATGCGGGTTTTAGACATTAATCACTTTGGTATGGTGCTGACAAACCTAGAAGCATAATCGGGGCTAATCCGGATTCGGACCCACATAAGAACAGTGGTTGAGACAGGCAAAACCTCTAAACGTTTTGTAATTCAATAACTCTATTAATCTGGATGTCCCTTTGAAAGATAGAATGTTTCAAGGAACATATCTGCAAAGCCCTTCTCATTCATGATTCCATGAACTGTCCATGTATGATGACAACAATGTTTTAAATGTGGTCATAGTTATCTGCTGGTGAAACTTATTCCTGTAAATTCATAATTCTTTGTCATTCTCTTTTCAGAAAGAAGAGAAACAGCTTGAATCATCAGTTGATGTGTTGATTCAAAATGTGAAAGATTTGAAGAACTCGATCGCCTCTTTCCTACAGAAACTTGAGCATGAGTATGACCATCTGAGCTGGTAAGTGACTAAGAACTATAATTTGGTGGTTCCTATGACCATGATCTTGATGATAATGTCAGGCAGTTTTTAAGAATAATTAAAACTTTTACCTCAAATATCTGCATGATTTGTATATTTGTCCGTGTATTCATGATTAGCTTGATTTTCTTGTAATATACATGTATATTATGCAGAAAAGGGCAAGTGAACTTCCTTTTTCACTGCTGTCAACAGCATGTCTGCTACAGTTGAGCCTCAATGTGTCAAACTTGGTTGTGTCAAATTCCCAGTTGTCTCGAACTCACCTTTCTTCCCCTGCAAATTCCTTCAATATTTATCATCATTAATACTTATATCTGTCGAACTGGATGTGCCAAATTCCTGGTTGTTTCAAACTCATTTTGGAGTCCCAACTATCCAAATTAAGCATAAAATTCCCCTGTTGATCCGAAGAGTTCAAAATATGAAAATAATGTCCACATACCCACACTCATCAAACTTTCAATTTTCAACTCACTTCACTTCACTCAGAATAAACTGACCTCACTGCGATAGACACAAATGCATCACAGACATGACACCTTCTAACATCCTGTCAATAGCCAGTTGAACCTAACCCGTGAAGATCCGGGTAGAATAGGTCTTCAACAACCCATGCTTGCCGTAAAAGGTGACTAAGCTTGTCATGAGAGGCGACTAACGAGATCGGGTGGTCAAGCTCGCTGACTTTGTTGACACATGTCATCATATCCCAATTGCTTGGATCAATGCTCATGATGTCAATCACTGGATTGAGATGACAGTGAGATGGATGATATGCCTGAGTTGCCGCCACTTTCACTACCAGCAGACGCAACACTGAAATTTACCTATGCCTTGAAATCTAGTGTTGTGTGCAGACCTGGTTATATTCTATCATAACACAATATTTGATTTTCACTTTGCTGGTAGTCTTGAACCCTGGAAAACTCTAACATCATCCCAGGTCCGCACGAGTTAGACACAACAGGATTTGACTGCATATCAAAGAGGCTTGTGATTAGTTGTGAATAATTGAAATTTTGTGAATTATTGAAAAAAGTTTCTGACAGCAGCAACAATGAACAACCGACATTGTATGGGTGCAATGGCATGTAATCTGCTACACAGTGCCCACTAGATCTGTATGTTACAACCAGTGTGTTTAATTCCTGTTCTATTTCTTAATTGATTATGAAAGAGTAATATATGGTATTTACAAACGTTGATATCATTACCTCTTGTTTGTCGGGCCACATGGTACATGGAAAATTTCAATAATAAAATGACAAGTTTTGTATCGTGAGTCAAAGTATCACGTTATGTATCAGTACATGAGGTAGGCATGTGGAGGCGCCTCTAAAGATATGACTGAAATAAGGGAGGTGGTCATTCAAATCATCACCTAACTTGGATTGGACGGTCTGGCTTGTAGACTTGGTTGATGGCTTGTCAATGTACCTCAGTGCCATGGATCATTGCTTATAATGTCCATAGGGGTGGTCGGGTAGCCTAGTGGTTAAAGCGTTCACTCGTCATGCCGAAGACCCTGGTTTGAATCCCGACATGGGTACAATGTGTGAAGCCCATTTCTGGTGTCTCCCGCAGTGATATTGCTGGAATATTGCTAAAAGCGGCGTAAAACCATACTCACTCACTCACTCACTCACTCACTCACTCACTCACTCACTCACTATAATGTCCATATCTGGATTATCTGGTTCAGACTTAATTATTTACAGACAGACATCATATACATGGAATATGGTTGAGTGCGACGTTAAACAACAAACACACACTGAATTCAGTTCAAACTAAATGATTGTGTTCCTGTTGGATTGGCGTGATTTCTTCCTCATCTGTGGTAGCAGTGTTCTGTTGGCAAAACCTTTGATGAATTAAGTCTTATGCCTGTGTTAACATGGTTCTCCTGAAATATTTGTTCCAGGCCAAATGTGTTGGACAACTTTGCTCTGCTGTCTGGTCAGCTGAACTCCCTGGGGAAACAGCTGAAGGGAGACAAGATCACAACACTGAGAAACTATGTGCTGTTTCCTGTGCTGCTCTCCCCAGAGAGAGACCTAGAACTTGAGGTAATCACACCCAATGTTCCATATTCTTTTCTTCACTCAAATGATTTTCCAATAAGTGATTGGTTACCTTACATTGAATGGAGTGATAGAGCTTCGGTTTCTGTGATGCCACAACCATTTGACTATTTTTGCTGGGGGCAAATATTTTTTCTGTGAAATAGCAAAATTAATCATAGAAATAAACACATACTACTCAAAAGAAGCACCTGATTCTTTTCTACTACTATTGACTGATTAACTGTAGTAATGTGAAAGAATCAGTTATATACCCTTGTTGTGTCACATCATACCCTTGCTTGTGGATTTCCTCCCTTGGTCCAGTAAACTTTTTGCAGATATTTTACCCCCTGATTTTTATGAATGGCATATGGCTGTATCAACTACATGTATATTACTTATTCTGAATTGTGAGTTTACGTAGAATGATTATGTTTACAGAAATTGACGGAGGAGCGTGTGCTGGCATTTAATCATGAAGTCGTGCCTGATTACCTGCGTACAAAGCCTGACGCCGAGGTGGAGGAGAAGATTAACAATCTCAGTGCCAAGGCTTCCTCAGTGGTTCCTGAAAATGCAACGGTTAGTTCTTTTATTGTACTGGCTGGCTTTAAATTGAAGTTGATATTTTAAAAAGACACTATTGTAAAGATTCTTAAATGTAGCGGTCACCATGTTTCTTCCTGGTGGCTTTTTGTAAGGCCGTAATTAATTAATTGCTAGATAATCATCTCTGCCCGACTCACCACTAAACCCCCCGACAAATTAGTTGTATTTGCCGGAGTGAAATGTTTAGAGCACTGTAACATCATCAGCTGTCAAATGGCGATTTCATGTTTATAACATGCTGTAAACTGGTCTTCAACTGACTCTCAGTGCATGCCGGCATCAGCTGCTTTCCATCAGCTGTCAAGATGGTGCTCACTATTTTGAAAATACAAGAGGTGTGCAAACCATTTAAGACTGGTGTGCCTGTCTATGACTTTTATGGAAATCTTCAAAATGTTTGCTTGTGGGGAACTTGACAAGTTGACGTCAATTGATGATCAATTCATAAATGCACAAGTACAAGTTGGGGCATGGAAATCGAAAATAGGTTTGACACAGATACATCCAACTGCTACTGTTGAAATCAGGGGTCCGGAAACCGTCATATGCGCCGGACATGTCCGATTGGGAATCTCAAATGTCCGGTTTAAAATATTGCTTACCGGACATTTTAAAAAGTATTGTATTGATAAAATTATCTGTCTTGTTTTAAAAAAATCTTTAGTTTAAAAAAAAACTTTTCCCGTGAGGTCACATGATAACCAAATATGGGATAATAGTCTCGATCCAAATGTTACAACGTGTACACTTGAGCAGACTCATGAATATAACTCATGAATATTAATTAGATCGTTTACTACGTTAACAGATCATTATTATAACAGAAACAAACGTATGTTTTCCATGTATATCTAAAATGATATTATTTGTTATTAATTGTCCGGTGAATTAAACAATTTAATAGACAATTCATAATTAATCATATTATGAATACGTAAACTTGTAATGTGTGTGAAAAGTCGTACTAAAATACGCTATTTGAAGGGGGCGTGGCCTAAATGCAAATGTCCGATTGGGATTTTAATGTTTATTTATTGTCTTTGTTATTTCAATCATGTATTGTTCATTCCATAGTGGGGGCGGTCTGGTAGCCTAGTGGTTAAAGCGTTCGCTCGTCACGCCGAAGACTCGGGTTCGAATCCCGACATGGGTACAATGTGTGAAGCCCATTTCTGGTGTCCCCCGCCGTGATATTGCTGGAATATTGTTAAAAGCGGCGTAAAACCAAACTCACTCACTCACTCATTCCATAGGTGAGGTGAGGTGAAATTGGGTTTAACGTCGCGTCCAAGATTATTGCACTTATATAGCGACGTGCATGCACGTGTATGTGTGTGTGTGGCTGCTTGTACTAGTCCGGACTGATGCCGATTTATAGTGCTAGCTCACTGAGATACCATGCCGCAGTTTAACATGAATACCCCACTCAGACACAGTATACTGACTCCGAGCCGACCAGTCCTTGTTTTAGCCCCTTAATGCCGAGCGCCAGACAGGGTAACAACAAGTACAATCTTTTAACGTCTTTTTGTATGACGCGGCCCGGTATCGAACCCTGGACCTTCCGCTCTCCGGGCGGACGCTCTACCACAAGACCACGGAGGCGGTCCATTCCATAGTGTCCAGTCTTCAACTTAGAGACTTTAATAGAATTTTTTTTTAAAATGCCTCCCTCCCCACTTTTGAAAACAAAGCAGATGATAATCTGGCAATTAATTTATTATGGCCTTACGTTTGTATTTTACAAAATCACATCAAATATTTAGATCATAATTAAGAAATGATATTTAATATGAGAGTATGATATGACAGAACATTGTGGGGCAGAGGTTATGTACGCTCAAAACCCTTTTCATGAATGAAAACAAAATGGTTGATCCTGAAGTGAGCTTAAAATGTGTGTCCAAATGTTTGTTCATTTGTTGTGTGAGCTGTTCTGTCAGATAAGTTGATAATATATAGGTAGCAGCCATTCACTTTGATATAACCATGGGGATTCCTTGTTAGAATTGGTCCCCAGATATCTATTTGGGTTGGAAGAGGTGACCACATGGATCTGGTGGTCAGGTTCAGTGACGTGGTTGGGTGTGTGTTCATAATATCAGTCACTGGTTTGTCTGGTCCAGATTTGAACAGAAATTGTTTATTATGGGTGATATGAACCTGTGTCTTTTTCACAGAAACAACTCAACACACTGAATAAAATCACCAGCAATATTCTGGACATCTTGAATTCTGCCAGAGATGAGTGGGAGAAAGAGACAGGTTAGTTCACTGTTATTAAATATTCATTTCATACCCTGCATTTGTTGATATTGAGATATTTTGGTGTGAATATCTGCCCATTTGTCTCTCTATCCATCTGTAATCATTCCCTGTCCAGACTTGTCCAGGGCCCATTTACACAAAGCGATCTTAGCGCTGTGACTATTGTAAGCCTATGTTAAAGTATGGGAGTTACGATAATCTTAGCGCTAAGATCGCTTTGTGCAAGTTGGCCCTGAGATCTAATATCTCTCTCTAATCTAAACTAAGCATGTAAATTAGAACAAGACAAAGGCCATGAACAGAAAAGGTTTTTTTGTTTGTTTTTCAGAAAATATAAAGTTACTCTCATGATGGTGAAAATGTGGTGTGTTATGCTCCTCGGCCTCTCCTTCCTCCCTTTCACTGCCATTTTTAATGACTTCCCCCTTAATCTCATTGCTCTCCTCTCAATGAAACCCACAAGCACGAGTATGGTGCTGACAAGCCTAGAAACACGTTTCTGGCATCCCTAAGGCATGCATCTCTGCACAGCAAATTCCGCCTGTGCCCCCATAAAATATAAGAATTTGTTTTGAGAATTGAACCAAATAAATCATCAAACTAGTGATTTCATATACTTATGTTTATTCAGGAACATGATATAGTTATTAATGTTGTTTCAAGTTTTGAAGTATCTATTTGTGTTTTGTTTTTATATAATGCAAACACCGTTCTAGCTTGTGCCTATGATCATGATAATTCTCTTCCAGTACAAAAGACAGCCCAGCCGCAGACATCAATACAGTCAGACACTCACACACTGATCGCAGCGACGCTGGTGGGGAAGGGGTTGAGGATGCGACCCAGCCCGCCGACCACCTCCACCCCACCAATGCCCGGCCAGCCAACGGGTGCACAGCAGAAGGTTCAACAGAAGGCACAAGGTAACAACTGTAGTGGCTTCTATATGGGTGAACATTGCCAAGGAGGTAGTTTATCACTGGCCTGTGCGAATATATAGATGGTAAACTACGGTTATAACAAACTCAAAGGGGCCACTAATTTTAGTTCATTATAACCGTAGTTCGTTATAAGCATATATACAGAATATATACAGCAAATGGCCACAAAGTGGTTTTAACTTCCTGATAATGGAAGTTCATTCAAAAGCAATCTCCTGACTGGAGTTCTAAGAATGTCTTCATCCCACAATGAAGAAATGTAGTGGTCTGTCACATACAGAGCATGAACATCACAAGATTTACAAAAAAAAACATGCACAAGTGGTATAGCAACGGGTGTGTTTGGGTGAGCACTTCCATGTTAATCGAGTGTATTTGGGCCAGCTATACCAAAACAAACCGAGAACAACTGTTCTCTTCTGTTCACGTATTCTACTGTATATGAATGAAAGTCCATGAGGCTTGGCTGAAATTGGCTTGTAGTTTTATATACTACTCCACTTTTTGATAGGGATATGTTTAGCTTTCAATGATACAAAACAGATTCTCATATGTCAAGTGTATTTTAAGATATAATGACGTCAAAAGTAGAGTAGTATATATGAACTGTGTCGTTGTTTGTTTGATGCATGATGATAATGGTAGAGCGTCCGCCCGGAGAGCGGAATGTCCGGGGTTCGATCCCCAGCCGCATCATACCAAAAGAAGTTAAAAGATGGTACTTGTTGTTACCCTGTCTGGCGCTCGACATTAAGGGGCTAAAACAAGGAGTGGTCGGCTCGGAGTCAGTATACTGTGTCTGAGTGGGGTATTCATTATTAACAATAATCTTGGACGCGACGTTAAACCCCATTTCACCTTGCCTTGTTTGATGCATGAAGTACAGTGTTGCTTCTGTTGCTGAAACTTCATATATTTGACATTATACATATATATATACATCATGGCTGGGGGATGTGAGTATTTTATGCTTGTTTCTTAATGAAACATTGGTTGCCTTTGTTTATCAAGTTGAAAAAAGTATAAAGAATAATGTGTTAAATTGCAGGTTCACTTGGAAAAGCCCCCAGTATTATCAAGACCAACATCAAGGCTGCTAACACATCACATCCTTATCAGAGGTCATGATTCAATGTCAAGTGCGATTCATCCGTCAGAAGACATCAGGTCATGATTCAATGTCTAATGTGATTCATCCATCAGAAGACATCAGGTCATGATTCAATATCAAATGTGATTCATCCGTCAGAAGACATCAGGTCATGATTCAATGTCAAGTGCGAGTCATCCCTCAGAAGACATCAGGTCATGATTCAATGTCTAATGTGATTCATCCCTCAGAAGACATCATCAATAAGGCAAAAACAGCCATGAGGAATCCATGTCATGCGCTAGATTCATCGCCCAGAAAGCCACATCATGATGTCATTCAAGTGTTTGACTATACAGATGTCCAATATGTGCAAAATCAGCCACACACAATGTCAATCCTATCAGCAATTCATGGAATTTTTTAAGTCTTGACCTTTGACGGAGAGTGGCTGGATCATTTACTTACCTTGTTTACTCTACTATGCTTGTCGTAAGAGACGACTAATGGGATTGGGTGGTCAGACCCACTGCCTTGATTGATGTATGTCATCGTATCCCAGTTGCGTAGATCAATGCTCATGTCAATCACTGGATTGTCTGGTCCAGACTTGATTATTGACAGATTGCTGTCCTACAGCTGAAATATTACTGAGTGCAGCGTTTAACAAGAAGCAAAAAAATAAATCTTGCTACCATTCTGATGTGATTGTCAAAAGTGTTACGAGTGAATTTAGTGAACATCTCATGTATGACTGTGTAAATAAACAGTTTATTCCAATATGAGTGTTGGTAGTTGATTAACATGATTATTTTTTCAAAACAATTTCAAGTTTTGCAAATATAAATTGTTCACCAGACTTGCATGATGTCGCACGTTTTGAAGAAGTGACTGAAAAACTCTTGTCTTGAATAAACAACATGCCAGGCCATCCATCACAGAGGAAGCCGTTACATTGTCAGTAACTATTGGCAGTTATTGGCTAATTAAGCAGCTTTTATTTCATGTTTTTCTCCACACTATGCTTTAACAGACATCATACCTGATATACCTCTGCAGAATTCTGATTGGATGAGTGATGGTCAAGGTCGCTCAGAATGAACTAGTATGAAAACCTTGTGTAAGTAACTTCAGTATTTATGAATGGAATTTTACAAAACTTGGTATACATCTCCGAGACAGGGTCTTGACAGCATCAACTTTTGGCTGACCTCCAGATAAGATCAAGGTCACTTTTAAAACCTGGCTAAAATTCAGGAAATATTATGCTGTGAATTGTCAAAAAAGGAATTCTATAAATTATGGACTCTGAATATAATTAAGTCATTCAATAATAATAATAGTAATCCAATATTATCTGTGTCTTAAAACACAAACTGTGTGAGTATTGTTTTACGCCACATTTAGCAATAGGTTTCACCCATTGTACAAGCAAGGGTGGCCCAGTGTCTAAGGCGCCGCAATTCGTTGTGCAGAGTTGCGTCCCTTGGGCACGCCAGAAACCTATGATTGTGGGTTTGAATCCCGGTTCGCCCCAATTATTTCTAGGTTTGTCAGCAACATACCCGTGCTCGTGGGTTTCATCGAAGTGGTAAACGTCTGAGACCTGCATCACTTCGGGCTTTCCTCCCACATTAAGCTGAGACGCCGTGATATAACTGGAATACTGTTAAAAGCGGCGTTAAACCCAACTCACTCACACATTGTACCCATGTGGGAAATTAAACCTGCATCTTTGGCACGACAAGCGAATGCTTTAACCACAAGGCTATACCATCGCCCCCAAAACAAACTGAAGTAAAGAACAAAAAGTGAGTATGGTTTTACGCCACTTCTAGCGATATTCCAGCAATATCACAACTGGGGGACACCAGAAATGGGCTTCACACTTTGTACCCATGTCGGGAATCGAACCCGGGTCTTCGGCGTGACGAGCGAACGCCTTTACCACTAGAATACCAGACCGCCCCTAAAGAATAAAGATCAAACAAACAACAGAGTGAATGAGTAGTCAAGAATATTTATTCAAACATGGATCTTAAATCTGACACAGTTATCGTGAAATAACCAACTATCATGATCTAGAAGCCTGTGGTTCCTAACACCTTGAATTAAAACATTATTATTACCACTGACTTTATCAGCCTCTGTACACATGATATGCCAAATACACTATTTGATATATTGTAGTACTAGTCACTGTAATATACATCACAACAAACACCTATTGCTTATCCAAAGTTAGTTGAAATGAATCTGTTTCAGTATGAAACAGTCATGAGTGGAGGATGCAACTGGACTAAAAAGGAATCAAAGGAAGCCATGATGAGTCTTTCACATTAATTCTGCCTTTTTTTATGTAACCCTCTATCATAATATGATCAATATTGGATGCACAAGAAACAATCATAAGACTCCTAAATGTCTGCAGGAGAAGCTGCTGGGATAAATATTTTTAAAACATATTTGGTGAGCATATGAAAAATGTTTTCTATGCAGTGAAGTTAGGTGAGAAAGGGTTTAACGTCACGTTCAAGATTATAGCACTTACATAGCGACATGCATGTACACTGTATGTGTTTATTATTTTCCTATTCTAGTGAGCGAGTTGTATTTAACGCCCCTTTTAACAGTATTCCAGTTATATCACGGCATGTCAGCTTAATGATGCAGATTTGCCACTTCGGTGAAACCAACGAGCACGGGTATGGTGCTGACAAACCTAGAAACATAATCGGGGAGTATTCCTATTCTAGACTAATGCTGGTTGTATTGTGCTAGCCCACTGAGATACCATCCCATAGTTTAACCCTGATAACTGACTCGGACACTTACGCCAAACTGTCCTTGTTTTGCCAAACTGTCCTTGTTTTATCCCCTTAATTTTGGTATGACACCACCGGCAATCAAACCACCGACCTTCCGGGTAGACTCTCTCCACTATACCACGGAGGCACTCAGAGGAGAGAGTGAATGTTATTTGCAACAGCTCTTTCAGCCCATAAGAATTTCCAGGTACAGATAAACCAATCTCACAAAATCAGTTCACCAATGGTACCCAAACAAACAAATGATCCCACTATTGCCTTCTGCAAACATGTGACACTGGGCACCCTAACAACTTCACAAACCTCGTCTGTATGCTTTAAATAAACATGCAACAAAAATTCATAAGCATGGTTGGCCTATTAATATTAGAGTGTCAGGTTATTGTGCTTTTTGTGATGTGTGCTTTTGTGATGTGGACTGTTGGTTTAGTCTCTGACATACTTTGGAACACCTGGAAAAGTACAGCAAACACAGACCTTTCTAAGAGAAATATGCATGCCTTATAAGCCAGGTCGTGTTTTCAAAGTAGTCTGCATGGAATCAATATCAAAAACTCATGACAGCAAAAAGTCTGACAGTCTGACTTAAATCAAATTTATACTGCCGACTGACAACCTTCCATTACACAACTTAAAGTACTTTAACCTGAGACCAAGATATTTCTTTAAAACTAAATATTGTCAATTCTTCAAGATCAATGTAATATATTACCTTTATGATGTCAGACAACTGCAGTTTTGACTTTGAATATCAAACACTCCATGTTTTCATAGAAATGGCTCCCTGTGTCTCTCAATGCTAATGACCTTATACTTACTGGTATCAGATTGTCTGATCAGATAGTCACAGGTGCACTAACTTCATAAGATATCTCGCGGTAGGCAAAACACTGACCTCTCATACAGCACTACATACAAACAAAGTCATCTTCAGTGCAGTCATGACTTCTTAACAGACAACCAATATCACTAATTTGCCGGATTCATCATTTATTACACCTGAACAGGATGAGCTATTCCACTGTAGGAATGCACATCCAAATTACTCTGGGAAAGAAGGCTAAAACAAATAAAAATAATGCCAAATGAAATGCCAGAATTAACCCCAAATTAACCTTTTCATTCTACAGAGAGCCAATGATCTACCTCTCCCAATACAGTTAAAACTGCGAGTTGTGATCTCACACGTCTGGCTATCTTTGCGTAAAATGCAAAGGATTTAACATAAACATTTCAACAGATATTGTAATCCTCTGGTGAAATGAACTCTTTATGACTATAAACACATGACCAAAATGATTATTTTCACTGAAAACACTCAAATCAAGCCAAATAACAAAGCCTTCAGCATGTTCAGCAACTGTGCTTTTGCTGAGCATCTATGGCATATGTACATATGTTCAAATGGTTACACCTTTAAAATCATAAATATACAAGTACGTCTAGGTTCTTTTTACAGGTTTTAGTCTACATTTTATTCCAAGATTTATAATCACCAAACTAAGAAAATCTCTTTTCAAAACCTGCACTGAAGTTGATCATGTTGACAGGTAATAACAAAAACATTCTAACATTTTTTTAAAGCAATATTGTAAGTTGTCACACAACCATATTTCTAAAACCAGGCAAAATTCTAGACACCATGTACATAGACAATAAGCCGGTAACTCCTTATCTAAATTTTAACGCTTCAGTAAGTTCCACATCATTTTGATAAGTACATATTTCAGTCATATCATGTCATGAGAGCCTCGAGTGACCATGGTCCAAGTGAGGAGTATGATGATGACCAATAAAGGTTCCTAGTTGGGGGAATAAAACCAGAAAGAGCAAATCCTGGCACATAAGGGACACCACTCTGCATGACTGGACCACTGTGCCTCCCCTTGTCATGCTTGATGGGCCAAACAAAACGTGTGTTTCCTAATTCAGCCAATCCCAAATTAGGTAGGTAGGAACTTTTGATTTTCCTTTTTTGAAAAAATATGCCTATTTCAGATGAATATATTGATAAATTGACTGGTTATTCTAAAGCAAATGAGTAAGTGAGGATTGTTTTACGCTGCTTTTCACAAAATTCCAGCAATATCAGGGCAGGGGACACCAGAAATGGGCTTCACACATTGTACGCCATGTGGGGGGGAATAAAGCCCGGGTCGTCAGTGTGACGGGCACAAAGTGAAGCACAACAAATTTACTCCAGTTGCATAAAATATAAACAATACCAGGATGGTGATAAAAGCTATGATGCAACTCTTGAAAACAAGGAAAGATTGCTTAGGGTCAGGCGCGTCATATTAGGGTTGGTCTGGAAAATGGAAACACACATTATTTTGTTTGGTCTATGTAAATAAACATTAAGTACAATAGGATACACCTGTGCATGACACACAGGCCACGAAGAAATACTCATCACATGCCATTTTAAAAATCCCCCAAGCAAGTCAATGTCATATTTTCATTTGTTTCTTCGAAAAGTAAGTATGTCAATATCCTTATCTTTTATTTGTTGAATCAAATATTCAGTTCAAAACATGCGGAAAGGGAAACTGTGATTTCTTGTGCCACTATTTACAATGTCATGAAAGGTATATACAAATGCAGGAGAAGTGCACACAGGTAGTACAGAACTTCATAAATGAAGCATGAAAATATCTAAACTGCCTCATTCATAAGGAAAGAATGGATTAAACAATGCATTGACAACCAGTTGATCAAGTGACAAGTCCAACAGTTTACAGTAAGAGTGAGTTGGTTTTGGTTTTGTTTGTTGTTTTACGCCGCACTCAGCAATATTCCAGCTCTATGACGGCGGTCTGAAAATAATTGGATTGGACCAGACAATCCAGTGATTGATATCATGAGCATCGATCCACGCATTTGGGATCGATGACATGCATCAACCAAGTCAGCGAGCCAGACCACCCGATCCCAGAGAGAGTTGGGTTTAACGTCTTTTTGATCTGTGTTAGAAATATACAGTATTGTTTCATAAGTCACAAGGGCTGGCAATCACAAAGGTTACTATCCATTGACCATCAGGCTGGCATTACCTTCAAACAACAATTGTTGGTTTATCAATCTAATGAGCAAATGAGTTTGGACTTGGATAACTTTGTTATGAAAGCAGCAGAGGAGTGAGTGAGTTGAGTCTAACATTGTTTTCAACAGTATTCCAGTTATATCACGGCATGTCAGCTTAATGTGGGAGGAAAGCCCCAAGTGATGCAGGTCTCAGATGTTTACGACTTTGGTGAAACCCAAGAGCATTGGTTCAGTGCTGACAAACCTAGAAATATGGTGGGGGTGAACCGGGATTCGAACCCACAATCATAGGTTTCTGGCGTGCCCAAGGGAGATGAAACTCAGCAAATTGTAGCGTCTTAGTCAGCTGGGACACCCATGCATCTGCAAAATTATGATTCCACATCAACAACTGAAAGAGATCAACTGGTTGTCAACAATAACTTGCAACTAATCACAGCATTGCACAGCTAAATTTATCTGTTCTACTTGTTTCTGTCCGTTACCTTGGCAGGGGTGTTCAATTAGAATGCCTGACATGCCTGACCCATGCAAATCAAGTGCCAAGCAAGTGGGAAAACATAATTTGGTTTTCATCAGGCAAGTACAAAATTCAAAGGTGATAACTATGAAACTTAGAAGATACATCATGTGCTTTCGAAAAGATTTTGTCAACTGCAGATGAAGCACCTGACTGGTTGTTTTTCTATACCGCATAAGCTGTTGCTTCAGAATACAGTTTTGTGGTTGAAATTACAGTTTTCTTCTTTTCTCTGCTTTAGCAGGGCAAATTGAAAATCAGGTTCAAGGCAAGTAGGAAAATTTGGTATTGAACACCCTGCTTGGTTATCCAAACTGTCAAGAATACAAGATTAATGTTTCACAAAAGATACTTTCTGTCAAAAGCAAGTCAAATTCCCTGGATCAAAACATCTATTTCACGTTTTGAAAACCAAATACCGGTAACTCAATTTTATCTTGAAAGAGGGAGAGAACTGGTGAGTACTGGGTAGCATGATCGGGTGAAGGATGGCAACACAGTCGATCTTACAGAAAGTAGCAGCATGAACAGCAAGCATATCCTCAAAATGAAGTTTGTTTGTTTGTTTGTTGTTTAATGCTGCACTCAGCAATATTCCAGCTATATGACAGCGGTCAGTATGTAATCATGTCTGGACCAGACAATCCAGTGATTGACATCATGATCATCGATCCACACAATTGGGATACGATGATCCACATCAACCAAGTCGCCTCTTACGACAAGCATACGTTGCTGTACACCTATTCTAACCCGGATCTTCACTGGTCATAAGGAAGTAAATACAACAGGAACAAAAAGCACAGTTCATTTCCGTTACCACAAGTCGAATCACAATGGGCATAACTAGTTTATTCTAGTCAGTTATCCTTGTCAGAGTCCACAAATGAGGTTGAATGGTGGTGGTCTTGTCTGTGTTTCCTGTTATACAGTGCTCATTTGCAGAAGACGGGTTACAAAAGCGTATGAATGTACACTGGAGAGGGCAGCCAGGACCTCAGTCAATCGCTCTGATGGCTCCTTCATGGAACGAGTGAAGCATCTCTGGAGGAGCCACAACATTACAGTAAATTTCTTCTGTGCGTGGATGTGCAAAAGACTCAGAACCTGTATTCATGCCAGTCCTTTATTCACAAAGACTGCTATAAGAACACTTTTTCCTATGACCTTGAAATGTCATTCAAGAATGGAGTTTGCTGATGGACTCCACTGAAGAAGTACACTGACAGCACCAGAAACTTGATACAAGTCAAATAACTGCCTTGGTAGCAAACAATCTGTATCTAGCGTCAAATCTTCTCTAAACTCTGCTGTCCTCGATTTGATTCCTCACGTTCTACACAGATAATTCAGTTGGTACAAGTGACTCCTCCCCCACACTCGGAACACGCACCGTCATCGGTCCATCAGAAGGCGAAAACCTGAGAATGTGGTATAAATAGATATCTCAACTGTACACTGTTGTGTGGATTCTGGTGAAGACTATACAGAGGCCACTGCTGTAGTCGTGGGCACAACAACGTTACCAGGCATAACATAGTCGCCAATCATGAACTGCTGACTGACGGGGTAGTGTGCCATCCCGCCACTGATCACGTTCTGAAAAAAGCAAAGAGTAATTTACACACATTTCAAAAACTTCTGTCATAAAGGGTCAAGAAATTATACCACTCAACCTTTGATAGGGATCCTTTGTATTAACAAAAAATAGTATTATAGGTAAGCAGTTAGCTGTTGAGTAATAGGACTATCCTTATCAAAAGTTAGTGTAGCATTATGAAGCATCATGAAAAATACTACTCATTTTCTTATCAGAACACTTTAACATGTTCATTCTATTATACTGATGTAGTGAGTGGGTGAGCGAGTCTGGTTTAAAGCCTCTTTGAACATAAATGCAACTTGAAGTGGGTGAAAAGCCTGAAGTGATGCAGTTTTCAGACGCTGACAACTTTGGAAGAAACCTATGAGCATGGGTATGGTCCTAACAAACAAAGAAACAATCATGGCGAAATTGGAATTTAAACCAAGGATCATAGTTTTCTGGAATGTCTAAGTGAGGCAACCTATACACAGTGAATTGCTGCGTCTTAGACAACTAGACAATGTGCTCCTACTATTAAGAGTAATCAGTTCAGTATATGTAAGAATTGATTAATATAATTTTTGCTATTATGGAGGTATGAAAGAAAAAACCGATGTGAATACTGTGTGCACACCATTTACTTATGTTAACTCCATGAACAAAACAAAAATTGATGTCAATTGTTATATAAAAATTATCAACAATAATAACTTCACAGACTGCTTACTTAATCATTATCGTACCAAAGAAAACTAAAGAACGATACATTATCACGGACATCACTCAGCACAATAATGCAACACAAGCCCCTACCGATTCTATTATTAGCCAATCAAGAAACAGTAGTCCATTAGGTGGCATTACTTATTTTTTTTATTCTTGGGGGAGGGGTGGGGTGGGGTGGGGTGGGGTGGGTGGGGGTGGGTGGGGTGGGGTGGGGGTGGGGGGTGGGGGGGGGGGTGTGGGCTTGGGGGGGGGGAATAATTAGAGAGAGAGAGAGAGAGAGAGAGAGAAGAGGAAAGTACTGGGAATTAAATAAGAGATCTGGAAGTAAACGCAAAAGAAATTGCTTTGTTCACCAATTAAAGGCCATGGAATCACTTGCAGTGTTTATAACTGTTACAATGATAATTTCAGTTTTATTAAAGAGCAATGTCATTAAAATCTGTTCTTAGTGCTCACTACTGCTACACAAAGATCTGAGTACTACATCCCATAACAGGTCACATCACAGGGTACAACGACATGAAATCAAGCAAGTCTAGGAGCCTGACAACTCGATCCATGAAGTCGTCTTGACGACAGAGGTTGCTAGAGGAACCAATTCTAAGCCAGAATTTCCACAGAATTACAAGCGTCCAGATATTAGAAAAAGACCTTCCAAATGTTCAATGCTTTCAGGACTAGTAGCCGAGATGCCAACCCTAATTGAAGCTTTCAAGTAATCAATTTCATGTGAAAAAGAGTAATGTTACAATAGCGAGTGAGTGAGTATGGTTTTACGCTGCTTTTAGCAAGATTCCAGCAATATCATGGCGGGAGACACCAGAAATGGGCTTCACACATTGTACACTTGTTGGGAATCGAACCTGGGTTTTCGGCGTGACGAGCGAACGCTTTAACCACTAGGCTACCCTACCGCCCCTTAATGTTACAGTACCATGATGAGGGTTTTTGCTTGGATATTTTTAAAAGGCCTAGACTTAAGTAAACCATGTGGTGGAAGTTCCTTCCGTTCATCAAGTTCATCTAGTGACACTAGCTAACTGTCTTTCACAAAGACAATGTGGTGTTCAGAGTTCCGAAGGAATATTGGTGTACATGCAACTAGAAGTTCATTAGATAAAATCATTTTCGTGTCTTAACATAACAAACAATCAGAGACCTTGTATCACTGAGAAATTGGTATTTTAACACCATGAGAATTGAAAGCATGGCTGTCATTGGTCTCTCTGTAGAATGCTTCATGTCCCAGATCCATTAACAACTTGCTGTCAGTGATATTGTATGCAAGTAAATAATACATGAAAAAAATGACAAAAATCATAATTTTGGGGGGAAGGACAAGCGGAATAGCATAATCATAAGCTAAAAATCAAAACAGTAAACTATTACACCAAAATCGTTATGGTTGGCATCTTTGGTAGCTGTGTTCAACCCTTCAAAGCCATACACAAAGCAGCTTAGAATGACAAATATTGAGCTCTGATCACAGATGCAACTCATATCCAAAGCTTTTCATTACTGGTCTGCCAGGCATGTTGAATACTTGTTCTATTTCCAGCACTGATTACAAGCTATCTCATGTAACAGCAGTTTTCATTTCAAACACCAACCAAACCACCTCGTTCATTGTTGTCTTGTTACATGAAATATCCAGTGTGAGAACTAGCATGAATGCAAATGTGATCAACAATTGTGCCCTGGCATGATAACATCGGTGTTGCTTGAAGAATGTTGTTCTAAACACTAGTAGTGGTTGTTCTACCCTTTCCCAGTCCCACCCCCCAAAAAACATAGCAAAGCCTCTTTTTTAAATACTTGACGGTGCTCTCGCTGTCAGTGCAACTATGATCATCATACAGTCAGGTTAGTGCACTAGAACCAGAACTTCTGCTTGATGTTACCATGGTTACACAAAAGCATTTTTTAACCAAACAAATGTAAATTAAGTAAAAGAAGCCAGCAAATACCACAAAATATACCAGGAAAAAAATGGAAACCAATCTACTCGGCAAAGAACTACAACTTAGAATAACTTCCATGCAATTAGTGACATACGTAAGAAGCAACGCCAAACCAAACCAAACTGGGAATTGAAATGAGAATATGTCATGCAATTGGCTAAACAAGCTAGAAGAGCTTGGAGCTATTGATCTTCACTACCGCTAGGCCTACCTGAGAGTTTGTGAAGTTGATGGGACTTATACCACCACCAATGGAGGTCCGGTGTGCGTTAGAATTGGACACTTGGCTCCCTACGCTTGGAATACTGCCAGGGTTGATAGGGGCAACGACATTCGCTAGAAAAAAAATTTACCATAAAATATCTCCTTTTCAATTTTCCCTTGAATACACATCTTAGAATTTCTGCCCATATATTTGTGCAAATGATAAAAAGAGTTAACCCTTTGACAGATACATTACAACCATGACCAGAATCTAACATTGATAGAGTACACTATTATTTGACCCTCCTACTGACAAAGAACAACAGATTGTTTATACTAGGAGACCTGACAGAAAATACTGTGTTACTGCTTGAACCCTTCCAATACATATTTCGACTGAAACAATTTCCCTAGAAATAAGGCTACATTTTCTTAGTTTAAAGTTTCGTTCTTCACTAAAACAAGACCACAAACTGAGTTATAAAATACTATCATGTCATACCAATGTATTTGTTCACAACTACACCTGTATTCTGCAGTAACAAGTCTTTGACACGTGTACATCTTTCTAACAAAGTATCGTCCACCTTAGACCCACCACTTTCGATATTTCTATTTACTGACAAATATTTTCTACAATCTATGATCAAGAACAAGTTGAAAAATATCCATGGGTGGCTTGTGATCCTGATTTGTACCTTTCAAGGTGTGTTTAGATCTGTGGCATGATAACAGTGCTCTCACTGAACTACTTGTGTGCATGTGACCTTCCACTTCTTACTGTTATTACTGCATCAAGGACCAATTTACCAATTTAGTTTATTTCTTTGTAAACTGTTAAAAAATCCTGAAAAAAAAATTGAATAAAGAAAGACTTTTCAGATTTTTTTGTTCTACATGCTGCATGTTCGTCAAACTGTTGTTGTCCATCATTCAGTTTGACATATTCACATTTCAGTTTGATTCAATTTGGCGGATTCAAAATAAAGGAGATGTCCCATTTTATTTTTTTAACACATGTCATTTTTAAGGGTTTGTGTATCCATAAACAATTTTTGAAAAAGAGAAGAGTCATCATGTCTGAGGCTGACAAAATAGCAATGGATAATGACACACTACCAGAGTTTGTATCATCTTTCTGTCACTCACCCATATAAAGCTCTAATCATCAACCATTGTATCCAATATTGCAATGATAAAACCCAGAGCTGACAAACCAGTATCGACCCATGCCATAATACAGCGAGACACTATCTCACAATGTCATCACTTTCCCAAGTTCGGTTCATACACAGCAACCACTGGGACCACCTGATAGATAGCTAGAACTGTGACCAGCATGGCATACTGGAGACCTATTCTGCCAAAAATCTGTGTGTAAATATTGCTAATTCCTCACCTTTCCAAATTTACAAACAGAAATAAATAACCTAATCTGACACTGTCCATGCTTGAAAGTCAGAAACCTGAAGTACCTGATGTAATACCAGTGTGTCCAGGGCGCCATTCTATAAAGCGATCTTGAAACACCATTGCAGGTCAATGTAAATGTGTGGGCGAGACAGTGAGTGACTTCTGTTATATCATGGTGTGTAAGTTTGACAGGGGTCGATTTAACTGCTGGCCCATTGGGCCGTGGCCAGTTAAAATTACAAAGGGCTTGCTGAAACACAAAGTAGATGGCCAGTCTGGCTAGTCAAAGTTTCACCCCTTCTCCGTGTATGTTTAATTTTTTTTAAATGAATCATCTTGGTAGTAACACAACCGACCACCATTTTGTAGTGAGTGAGTGAGTTGCGTTTAACAATATTCCAGTTATATCGCGGCGTGTCAGCTTAATGTGGGAGGAAAGCCCCAAGTGATGCAGGTCTCAGACGTTTACCACTTCGGTGAAACCCACAAGCACGGGTATGGTGCTAGCAAACCTAGAAACATAATCAGGGCAAACCGGGATTCGAACCCACAATCATAGGTTTCTGGCGCGCCCAAGGGACGCAACTCTGCACGGCGAAATGCGGCGCCTTAGACGACTGGGTCACCCGTGCCTCCCACCATTTTGTAATGTTGTATACAACAACTTCTCTATTTGCTCATAAATCGCCATGAAATGAGGCAAATGGAAGCCAAGATTTCATCTCAGAGTGCAGAAAAAAAACTTCTGGGTGTGAGGAGCTCTAAAAACTTTAGGGCCCTGCTAGTTGGCTATGTGACTCAGGTTCGGCCACTTCGCAGCCTCCACCATATAGTTGTAGGCCCATTAGTTCGGAGAAGGGCCAGTAACTTTTAAAAGGAGCAAGCCCTTCTGGCGACATACAATTTGTTATTAAATCTACCCCTGTTTCATGTAGGAGGAAAGATAAAATTGATTCAGGCTCTAAGATGTTTAATAATCTTTTTTGAAACCCAAAAGCACCAATATGGTGCTAACAAACCTTGGAACATAAACAGAGTGGGATGCAAACCCACCATCATAGGTTTCTGGCACTTCTTAGGGACACAACTCTGCACAGCACGGAGTTATGTCTGTGTTCTAAGATCGCTTTGATGAGTATGGCCCTGATAAACAAAGTTCCATAAAAAATTAGAACTGCAAACAATACTTCATGCGTTTTCACTGTCAAACCTGCCACAATGCAATCGACCATATCTTCAACCCACACCACACGCTGTCAGGAAGAGGAATACAAGTGACTTCACACCTAACCTCTTGAGTAAAACATTGGTCACTTTCACAAGAATATAAAAAATAGTATGCTGCAATCACTGCCAAGAGACAACAGCATACATTACTTACATACTGCTATAAGGTTTGTCTGTACGGCTCCGCCCTGCTGGGGCAAGGACTGACCCTGGTCAACTACGCCATTCATCAAGCCGTTCATGTACGTGGAGGTCTGGCCTGAAACAAACAGCATGTTTAACCATGTAGTCATAAATTCAACTTCGACAATGACTAAATAAGGCTTGAAGCTTAAGGTACGAAAACTATGTCAAAGTCATATCATGATTATTCTCAGTAGTTTGCAGACAGGAAACCTGAACAGTCAATTTGGGCTCCCTGACTAAATAGCTTGAATGGCACTTTTTCGCAAAATTCCACGAGAAGCATGTGCACCGCCAACTCGTCAACACATATTTTCCTAACTTTTTCATGTATTTAATAAAGGTGCTTACGTGATTTGATGCACTTCGCAATGTAAAATCTGTTTTATCACAATATAGATCTTGATTATCAATGAAATCATCTTGACCAGGCATCACCATTTTGTTTGAAGCAAATGCAAGTGGTACAAGAGGTGGAATTTGATTGGTCCATAGGCGAGGCATAGAAGGGACAATAACTTGTAATAGCCACTGGTGGCGCTACGATCGAGCCCAGGAATTCCAGCCTAGTTCGGCAAGGGTGGAAACTGGACTTTTAAAGTCAGTTAACTATCTTGCCTCGGGAAGATGATGTCATTGGTGCCCCCCATAAATGTAAATCAGCTGAGGTAAACATTCATAAACATTCTGCTCAGGACTTGATTTTGAATAACTTTTTACTCATGATTGTTGTTTAAAGCAATATTTGTAGAATTTTCCTATTCGGAATATTCTATAAGTAATACGTTACCACTGTTATACCGATGCTGTTGTCTCCCACAACTGCTGCTATAGCGAAATCTACCACAGAGATCTCAATTACCTCATGCAGCACGTGCGTAGCCACCTAGCTGCCATGCGACACCCTTTACTCTTGTCTCTTGCGAGAGCAAGTACTCGGGGGACGGACGGGCGGGCAGCAGCCCAGTGGTAACGTATTACTTATAGAATATTCCGAATAGGAAAATTCTACAAATTACATTAAGTAATACGTTACCACTGTTATACCGAGGCTGACTACCACAGTAGGCGGTGGGGAGCACCGACAACCCGAATCCTGACTGCTAGCGTTCCTTCCGACCAGCGGCAGTAAACACCAAGGCAAGGAAATGGTTGCGCATGCACCTAGCTAGGCGTTACCCTATAGGAATACCAAAGCACTGTCAAGCGCATACCGTAAGGCTCAATCGTCATTGCCAAAACGATTGGAGACTCCAAACGGCCCCACTGGATAGGTATTTCATCGCCGCAGCGGATGAGAACACTGTATCTGTGTGAGCTAAATCTTAGATCGATTAAACAGTCAAAAAGAGGGAAATTAATTTCATTCGGACCGTATATCCCAGAGCAAGCCTACTTAAAGTATGCATTAGGCGCATGACCTAATTCCAGTATTTGTAAGCATGCATCACAAGGTTGGGATACACGACAGACAATTAAATACATAATTGTAAAAATACAAATAAGGACAAAGCACACAAAAAGCCGCTGGTTTGCTGGAGTGCGCTGGTTTGCGGGACCCCAACTCCTGTACCCACGGCAGTGGGAACATTGGAGTCGACACAGATTGACCACCGTGCAAGGTCTGACGCCTGAGGAGTTCGGAATTGCGCTGGGCACACCCCTTAGGCGACCGCTTGCGCCGCGATCAGCGGCCCAAGACGGTGCACACTCTCCACGTCGTCATCAGCGACCTGTTTGAGGTAATGATTGGCAAAAACCGAGTCAGAACGCCAGTAACAACCTCGTAATATTCTGCGAACAGAGATATTCGAGTGTAGGGCAAATGTTGCCGCTAGAGACCGGTACGCCAGATTGACGACAGAACGAAGCCATAACGCAATCAAGTTGCGAGTTATGTCAGCAGTGCGATTAGGGTTACACGATATGAACAGACGGTCATGCCCTTGTCTGCGTTCATTCGAAGCCTTAAGATAATACTTAAGGGCCCTAACCGGACACAGCGATCTGTCCTCAGTATCAGCAGGATGTAAGATTTCCTTGAGTGATCTTACAGTGAATTCTCTCTCCGTTTGGCCCATGTCAAAGGAGAGGAGAAATGCTGTTTACCAAGTCACATGCCGGAACGAAGCACTACTCAAGGGTTCATACGGAGCTTCCGTAAGTAATTTCAACACTAAGGAAAGATCCCAGGCCGGTGCCCGAAGGCGGCCTTTCTGAAGATCTTGCTGTTTGAAACCCTTGATAATACCCCGAATCACCGGCTCTTATGAGAGACTGGTACCCATAGCAACGTCCCCTACCGTAGCAACGGAAGAGACATAGTTGGCAATGGAACCCCCGGAGAGTTTCCGGGTCTCTCGTAAGTGAGACATGAAACGAGCAATATCCTGCACAGATACCTTATCTGGCGAATGAATGTGATGTTTACAACAGCACTTCGTGAAAATAACCCAACATGCATTATACACCTTCTGGGTAGAATCACGATGCATACTAACGTATGCCCGAGACGCCCGACGAGAAAAACCTTTACTCCTCAGACGCTCGGTGACAACATCCACACGTGCAGATTGAGCTGCCCTGCGTTTGGATGAAGCTGACGGGTGTGAGGGTGGATCAAGAGATCCGGTCTCACAGGCAGTGGGAGTGGCGACTGCTTGACCTGGGTCAGCAAGTCGGGATACCACGATCTGTTCGGCCACATGGGCGCGATCAGTTACATTTGACAGCGAACTCCTCGGAGCCGGCTTAGAATGAGTGGTATCAACAGCGTCGGTGGGTAAGCATAAGCGTCCATGCCCGTCCAGTCTAACGCGAGAGCATCGTGATCGATGGCCCTCGGGTCCGGGACTGGTGATACAAACAACGGGAGTTGATTGTTGAACCTGGTTGCGAACAGGTCGACCATCGGACGACCCAAACGTTCGCACAGCCACTGAAACACTACTGGGTTCAGCATCCACTCTGTGGGGCTCGGATCCCAAGGCCTCGATAGAGCGTCGGCCAGTACGTTCCGCACACCTGGGATGTGAGATTGAGTAACGAGTGACTGTGGGTTCCCCCCAGTTTTATTCACATAGGACACTACCGTCGTGTTGTCGGTCGCCAGCATGAGCCGGGCGTCGACGAGACAATGCTTCCAGTGATTGACTGCATTTATCACTGCCTTGAACTCGAGACAATTGATGTGAAGACCTAGTTCGTCTACGCACCACAGCCCCGAGCTCACCTCCCCCAGACAGAGAGGCATCTGTATACAGGTTCAACGTGGCCCAGTAGGGCCGCATAGAGATTCCTGATAAGACATTGTAAGGGACCGTCCACTACTCCAGATGCGGGCGGAGCCGATCTATGAGGGCAACGGTCGCACTGTTCTCCTCCTGTGCTAACAACTGGATTGGAAACCATTGCAGCGGGCGGAGTTGGAGACGACCCCGATCGGTTCAGTCCAGGGCGGACACAAGTAGCCCTAACAGCTGTTCCCATAAGTGAACAGTCTGTGGCACCGCTAAGACTTTGGCAATCATCGCCTGAATCTCGTGCCACCGGTCTGGGGGGACAAAGAGGCGATGGGTCACCGTGTCGAACCGACCTCTGAAGAACTTCAAGTTCTGTGAGGGGGTTAACTCGCTCTTGGGGAGATTGACAATCCACCCCAATTGCTCCAAGAGCCAAAGTGCAAAATTGAGCTGACGAGACAGCACGTCCGTCATTCAATTTGCAACTAGCGAGTCGTCCAGGTACGCGAAGTACCGGACACCCCTCCTGTGGAGGAACCCCACTATGGGGGTGGTGAACCGGGTGAACAGCCAGGGAGCGGACGTGTGAATCATTCTGAGTTCGGCACTGTCCTACTTGGGAACGAGAAATATCCTGGAGTAAAACCCCGGTGTTATATCTGGTAGAGCTAACTCCCGTACTGCCCCTTCTCCACCAACCTGCCGATGGCATCGGCGAGGATGAGAAGATCGGTTTCCGAATCGAAACCTGCCAACGGGGCAACGGTGAGCGGCGGAATCGCTTTGAGATCTAGCCGATAGCCGTACCGAATCGTGTTGACCACCCACGGGTCGTCGAACACTTGTTCCCAATTCTCCCAGTAAGTCTGGAGTCTGGCTCCCACTGGGGAAGGAGAGGGGGCCCTGACAGGCTGCGGCAGGCGCAACTGTCCAGGGCCAAGTGACTCGGGTTCGCCTAAGGGCCAACCGAAGTTGGCGTTGTCGGCATACGAACCCCTCCAATTAGAGTCACCTGGAGGGGCCCTTGCCGTCCATAGACGACTTGGGCTTCCCCCAGTTCCCCGTCTTCCCGCGAAAGGGCAGCTGATTGCCCATACCGGAGCCCTCAGGGCGGGGCTTCTTCCCAGAGGAAGAGAGAACCCGACCCCTTAGACCTACCGGCCGCAGCAGCCTGGGGCGCGCTCCGGTTAGGAGCAGCACCCAGGCACCTATGCAGGGACCCAACAAGAGCAAGTGTGTGCGCCGAGAGTCCTCATCAAGGTACTCCAGGGAAGCATTTAAACTGAGCAGGCATTTGTAAATGCGCTGGTCACGGTCCGTGGGAGAACCTTCGACCAGACTGGCCGCTGCAGCCAAGTAAGTGTCTCCGTGAGCATGGAGCATGGAGCATTGAGTCCAGCTGGTGCAAGGTAGATAGCGTTACCATAGCAGCCGGTGGGGCACGGACACCCAACCGCTCAACATGGGCCTCCGCAGTAGGACCACCCTCGGGAAAGGCAAGGTCATGTACCGGGAATAAACCCTTTCTCCACGACATCGGAGGCAACGGGAGACCCCGACCGGAGGCCGCCGCGAAGGCGTTCTCCAAGGAAGGCTTGGTACCGCGCAGCAAGGTGGAAAGCCGTGTCGGAAGACTCATCGTATACCTCGGAGGAACCACCAGAGCCGTGGATTCCCCGCGGTACCGGCCGGGGCCGTGGCATGTCTTCAAAGAGGTCATAAACCATGGCCAAGCGGTCCTTAACCGATAGCGGGAGCAACGGTTCGGGGGAAGGACCGTTGACCACGGGAGCCGCCACCGAAGTGGCCGGGGACGGAACAGCCAGTGGCCTATCCTGAGATAAGGCTGCCAGCCTGGAGTCCACAAGTTTTGCAAGTAATGCAGCGACAGAATCCCCGGACAGCCCACGGGCCGCCGCAGCCGTGGTGGTGGTACCCGCAAGGGGACCCCGACCAGGCGAGCCGGCCACCACAGGGGTGGAAATGGACTGCACATACAGCCGGTAGCGCTCGCTTGCGGCACACCCCGCAGCTCCTGGTTGCGGGGGTAGAGGGGTAGGAGGACGGCGAAACATCCATGTCAGACATTTTGTTTGTACTATGAACAAAGAGCAAAACATGGTTACAACACAGGCACCACAAATAGTCACAAACGAGTATTTTCACCAGAAAATAAACGAGCAATGCGAATATAGAACATACACATATAACATATAGAGGAATAAGTGATGTAAAAAACCCAAGATATACTAGAACAGGGGAACATAAGACGCAACGTGCATACGAGACACCCCACAAGTATATAGAAAAAAAGGGCGGGGAAAAATATTTCCAAGCGTAGTTACAGCAAACGCCCCGTAAAAGCACAGTTTATTAGAGAGAATAAACAGTAATAAATATCACCAAATGGTCGGAGAAACAGGAACGCTTGAGCAGTTTATTGTACGTCTTGCTAGAGCAAGCGAAGAGACAAGAGTGAAGGGTGTCACATGGCAGCTAGGTGGCTACGCACATTGAGATCTCTGTGGTAGATTTCGCTATAGCAGCAGTTGTGGGAGACAACAGCCTCGATATAACAGTGGTAACGTATTACTTAATGTAATTCCAACTACAGTCAAGTCCTGTCAGTCCGACATGGTTGGTTGTACATGATTATGTCGGATAAACAAGTCTGTTGAATAAACGCAATTAAGCAGTATCAACATTCCTGATTGAAAATCAGACAACTACACGATAGATAACAACACATACACGTTGTAATAATAAAAAAAATGAAAAGGATATACACTGTATTTATATTGTTATGTTATATTGTTAGCAGAATATGTTTTCTAATCATGCTACCTCTAAAGCTTAACACAGGGTATTCCGAACTAATGTTACAGGGTGTATGATTGATTCAAAATATTTTTGAAAGCTGCTTTCTTTGAGGCAAATGTTGACTTCCTGTTGGTCATTTCATTGATCGGTCAAAGTTCGCAAACAGCCATTCTGACATGAATTCGGTAATTCGTTGCACAAAAAATGTGCAAAAAATGTCGGAATAAAGGGTCTAGCACTGATTTAATCGGTTCCCATCATTAGTGTTGGATAAAGCAGATTGTCAGTTTAACGTGAGTCGGATTAACAAGACTTGACTTGACTGTCTATAACGACGGCCTGTATATAAACAAGTCTGAACCAGATAATCCAGTATTTGATATTGTGAACACGCCATCAGTCACGCCATCAGGGTTCAATGACATGCCACCAACTATGTCAGGGAGCCTGACCACCAGATACTTTGGATTGCCTCTCATGTCCAGCATAGAGGCTGGGGATCAATTCTAACCGGAATATATGACGGCAGATAGTAAATATAAAATAATCAAGGATAGAAAAGAGAAATCGGTGATTGATATTGTGAGCAAGAATCCATGCTGTCGGTGTATGCTACCACTAACCAAGACACCAAGCCTGACCATCGTCGCCAAGCAACAACAAGCAAAAGCTGCTTGGGACCACTTCTAACCTGGACTCCCCACTGGAGTATCTACTGTGTAGAAAGTGTGTGAGGAGGTTAAGGCGTACTCACCCGTAGCGAGTACATACCTGTAGCAGATACAGTGATAGAAGGAGTACTCACCCGCAGATAGAGTTTTCCAGGTCATATCTCTGGCAGAGGATGGGTTACGGCTGGAGGTGGACGAGGTGTACTCACCTGTAGCGAGTGAATTCCAGTACACATCTGTGGCAGATGCTGAGTTACAGCCAGGTGGTGGCTGCGGTGGCTGGCCAGTGTAGCGGAAGAATGGATTCTTTAAATCTAGTGTGTTGGTTGACTTGCTTGAAGTCCCAGGTATGTTTAGTTCAATATCAACATCATAACTTTGCCTGAAACACAAATAGCAATAAAATGTTTCCTCCTCAACTGGACAAATCTAATGAATTTACAACCCACATAATTGACAGAGGTCTGTAAATAATCAAGTCTGGATCAAACAATCCAGTGATTGACATCATGGGCGTCAATCTACGCAATTGGGATACGAGTCTTCAGCCAATCCAAAATTCATTTATTTATCACCTTGAATTAGAAATTTCAATCTCAGCGAAAGAAAACCACTATAGACGACATATACTATTGATAATACACCCGTTTGTGTTTAGATGCCATGGTGCTCAGAAATGGCAGAATGCATAAATGTCCACAACAATATAATAGTGCAGCATCACTGTTTTTGCAACTGGATCTCCTCAATTATATTCGGAATACAGAAATCAAATATGCTTGTCTGAATGTTTTCCTCACCAATCTAGAACCCTTGACACTAACTGGCTAAATGGAGGCGTCTTCAGGATATGATGCAGAGAGGTATCGTATGAGAGTAGTTTGTTTGTTGTTTAATGCCGCACTCAGCAATATATTCCAACTATATGACGTCGGTCTGTAAATAATTGAGTCTGGACCAGACAATCCAGTGATCGACATAATGAGCATCAATCCATGCTATTGGGATACGATGACATGCATCAACCAAGTCAGCGAGTCTGACCACCCGATCCTTTCAGTCGCCTCCAACGACAAACATTGGCTGCTGGAGACCAATTCTAACCTGGATCTTCACGGGTCTCGTATTAGAGTAATGAGATTACATGAGGTACATGCTCTGTCTCACCTGGTGTTGCAAGTGAGTGTCACCTTCCCCGTGAGGGTTTGGCCCTGCTTGACAAGGACAGGGGATTGCACCAGACAACGCACCTGGTACCAGTGAGTCAGGGGCTCAGTCGGAGACGTCGATAGCCATACAGTGTTCCTGCAACATGAGGACAAAAATAGTATTTCAAACCATAAAGTAGTGAGGTTTTACACCGCTTTTAGCAATATCACGGCAGGGGACACCAGAAATGGGCATCACACATTGTACCCATGTCGGGAATCGAACCCCGGTCTTCAGCCACCTGACCCCCCTTAGAGTAGTGCAAAAGTCAAACAATTCTTACTATGTTCAAACATGTCAATCAAGCATGTAAGTCGAGCGCATATAACTTCGGAGGGAGGGAGTCCACCAGCTCAAACATCTTCATTAGCAACACTTTAAAAGCTTTTAATGTTAACATATGGGCTAAAATAAACTGAGCTTACTAGACAGCAAAAATTAACTTGGGCTATAGACTGAGTTAGTGAGTGAGCATTGTTCTTCGCCGCTTTTAGCAATATTCCAGCAATATGACTATGGGGACACCAAAAATAGACTTTACACATTGTACCCATGTGGGTAATCGAACCAGCGTCTTGGGTGTGACGAGCGAACACTTTAGCCACAGTGCTACCCCATTGTCCCTTGGGCTTTAGACAAGTGTCTAAGTGGCAGACTGTAAGGGGTCCGTTATGTTTGCAGCTACCTTATGGGATACGAGAACCACACTTAATTTACTAAAATGCCTTAATCACTTTCTGTTACCAATTATTGCATTATTCCACATTCAATACATATTTCATGAACAAATTACCCCCCCAATATCCACAACACAAGTTTTTTCACGACATCCAGTGTTTGTTTGTTTGTTTGTTGTTTAACACACCACTCAGCAAATTTTCAAGCCCTATGACGGCAGTCTGTAAATAATCAAGCCTGGCCCAGACAATCCAGTGATTGATATCATGAGCATAGATCCGCACATTTGGGATACGACAACATGAATCCAGTGAACAATATTTATTTCCTTTCCAAAACACAAGGCATCTGTTTCTTTAGTCCCATTGTTTCACATACAGACACTTGAACAGTATTGTGTACTCACTCGGAGCCGAAGAATGCCACATCAAACCAGAAGGCCAACCCATGGACCATCCCTGAAGACATCATACTGAAGGTAACAGGAATCTCCATCACGTGAAGGTCATTCTCGTCCGCTGTCTGGAAGTCCACAACGTACTTGTTGGACTTGGCCATGCATATATGGATGTCAAATGTATCCTGGAATAGTCAAACATGTCTCAGTAATCAATCACTTAACCTTTGGAGAATCGTGTCATTTGAACATCAAATGTCATGTAGAACAATGCCAGTTATAAATAGCAGACATGTTTCAGCAATACTTACAACAATAGGCTGTTTAAAATATTCTTCTACTGAAGCATTTCGTAAACTTGTAAGGTTCACACCATGGAATGACTCTTGATACCTGAAATAAGTTGAATAGACAAAGTAAGTAAAAACCTAAACTTACCTTTCATTATGTTCTTACACATGTTACACACTCACCCTACAGTTTCTGCACTTGTAAAGCGGTAACACATTACTTTGTAAATACAATGTGACAAACAACACTTTTCTCATATACATATTCTGAATGTTTCAAAATTAAATTGATTCATGTCTTTTATAACAAGAACACTATGGTACATCTTTACATTAGCTGGAATTAGAATGATGAGTAGAGAGTGGGAAAAATACGACCTATGCAACAGACACTCCCTGAAGACCTGTGTTAGAACAGGTCCCTGGCACTTCCATTACATGATGCAGGTGACGACTAAATTGCATCCGATGTTTTTAAATCATTGTTTGATTGTGTGTCATCATAGACCATCATCGTGTATGCAGGTCTCCGGTATCCACAAGGTGACAAAATGTATTGGGGCAGTCAGACTTGGTTTGGATGAGGATGCAAACTTAACAAGACAACAAAGTCATCGATACCTCCCGCAATAGTAAATATTTGTCATGAATATGTCAATTAGTTATATACATATATTTTGTTGTCATGGAAACACAATTTTTTTTGTGGAAAATCCCAAACTATCAAAAGGCACCACTTCACCACTAGACCTATCTATGTGCCAAGTATGGTGTATAAATATTGTACGATTTTCAAGATCTGCTCCAGAAACGACCACTACTGCCATTTTCAGACTAAGTCAAAGTTGTTTCCATGGAAACACGAAAATCCCAAACTATCGAAAGGCACCAGTTCCCCACTAGACCTACCTATGTGCCAAGTTTGGTGAAGTAAAATTGTATGGTCTTCAAGATCTGCCCCGGAAGCACAGACAGACACACCAACTGACAGTGTCCATTTTAACACACACACACATACTCACACCCCTTAAATAACCACGTTGCAAGGAATAATTATTCACAGACCACCATCATCATGAAGACATATTGTTGAGTCAGGCGTTCCATAAAAAAAGTTAGCACATTTCACACAGAAATCTAAAACCACCAACAGGAAAATCCTTCACCTACCAGAAATTCGCTTTTGAATATTGTTCCATGTAGAGCGATTCATCTGTGAATGGTGCTATATGTAGGTCTCCTTGTGATGGGTACATTTTTCCTGAAAACAAGACATCAAATGATATAAATCATCAAATATAAAACAAGTATTTGTCACAGAGTGACGAAATATCCCCCGCCTGTACACCATAGTACCAAATATGAAGACAATCCAGCGATTAGTTCTTGAGATATTGTGGCAACACCGTTTTCTAACTCCAAAAGCAGATTTGCCTGCTGTGACCTTGACAATGGGGTCAAGGTCACCAAAACCGACTGGTGTCTGCGGTGTCTGTATATACACCATAGTTCCAAATATGAAGACAATCCAGTGTTTAGTTCTTGAGATATCGCGGCAACACCGTTTTCCAACTCCAAAAGCAGATTTGCCTGCTGTGACCTTTAAAATGGGATCAAGGTCACCAAAACCGACTGGTGTCTGCGGAGTCTGTATATACACCATAGTTCCAAATATGAAGACAATCCAGTGTTTAGTTCTTGAGATATCGCGGCAACACCGTTTTCCAACTCTAAAAGCAGATTTGTCTGCTGTGACCTTGAAAATGGGATCAAGGTCACCAAAACCGACTGGTGTCTGCGGAGTCTGTATATACACCATAGTTCCAAATATGAAGACAATCCAGTGTTTAGTTCTTGAGATATCGCGGCAACACCGTTTTCCAACTCTAAAAGCAGATTTGTCTGCTGTGACCTTGAAAATGGGATCAAGGTCACCAAAACCGACTGGTGTCTGCGGAGTCTGTATATACACCATAGTTCCAAATATGAAGACAATCCAGTGTTTAGTTCTTGAGATATCGCGGCAACAAACAGGTGGGACGTACGGACGGACGTACGGACGTACGGACGGACGGTCGTGAATACTATATCCCCCGCTTCGCGCTTTCGCGCGGCGGGGGATAAAAATCGACACAGTAAAACCTGATAGTTTGCCTTATAAACACACATTCATGGATTTTTCCATAAAGTTTACGAGTTCAAGTTAAAGCATGGTTCCAAGCCAGGGATATAGATGACCATTAGTCCATTCGTCTGAAACTATTGAAAAGACCTAAACAGACTAGTTCCTTCTCTCCAAAATCAAATTATTTTGCATAACCACAAATTCAAAATGAGTTGGATATGCCCAATGGTTTCTACCCACGAAGGAAATTCAAATTAGCAGACAAAGAGGGTTTTGACTGGGAAAGTTGTCATGTGCTATTAGTACTATCCTTGTAGAGTTCCTTACCTCCCGGCCTCAACCACTTCTTGGCATGCAGAAAGCTCTCCAGCATCCTCTCATTAAACAGCATGTATCCCATGGGCTCAGAGATGATCAGGTCCACTTGCTCCGGCACCTCCACTTCCTCAACTTTGCCAGGGATAACAATTATACGATTGGACAAGTTGTTGGTCGCTACCAGGGTCTGCAACAACAGAATTCAACGGTTATATAATTGAACAAGTTGTTGGTCGCTACCAGGGTCTGCAACAACAGAGTTCAACGGTTATATAACTGGACAAGTTGGTTGCTACCAGGATCTGCAACAACAGAGTTCAACGGTTATATAATTGGATGAATTGTTGGTCGCTACCAGGGTCTGCAACAACAGAGTTCAACGGTTATATAATTGGACAAGTTGTTGGTCGCTACCAGGGTTTGCAACAGAGTTCAACGGTTATACAATTGGACAAGTTGTTGGTTGCTACCAGGGTCTGCAACAACAGAGTTCAACGGTTATATAATTGGATGAATTGTTGGTCGCTACCAGGGTTTGCAACAGAGTTCAACGGTTATACAATTGGACAAGTTGTTGGTTGCTACCAGGGTCTGCAACAACAGAGTTCAACGGTTATATAATTGGATGAATTGTTGGTTGCTACCAGGAGTCTGCAACAACAGAGTTCATCGGTTTTATAACTGGGCAAGTTATTGGTTGCTACCAGGGTCTGCAACAATTTATGTGTTTGTTGTTTCACCACAAATGACCAGAGTAGATTGCTGGGGACATCGTCAAATTAATGATCAAGCAAGTCTCCAACAAGGAAACTATGACATTTTCTCCCTACCTCACAGTGTTGGGCCATACTGCTAGCCTCAATGGCATACACTTTCTTAGCACCGCCCTGGATAGCGAAAAATGACAGAATTCCTGACCCAGCACCAACATCCAGAATAACCTGTGGAAGAAAGTGACATCATACAGACTGTGCTAATGTCATAAACTGGTAGTTTTATGGGGATTTATCGAGGATTCGTGCCCTTGGCAGGAAAAAACATTATCTTGTTATCTTGTTCAACATTGAATTTTAACACTGCATTCAATGCAATAATGTTAAACCAAGCATTATAGCCTATCCTCTTTATTGGTCCTGCTACCAGTGAAATAAAAGACAGCTCTACAAACCCATAACAGTAGTTAAACCTAACAGCACGACTGTCATTTGCTGCAGACACGGGGCCGAACATCGAACCTCTAAGCAGGTCCAGATAAATGCCTGTTACACTATATAACCAAATATCTTGCCAGCAACAGGACCAGCGATACACCTCACTTTCACTTGTATTAATAGAACAGGATAGATCTCCATCAACAATTTGTCAACTTGACATCATAAAGGCCATTGCTGCATTGCACACACACAAGTATGGTTTTATGCCGCTTTTTGCAATATTGCTAACACTAACCCCACCCCCCTACCCCCACCCCACCCCACCCCACCCTGCCTTACACATACCTGTGTGTAGTAATATCATTACCACATGAACAGGACATCATCAGTAAATATGCACTTCAGAACATGTTAACCACTTTGCTGCAAGAATTTTGACAGATGAAATCTTTTTCTCCATATGCTGTAAGCTGGTACCTTGTCCTGGAAGTCTGCGATGTTGGCCAGCATGGCTCTCTGGTAGGTGGAGGTGCGGATGTAGTCCTGCATCATGTTCTGCTGCTGGGACAGGTATCCGTAGAACTGAAGAAAAAAAACAGACACACATGTAGGCATAGTACTGAAACAATCAGACACTCACATAGCCATAGAACTGAAACAATCAGACACACGGGTAACCATAGAACTGAAACAGACAGACACACAGGTATCCATAGAACTGAAACAGCCAGACACACAGGTAGCCATATAATTAAAGAAACCTAGAAGCCAGAAACCTAGAAACAGAATCAAGGTGAACCGGGATTCAAGTTGTAGGTTTCTGGCATGCCCAAAGGTTGGAACTCTGCACAGCAAATTGCAGTGCCTTAGACAACATTCATGCCGTGTCTCCGACATTCATGAAAACAATGCACTACAAGACAACTGGAAGGTATAATGATAAATTATGACAAGAGAAGCTGTAAATGTGTAACTGTAAGAGCAGAAATACATGGCTGCCATCCTCTACGGTTCAACTTGCCTACCTGGAAGTACTGGACAGCTGATGCTTCATCTGTTCTGTCGTTAAATGCAGATTTGGTCCCATTCTTGTATTCATTTAGTTTATGTAGGCAGGCCTTCATTGCTGCAGACAGAAGCCAAACATTAACACCTGGATACCATGCTGACAGAAGAACAACTAATTCTACACGTATAAGAGCAGAAGTGCTTAGGCCTTCCCTTTTAGATCAGTGGGTATAACAGTTATGTTTTGCTCAATATTACTACGTATCAATTATTCTTTTGTAAGACCAAAGTGCTGGTTGGACAGCTGCGTATCTGTGTAAAATACGCATCAGAAATGCAGAAATACGCAGTAAAACAAAATCCAAGCGTATCAAATATTGAATACCCAGATAGAATTACTGATACCCAATGATTTTAAAATGCATGGGTAAAATACCCACAACACCAAAAGCTTATCTGGAGCTCTGTTGGATTTTTAAAAAATCAAATTCCTTTTGGTATTTTTTGTAAAATGTGAGAGGAATGTTAACAATTTAATGGCTACATGGGAACAATGCCACACACTGGAGTTTCGGTGAAGCTATGTCAAGTATTTGAGCAAACAATTAACAGGCTACTAATTTACTGTTGGACAGGGAAATTGCACGGATACTTTTCTTTGGGTTTCAATATGTTTTTACTCCCTTGGGTCCAGTCTACAGGGTATTTCAAAAAGACGCTAGACCTTTTTTCAAAAAAATTCCTACATAAATGCTGTTTCAAATGATTTCTGATTTGTGCTGCACCAGGTGGTCACATGCATTGGATTAAAACAGCAATATACACATCTAAGTTACTGTACATAACATTGTTATAATGTTATATGAGAAATAACATTTGGCATTATTCAGTGCAGCAGTTCAGCAATAGAAATTGGCATTAGTCCTGTAGTCCTTGCCAAACTGCCCAATAGTTAAGGTATCATAAGGACTGTTAGAAAATTTGCCATTTTTAAGGGTTTTACTATATGTTATCATTATAAGGACTAGTGGACTAAAACTGTTAGTTTCTACCGCTGCAGTTCATGTATTATTTGTGTCTGTCTTATCTCCATTTGTTCAGTAAATTGAGATCTGGAAAGTAATATAACAACGCATATTGATGTCATGCTAATAGGTCTTGACATTCTTCATGCATACTTGAATACCAGCAACTCCACAATAAATTGGTTAATGGTGATTTGTCATATTTATATAAATACAGCTTATCTGAAAATATGATATATCGATTGTGTATACAGTCCCACTTACTGTGTATACTGGAGAATCGGATGAGGAGTGATGTCTGATCATTAGTGACAGTAATTCCCAGCTTCCCCAACCGAGAAAACTCGGTGTCTTTGTTGATGGGCACTGTGGATGCTTCTACCTGGCCTGAAGAGAAAGTTTGCTGATATTACAAATCATGGTTCAAATCTGGTGATCATGGCGGTAGCAAGCAGCAAATATACCATATCCAGGGACTTATCTAGGATCCCATACTACCTGCCCATGGCAAGCAAATTGGGGAAAGAATGACGATATTGTTCAAAATCAGACTTTATTTTCACAAATTCAGAGGAAACTACTGTGATTTGCTGAAGACTTGGGCCATATATTGCCTCTAGGGAAGTTTAGATAGATCATACATAATGAAAAACTCAAATGTATAACTATTATATGCAACTAAAACATTTCATTTTTTTAAATCTTAAAGTGTTTGCTAATGTTGGGAAAACCCCAATAGAGTGATGAATAGATGAGTGACAAAATAATGGTTACCCAATGAAGAATGTAATAACCCAATTAAAATAGAAACCCTTGAATAAAAACTTAATTTGCCCAAAAAGTTATCTGGAGCTCTGGCTACTTAACTGACTGTTAGAGTTTTTTGTATTATTCCCCATAAAGAGTCGGGTTAGCCACCCATGCTTTTCATAAGAGGTAACTAAAGGGATCGGGTGGTCAGGCTTGCTGACTTATTTTTGCATGTCATTGTAACTCATATGTGTAAATCATGATGCCAGTCACTGGATTGTCAGTTCAAGACTCAAATATTTGCAGACCCCTATCATATAGCTTGAATATTTCTGAGTGCAGCATTGAATAACAAACAATAACATGCTTATATATACAGATAGATCATATACCTGTTAGCAAGGCAAGCAATTCTATACCCCAAAATCAAGATCATATATGTATTTCAAATTGCTCCATATACAATTAGTTAACCTGACCTAAAAGCATGCAACAAATTTGTTGTCATGTGCCTAATACAATCATGTTTACACACAAATACTTATGATCTTATATCCTGCTGGTTGACTGATGTAAGGGAGGTAACTCTAATGCTGTGAAATTCAGGAAGTGACTGTACCTGGATTATGTATTTAGGGGGTCCAGCCGACTCACGAACTTAATTGTGTGTGTGTGTGCATGTGTGCGTGTGTGTGTTGGGGGGAGAGGGGGATGTGGGGGGACAGGCAAGGTAAAAAAAAATAAAAGAAGTAACAGAGATATGTCAAATATTGAAAATAACAATCTTAATTTAAGTAATCTAGCTTGATTCCTTGCTTGTATTTATCTTATTTAATATGTAATATCTTACTTAAATATTACTCATGCTTGTCTGCAGTGTTAGAAATTGACACTAGTCCTATAGTCCTTGCCAAACTGCCCAGTAATAAAGGTATCATAAGGACTGGTAGAAATTTGCGATTTTAAGGGGTTTGCTATATGTTATAAGGACTTGTGGACTAAAACGGTTAGTTTCTACCACTGGTTTACATTTCAACATACTCAAACTTTCCCTGCCAAACACCATTCACCAATCTTGTTTAGCCATGCTTTGAAGCACACATTTAAACCCAATCAATATGGAGGCAGTACTCTACCACAAGAAACATAAAATTGTGCATACTAATAGAAAGTTAATGTTTTAAAGTGGCAGCCAATTATGAAATAATAGGGGAACATCAAAGGGTGTGGGGCCACCTTGGCAAAAATAAACATAAATGTGACAATCGACTGGAAGAAAACTCTGCTGGTTGTCATGAGTGTAAATGTATAAAGCTGTGGTGAAATACACAGGGTTACATAACTAAACCATGCACATCTGTCACCATTACCCAGCTATAGTGTCACCTCTGTCTCATCTGAATATTATCATCTGGCATCACAACCAACAATTGCACGTTGTTACCCACACATCCCAGTAACTCTCCTTGTGCAGAGGAATTCACCAACAAAGCACCCTATCAAAGACTCAAAGTATAGATTCACTGTGAAAGGATTACTATAACATCTAAAACATAGGCTCTGCATGTACAATTTGTGTATATCACTGTCACCCAATTTGGCTCCCAATATATGGCAATAAAGACACCTGTGGCTGTACCATTGTTTTGACAATACACAGCTCTAGTTAGTTGCTAGGATGTTTTACTTGTCTCAAGGTAGATGTTGGAGTTCAAGAGGTAAACAACTACAGCCGGCCTTCTTGTCTCTTCCAATCCATTCACAAATGCCCAGCTCATAATTGGCCTTAATTAACTTGATTGTTCTTGTTGATTGTTACAACACATTTTGCAATATTTGACAGACAAAAATGCTGGGAGGTCATCAAACGAGTACTAGTAAGTAATTTTAGCAAGAATATCGTCTGAAGGAAATAACCTTAATCGTATCGTCACTTGAAACTTTACGATGGACCATTTTGGCTTACATCATTTTAGCATATTCATGTTTTATCTACATAATGGCTAAAACCTTCCTTTCACGCAAATACAAGTACATTCAAACATGATAAGAAAATATACATGACATATTATATTCTTAATAGCATATTGCAACATTATGTAACCACTGCAACCATGGTAACCATCATCACTGATCATTACCTTAGTACATGTGGCTGTATGATTTTTCAGACCAAAATTCCTAATGATCACTTACATGTGCCATTTCCATCCTAATGAAATATAGCTCAATATGTTAATCATAACATCATCAAATGTCATGATACAATATCTTCGCAATAATTTGCTGTTGATTAGGTTTATACAATATTTTTGATGACAAAAGGAACTTCAGTTGTCATAGTTAATGTTAATGTGTTTGTTGTAGATATTAAATTGTGACATGAGTAGAAATTTGGGAAGGGAATTGTCATCTGGGTACAATATCAAATCATCAAACAAGAGAGGTCAGGTCTGCACCGTTGCTTCATCTAACACCCATGGCTGTCAAATGGCTTCACAGTGAATCAGCTTTAATGTGGGAGGAATGCCGGAAGAGGTGCAGGCCTCAGATGTTTACCACTTTGGTATAACCCATGTATGGTCCTGACAAAGCGTGAAGCATAAATTGGGGCGAACCAGATTCGCACCAACAATCATAGGTTTCTGGCATGTCCAAGGGACTCAACTCTGCACAGCGAATTTAGACACCTTAGACACGTGGGCAAGGGCATCTCTTATTTCGCAACAGTACCAGAAGAGTATTTGATGTCAACCTAATACACATGATACAAAATAATACTGAACGTGCAACATAGCATCTACCCTGTCTACAGCCAGGATCATAACAATCGTTTGATTATATATAAATACGCCAGAAAGATAAAGTGTACTTGATGATGATACAAATTCAGGAACTACTGTATGCTGGACAGATCAAAGTTTGTTGTGATAGAATATTACCATGATTAGTTGATTTCAAGGATTCCTGGAACAAGTCAACTGATGACAAATACAGAGGATCATAGTGATGGACGTTCTTATAATTATGTCTATAAGTCAATGTACATGATACATGCAATACAACAATCTGAATAAGCAAACTAATTACAAAGTAATAACATTCACATTATTGATAAATGGCGTCTAATTCCAAAATAACTGACCATGATGAAGATCTACATGTGGAAATAACTAACATTCAGCAATACATGCACGATGACTCAATAAACCAAATCTGAAATAACAGAACCGTCAAGTTAACCGAAGACATATGCGTCAATATTGTGTAATAGTAATATCTGTGTGATCCAAAGTGTCTTTGTTCTGAATGATGCAGTAAAAGATGACAAAGTGGCGCTATTCGAACTTTTTCGGCTGTTTTTCATCAAGCCGTGGTACTAGGAAGTACTTACCATTGTAAAATGATAACGCTAAACTTTCAGTTTGCCGTGATATTTCCATTCGATGGGGGACCTCCGATGTGCAGTCGAACTGTCCATTTTCGCTCCAACTTGCGAGGAGCACGTTGTCAAACACAGTCGCCATTTTTGGAATTGAAAAGGAGGCGCGGTAAAATGTCTAAAAATAGCACTACCGGAGTCTTGCCATAAAAAGTAGACGTGGCAAAAAGAAAACGAACCAAAGCGCATATTACCTGTAGCAGTTATAAAATGTATGTTTTTGCAAGTGATGATTTTGCACACTTCATTCAATTTCCAAACACCTGTGAGCTTAAATGATTATTAGTAAAGACAATTAACAATGCTAGAACAATAACTCCTTGAGAAAAGTGATTCTCACGAGGAAGGAGTCTCCGACCTCCCTAAATTAAACTAAATTAAATTTCATAACATTTAGTTAAGCTTCAGAAATACCTTTAGCTAAGCTACCGATTGGAAACCGACCTATTTATGCCATCCAACCCAAAATTAAATTTGAAATAGACCATTATAAAGCATTCACAACTGATATATCAAGTAATATCTATTATTTATATAAGACTTATTTAGAGTCACTCATCAGAGTCGAAATATATAAATTTCTGTAATTATGTACACAATGAAACTATATATTGCAATATTGGTACAATACGTTGTTTGAGTCCACAAAGGTAGAAACTATAAGTCAAACACATACAGATGGTGTATTGTCCCTGCTTAAATAAACAGGTCACTAAAGTTTGCATAAGCAGTATGACCTACATGTTGGCCTAATTCTGACTTGTCAATGCAACTTTGACAGATAGTCTACAACTACTACTTACCTTGTCTGTCTCAACGACCCCAGTGAATAAATGAAAAAAAAGAAGCCCAGCTCAAGTGTAGAATGATTGGGCAAGTCTAGATTGACTCATTGTTTAGCATTGTTCAGGGCTCCAGTTGGATTTTAAATTTGTATATTTTGTGGATACAAACTTTTAATAAGATATGTTTATTTGTGGCAGTAAACGTTTGATTACCACTCCCCTTGAAACCAAGATGTGGCCATAATCCAAAACTGGCATTACAAAATCACAAATTCTTCTTTCCTTGATGTTTATTCATCTTATAAATCACTATTCGATTTAGAAAAATATCTGTCTACTTTAGCATGTGAAAGAGATCTTCTTAGAGCTTTATGTAAATTCCATTGTTTAAGCCATAATCTAAATGTACAGAAAACTCGATTTAATACAACCACAGAGTCATCGTTTAGTTTATGAATACATTTTTTTGTTAATTTTTCCTTTTTATAAAAGTAGTAGAGAAAATTTAATTCCAAAATGTCACCATGTGCAACCATCTGTCCCAAACTTAATCAGTCTTCCATTTACCAGAAATGATTGTGCTATTAAAAACCTGTCCATATATTTAAAAAGACATTTAAATACAAATGTAAAAAAGAGATGAACGTTCGTTGTAAGAAAATGTGTGCATGTGCATGGTATATATTATTCCTGTAAATGAACTCTGGGCCACGTGGCCTTCATTCACGAATAAACTTCCTCTTCTTCTGTAGCCAAAATCTTCCCCGAGGACTGAGTCTGAAATTCTAAGGTGGAGGTGATGTTTGATGTTTCCATTGCATTGATTAAGTTTTGATCTCTGAGGCCCAGTTTCACCATCTCTTACTAAACATTCCGAGAAGACCTGGGGTAGAATAGCAATAGAATAGTCTCCAGCAACCCAAACTTGCCGTAAAAGGCGACTATGCTTGTCGTAAAAGGCGACTAACGGGATCGGATGGTCAGGCTCGCCGACTTTGTGGATGCATGTCATCGTATCCCAATTGTGTGGATCGATGTTCATGATGTCAATCACTGGATTGTCTGGCCCAGACTCGATTATTTACAGACCGCCGCCATATAGCTGGAATATTGCTGAGTGCGGCGTTAAACAACAAACAAATCTTACTAAACATGATACAACCCTTCCTTAACCGGAGTGAATGAATGAGTTTATTTCAGTAAAGAGGCCACCGGCCCATTATACAATATGGATACAGTGGATTACAACAATAGCAGGCGCCAGACAATACACGTGATGTACATAGTGAAACAATTGAATTATTGCATACATTTGAAAAACTGTTGTCATTTCTTAAAAGCAAGAAAAATATATTTAGCTAATTTATTAATCACATGTTCATTGTAGCAAGACATTAGAGGGCAACATTTATCAAATGAAGGTTGTGAATGGTAATATTTAGGTATAAGACTATTTCTTAGGTCTGAATAGAATTGACATTCAATGCAAAAATGATACTCAGTTTCAATTACACGGACTACACAAAATGGACATAAGCGTTCATCCCTAGAAAGACCAATTGTTCTACCTTCTTCAAGCACTAGGCTATGACTAGAACAACGGAAAGAACTAAAAGCAAATTGATACATGTATACTCTAACAGGTATTGATGTTAAATATTTTTCTAATACAATGCATGGTTTAATTTGTGCATACATTTCAAGTTTGGAAAATGTTTTTAATTTACATAACCAAGTTTGCTGGTCTATATCTATACATCATTGATTAAAACAAACAATAAACTTATTTACAATTGGAACATCTTGATTACACCAGACAGAACCAAAACCACATGATGATAATAATTGATTTACATGAAAAACCCGACATTCAATACCTTTATCCGCCAAGGACACTTGATAATCATAAACATGTTTCAAAATAGGAGTACCAGTTTGAAATATTAATCTAGTCCAATATTTAATAATTTTCATATATTGGTTTACTTTGAATGAATAACGACCTATCTCCCCCCTTGCAACAATATTAAGTGTGCTCCGTCTTAAATGTAAAAGCTATTTACAGAAATTGTCATGGAATGTATTAATATCAGGTGAAGGATGAACCCCCCAGACTTCACTGCCATACAACAAAATTGGTAACAGCTTGACATCAAATAAATGAATAAAAACATGTAAAGGTAACTTATGAAAGTCAATAATGTTTGTTTTTAGTGACTGCAAAACTTTATTGGCCTGGAGTGTTAAAGTTGTCTGTGTATTAAACCATGAGCCAGAGCTTGAAAAATGTACACCTATATATTTATACACTGAAACAATTTCAAGTGGGCATGCATTTTGAGAGACAAATTCATATTTCTTTAATCGACCACCTTTTCGAAATACAGTTACCTTACTCTTGACATTATTAATTTGCAGTTGCCATTTATCACAATATTGGGAAAGTTTATTTAATCTCTTTTGAAGATCAATAACTGTACTATCTATTACTACAATGTCATCTGCAAAAGCAGCACACATAACTGTAGTGTACCTATACTAATACACCATTTCTTATCTTATTGCAAAAAAATCTTTAATGTCATTAATAAAAAATGAAAATAAAAATGGTGACAACTGGCAACCCTGTCTAACTCCAAACGAACATTAAAAACAATTAGTATCTTTAACCCGAGTTGTAGAGTTTAAGGAGTTCTTGCCTAAGTCGGGTGGGCAGGCTCTTTGATGCATGTCATCTTGTTCCACATTAATAAACGAAGATGGCTGCGTGTATTATAATATTTATAAAGTGAAAGCAAGCCATTCAGCCTATCTGGGATATTACTTACAATGCAAAAAAATGCAAAATGCGCTTTTCAAGAAATATCCACTTTGTTAGCGACAAACATCATCACTGAGTTATGATCACGTGGTTAGTTTCCGGGTTATCTTCGGCAGTCAGTTTAAGCAGTTTATGATTGATGCCTTTCGATCTGTTAGCTATATCACTGTGCCATATGTTTGTATAAATTGGTTTTTTAAAGTCGTGTCTAAAGTGGATGTGAAGCCATCGTTTCCGTAATTGTTAATAACGTATGATAATCCACAATTATGAAGAGTTGTTTTAATATAGTTAAGTCAATTATTTTTCTAAATTGTTTGATAGGCATTACTTGGAAGTTGACGGATGACAAGGTAGACACAACTTTTTTAATACTGTGAAAAGCGCGTTTCGGTATAGATCCCCATACCGTTGTCAAGCAAGGACAACGGTATGAGGATCTATACCGAAACGTCGCTTTTTGCAGCATTAAAGAAGTTTGTTATCCATAAAATTGTGTCTACCTTGTAATTATTTTTCTGTAGAATTAATATGAGATTGCCAAAGAACTCGAGTATGTTGTAACGACACCTAATAACATCCATTCTGGTAAATTGAAAAAGTGAATTGAAGTAATTTGAAGTAATATTAAATATCACCAATGCATTAAAAGCTTATTACGTGATTTTAAATTGCTTAAATAGTTTCTTTAAATTTAAAAAAAAATACTTACCCGATATTAAGATTTTGTCATTTAAAATTGGTTTAAAAAAACCAAATCCTGTATACCTATTTAGACATTGCTCTTATTACTTACTTTCAGTACAATATTATGTCCGATTCCCATTAAAACTTTCTAAATCACATACTTCAAAATTTCACATGATCGGGAAAAGTGAAAAGAATGCAATGATGCCCCCTCTTTGCTAATTTTACTGACGAATAAAGCAACGTTTATTGAATGTAGCTATTTCGTGTTTATGCCGATCCATAATTTTCATCAAACCACATCAACATGGGGGACCATGTGGGTTCAGTGTTTATGCCAGGGGATCAGTTAACAAATTTAAAGTATTCTGAGTCTTCCGGCAAGTGTAATCTTGGTCCAGGTTTAAGATTAGACGAAGAAAATGTTTACGTCACAAAACCTGGAATTCTCAGATACAGAGAACCACATTTATACTGGATAGACTGCCACCAGAAGAGAGTAAAGATTGAAATGATCTTTTTAGCTTGGTCTTGTCTACATATGTATTGTCGTCATTATCTAATTCCAGTTTCGTTAAGCTTCATAAATGTGACGAATTAATAAATTGGTACTCGTAGGATTCATTAGTTGTAACGTCATCTGCCTTTTGTTCCACTTTGTTCAGTTGTAATGAGATATATGCTGGTAATATTACCAGTATTCACCATTTAACACAAGTCAGGCGCGTTTGCTAAATTAGATGACGATTGACATGGCTATTATCGCTGTGAGAAACGTAGCACAGTGAGTGTGTTTATTGTGTGTAATTATACAACGATGTTGGAATGTGCAAATAAGCTAGCTGTCCAGACATTTTGGCAGATAACATTCAGCTTGTCTTGATTAATATATTGTAAATCAGTCACTTCTATAGCCATGATAGCATGGAGGTCGTTGGACCCATTCGTATTGGTCAGAATACTGTTATTGACAGGAGTGTTGAATTTTGATATTGTGAACAAATAGTCAAGTATAAGTTCTCAAAATAATGTGACTTTTTAACGGGTGCAGGCTAAAACGGCACCTCAGCAAAACGTCACCGATTTCTCTGGCGAAAACGGCTACTATGAGTCGGGCGAAAACGGCACCTCTATTTTTAATAACGATAACAACGATTTTTGTAGTAATATATAGGGTTTATTTACATGGTATTTTATTAGTGATGTATTTACATTTCCTCTTTTCAGAGATATAAGTAAACATAGTATTTGATTGGTGATTTACATTGTATTTCCTCTTTTCAGTAAATATGTTCATATATACATGTCCATCTTCATCATCATCATCATCATCATCATCATCATCATCATCCTGAGTATTGGTACTTAAAACTTCAAAGCGTATAGTGTTTTCACAATAAGTTAACTACGCCTCCCAATCGGAGTCGGTGAGTAAATTGGAGTAGGGGGCTAATTTCTTATTTGTTTTATTTCACAATTAGTTGTGTTTGTAAGAGACGATGTGAGTTTAATTTCTATTATTTTTCTTCAATGCATGTTATGTTTTCACAATAAGTTTAGTTGCGTATAAGCTAAGTTGGATTATAGTTGGAGTAGAGGCTAATATCTAATGTAAAAATTTGTTTTAACATCTCACAATTATTGGCGCTTGCAAGTTACAATGTAAGTTTAATATAATTTATTTGACAAGGTAAAAAAAATAAATAAGGTGCCGTTCTCGCTCGAGTAGAGGTGCCGTTTTCGCTCGAGTAGAGGTGCCGTTTTCGCCAATCGGTGCCGTTTTCGCCTGGTGACGTTTTGCTGAGGTGCCGTTTTCGCTATAACCCCTTTTTAACTACCAGGATAATATTTGCTCATGTCAGTATGATAACAAAATTGGTAAAAATGATGATGTTACATTGTCATGGTTGCAGTACGTTCCAGTGAAGGGGGACTCCGTAGTGGGTGTGGTGACAGCGAAAGCTGGGGACATGTTCCGTGTCGACATTGGCAGCAGTGAGCTTGCCACTCTGTCCTATCTATCTTTTGAAGGGGCAACCAAGAGGAACCGACCAGATGTCAAGGTAACAATCTCAGAATGGACTGATGTTTGTTTCTTTGGAGAAAGTAGGTATCGTCAAATGTTAAGCAGTTTCACTTGGATATGAAACATCGAGTGAATGGTTAAAAGTCAGGTGATAGCTATTAATAAAAGGGGACACAGACTCAGATGTTCCAGCTTGTCATGCAGAGTTATGTCCCATTGTTGTTAGATCAGCGGGGTCTGAATACCCGATTTACATGGTTGTGATTGGCGGTTCACCACAGTGGTAAACGTCCTAGACCTGCATCAATTGAGGCTTTCCTCCAACATTCAGCTGTCTCGCCATGATATAACTGAAACACTGTTGAAAGAGGTGTAAACCAAGCTCACTCACTCACTCACTGTGGATAAAATATTTAATCATCCTGGATTATCGTATAGTGTATCTTCAATCTATTCTGATAAATAACACGGCCCCATTCATTTCCACAGCTTCATATTGAGTCCCATGTGTGACAGAGTTAAAATTGCATCAACATTGTTACAGCCATATACGTGATATATAGAGACACGAACAAATTTCTGGTGCCAATCGGAACACTTAAACACAAGAAATAGCCTTATTTGCAGGAGAAATTCTGTTGGATGTTACCTAGGGAGCAATAATTTGAATTATGGGTAGGGATGGAAGAGGAGGAGAAATTTGATTTGAGAAGAGCATTTATTATTATTCCAACATGAACAGGTGATCATTTTTTTTATTTTTACATTAAAATGAAAAAAAAGAACAGTAGTCTGCGAAAAAAGGGGACATTATTTTCTTTCTTCCAATTCAAGCCTTATGTAGAAAAATTAATTCTCAGTAAACAACTGGCTTGAATATTTTGTTGAAACCCCCCCCCAGCCCCTGCCCTTAAAAATATGTCTGCTCCTAATGATCGATCACTATGGTGACGTTACTTCCTAAGCAGAGCTATTTAGTAAATGGTCCAGGGCATTTTTTATAATAGTATGAACATATAATACACTACATAACTGAGGATTATTGCCCTGGTTTGTTTTGTAATGACACCTCCCTTGGAGAATCAAGGTTAGAAATGGTTAGCAGCAACTTAAACTGTTTGTAAGAGGCAACCAAATGGATCCTATGGTCAGACTCGGTGACTTTGTTGAAGGCTTGTCATCACACTCCAACGGCATGGATCTTTGTTCACAATATCAATCACTGGATTGTATGGTCCAGACTTGATTCCTCTCTGGCCATCTTCATACCGCTGGAATATTGCTGAGAGCAGCGTGAAGCAACAAAGGAAATGTAATGACCCTGAGTGTCCTGTTCCAGGTGGGGGACATTGTGTTCTGCCGTCTGCTGGTAGCCAACAAGGACATGGAGCCGGAGGTCGTCTGTATCGACAGCCATGGACGGAGCAGTGGTATGGGCGTCATCCGCAACGAGGGTTTCATGTTTAGCTGTTCTCTCAACTTAGTAAGAAAGTGAGTGTTCCGTTCAGTCATAAAAATTTGATGTTGTGATTTTGATAATGCTTGCATTTGTTTGATAATAGGTAAGGATATGAGTTTTTCTAGGTCAAGGCTGACAGTGAGTTTTGGCTTAACATTTTCTAGTTAGAAATGTAACTCTCAAAAGAAGTTAAAGAACACCTGGTTCTTCCATACTATAGTTAATCTGTCATGGCATGAGAGTAATATGAAAGAATCATGTGTTCTTTAGCTTCTTGTGAGTTGTATACAGTAAACTACGGTTATAACAAATTTTAGTAAGTTATGACCATAGTATAGTATAAGCATATATACAGCACATGGCTCCTGAGCAAAAACAGTTTGTTATATCCGTCAATTAATCATAAGCGTGTTCGTTATGAAAATAGTTTACTGAATATTATTAACAGAAAATAAATCAAATGTCTAATTCAAATTGTTTTTTACTTACAACAAAGCCATATTCAAAGTACTTAAGCTTTGAAGGGGATATTTGGCATTACAGTGGGATTTGCTCATAGCATTAATTAAAACTTTTAAAAAAGTTTGATTTTGTTTTAAATTGAAAAAAAAAAAAAATTATTTACAAATCTTCTAAGATGCCTCATAGCAGAGTGAGCCGACTCTGTCAGTGATAATAACCACTGAGAACCCAGGACACCAACTGACTGCTGGCCTGTGAACATGGATGTTTTGTAGGGACATGGGGTGGCCCAGCATCTAAGGCTCTGCACAGTTCTGTCACCGAGGTGTGTGAGGAACCTGTGATTGTGGGTTCGAATCCCAGATTCACCTTCATTATGTTTCTAGGTTTGTCAGCAAGATACCCATGCTTGTCCCTTTCACAAAAGCTGTAAATGTCATAGTGACCTGCTTCACTTTCTCACTTTAGGCTTTCCTTCCTCATCAAGCTGACATGCCGTGATGGAACTGAAATATTGTTTAAAGCAGCACGAAACCAAATTCACTCACTCACTCACTGGGAAAGTGTTGGTCATGGACAGTGCTGTTAACTTTGTGCCTTGACTTTTGTCACTTTTTGTGTCAAGGCAGTAGTTTATGTGGTACTTACTTTACAGTTCTTGTCGTAAGAGGTGAGTAACAGGATTGGATGGTCAGGCTCGCTGACTTGGTTGATGCATGTCATCGTGTCCCAATTGGGTGGATCGATGCTCATGATGTCAATCACTGGATGGTCTGGTCCAGACTCGATTATTTACAGACCGTCGTCATATAGCTGGAATATTGCTGAGTGCGGTGTTAAACAACGAACAAACACAATGCAATCCATACAATTCCCCTTTTGTTTCCACAGGGTTCTCAATCCACAATGTGCTCTCTCAAAGACTCTAGGCAAACACCTGCCTTATGAAATGACTGTTGGCATGAATGGCCGAATCTTGGTCCGAGGACGTTCCACGAATCAAACAATAGCCATCTGTAATGCCATAGCAGCGTCGGAACACATGGCAGACTCACAGATAAAAGCAATGGTGAAAAGACTGGCCGATGCCATAGCTGGAATCTGACTTCATCTGTTTTCTAAGACCTTCCATGTCTGATATGTGTCACTGGCCAGATGTCAAATGTTGTGTAGGTTTCAGAGTCAAGTGGTGTCATAAGTAAAGAAGATACATGTCATCATGGTTGTCATGTGGGCTGGATGACATGTCACCGATTCTATTTGAGAACTGTACAAAACAAATAACGGAATTTCTTAGGTCAGGTTCTCAAAGCATTTGATTGTTGGGGTCCAAGGATAAAAGATTGGGTTCCCAGAGAAGTGTAAAAAATTGAATGAAGTACTCTACAACAAGTGATGCAAGATTTGCATGCTCGGAGGCCATTACTGAAAATTAGATCTGGAGGTAACCAGCTGAAACGAATCAACAAGTGCTAGCCCAAGACTGTGAAGCATCCGACTGTGTATTGTATGTTTAAATGATTTTATATGGAAATTCATTTATGGAAGTGGTACCAAATTATGAAAAGCAGCATTCATTCCCCAGCATGCATACACATTTTCTGCATCTTAGTGGATGTACATTGCATATTGTTTTCATCGATTTAAAAAAATTGGCATCCAGTAAATCTCTGTTATGTTATTGCTTATTTTGACTGTGGAGTGATCCCGAAGTTAAAGTATTGACTCAGCTGCTCACTATCAACACTTTCAATTTAGATGGGCCTTGTTCTGGTTGAGACTTTGCTGAAGCCATCATGAATCTATATTAAAATAAAGTCACAGCGCCAAGGCCCCATAGGGATTCCGGGTTAGAATAGGTACCCAGTAACCTACGCTGGTTGTAAGAGGCGACCAAATGGATCTGGCTCAGCGGCTTAGTTACTGGTGTGATATCGTACCCTGATGGCGTGGATGGTCTGGTCAATTACAGGCAGCTGTCATATAGCTGGAATATTGCTAAGTGCGGCATTAAACAACAAATAGACAAACATAGTACCATGATTGCTTTGTGGTGGAATGAAGACCTCACTGCATGGTGTATTGGTTTGGTATGCAATGACCATCACGTTGTCAGATGTTGGGAAGCTTGCCCAAGCACTGATGTTGAAATTTCATGTTCTTGATTTATTGTCCATAACATTTAACAAAGATCTATGACATTGACATCTGCTTATTGTCTGACATAGTTTTGAGAAATTGCTACTGTAATTAAACATTCTCCAAACAGGACCTAAAATGTAGGGTTTCTTGACACAGAGGAAACTGCTGTCCATAGAGTTGAATCCCAGATCATTGTGATCGTTGGGTCTGACAGTGTCCAATCTACTATCCCCACTCACTAGACAATCATGTCCCTTCAGAAAAAACTACCTGACATGGATTATGTCTACAGGAATTAAGTCCCTAGCACTGAATTGATAGCACTCATTGGTCTCGTGGTCAGTGGTTCTATCACCTGGTCGCATAATACCTAAAGACATGAAATGATGGTACTTGTTGTTACCCTGCCTGGCGCTCGGCACGAGGGGGATAGAACAAGGGACTGGTTGTCTCAGCATCAGCATACTGTGTCTGTGTAAAGTTTCCATGTCAAGCTGCAGCATTTTATCTCAGTGGGCTTGCACAAAACAACAAGCATTGGCCGGACTAGCACTATGCAGCCAGCATTGGCCGGACTAGCACTATGCAACCAGCATTGGCCGGACTAGCACTATGCAACCAGCATTGGCCAGACTAGCATTATGCAGCCAGCATTGGCCGGACTAGCACTATGCAACCAGCATTGGCCGCACTAGCACTATGCAACCAGCATTGGCCGGACTAGCACTATGCAGCCAGCATTGGCCGGACTAGCACTATGCAAGCAGCATTGGCTGGACTAGCACCATGCCAGCAGCATTGGCCGGACCAGCACTATGCAGCCCGCATCAGCCGGACTAGCACTATGCAACCAGCATTGGCCGCACTAGCACTATGCAAGCAGCATTGGCCGGACTAGCACTATGCAACTAGCATTGGCCGGACTAGTACATGCAGCCAGCATTGGCCGGGCTAGCACTATGCAACCAGCATTGGCCGGACCAGCACTATGCAACCAGCATTGGCCGGACTAGCACTATGCAACCAGCATTGGCCGGACTAGCACTATGCAACCAGCATTGGCCGGACTAGCACTATGCAAGCAGCATTGGCCGGACTAGCATTATGCAACCAGCATTGGCTGGACTAGCACTATGCAACCAGCATTGGCCGGACTAGCACTATGCAACCAGCATTGGCCGGACTAGCACTATGCAACCAGCATTGGCCAGACTAGCACTATGCAACCAGCATTGGCCGGGCTAGCACTTTGCAACCAGCATTGGCCTGACTAGTACATGCAGCCAAATACACAAATGCATGCACGTCGTTATGTATAAGTGCAATAATTTTGAACGTGACGTTAAACCCTATTTCAACTTGCCTTACTTGTCTTAACATCCTAAAGAGGTGACTAAATTGGATCACGTGGTAAACTTATTGATTAAAATATGGTCCAGGCTTGATATACAGCCCATCATAATAATACTATTTATTACCTACGAGGGCAAACAGATCAGGGTTCATAAAAATCAGATGTGCCCTAGGGTCATATCATGTCACGAGACAACAGTGTATTGTTTCCGTCATCCGGACAGCATTGTTGACATCTTTTGAATGTTATTGTGATGTAAGGTCGGAATGACATCCCACTAGAAACGACGCCATTTGACAAATTGTGGTTTCCTGGGACAGCAGTGGTGATCAGTGCAAAAGATGTTTCTAAATTCGTCTCTGTATGTAGAAATGTTCTTTGGTAATATATAGAACATTATATTCGTGTTAATGTCATATTATGTTTACAACACGAGTGTCTAAATTCTGGTATGTCTCGAGCCAGAGCATAGCATGACAGGAACATCAATATAATATAATGTATATCGAACATGATGTACACTGGCAGAAGACAACAAACAAATTATGATGAGATAAACAGGTCAAGGTCAACTTTATGATGACACATGTCGGAAGTGAATTGTCCATTAATTACACATTGAACAAGACTGATCTTGTAAGCTTTCTACCGTGTCTGGTGTGGTGAACTCATGAACATTTTTAACTTCAACAAACACAAATGTAACAAAGCTGACAGTGACAAGACTTTGCAGTGGGTGAATTAAGGAAGGTAAATTAAGTAGATATAAATACAAATGATTTCATTTCCTGAAACAGGATGGGCTGTACTTATTTATATAGAGATAGACATATGTCTTCAGACTGATTATTGCTTTTGAATATTTTATGCTCAGAATTTATATTTGAAACGGACGACGTAAGCCAGAGATTCCAAATTTTGACACTTCTGCACATTGTAAAGAAAGAGTTATATGTAATTTTCTGTAACACTCTACACGAACAGCTGTGAGATGTGCATGACCTTATTCATGAATGTGATGTGTCATGATGGATGATGTTATGGGTTGTCCTAAGCTATGACAACTAAACCAGCTGGGTCAGTAGAATGATGTGCACAGTCAATTAAATCAAAGATTGTCTTATTGTACTTATCAAACACTGTACATAACATGTATTGTGGATGTGATACTCTTCCATGCTGAATGCAAGTTTTATCAAACTTGAGACATAATACAGACTATAAAGAATATTCATACCCAACGATAAGTGTCCACAAGATGTCAGGGCTTCAAATCCAATTTAACAACATTTTTCAACCAATCAGATTTGCAGCACACACCCACATACATTTTCCAGATACACTTGAATTGTCTTAATATTGAGTGCTGTGCAGAGTTGAGTCCCTTGGGCACACCAGAAACCTATGATTGTGGGTTCAAATCCCGGTTCACCCCAATTATGGTGCTTGTGGATTTCACCAAAGTGGTAAACCTCTGAGACCTGCCATGATATTACTAGAATACTGTTAGAAGTGATGTTAACCCAAATCACTCATTCACTCACTCACATGTTGAGGCACAAAAGTGAAAACTGTCTGTAGGCAAATACATGAGCTGAAATGGCTGGAATCAGCAGTCCATCCTTCACATTGCGTCGGTGTCTTGACAAATCCACATGCTCTGGAGAGTGTCTACAAGCACTGCTTGTTTCACTATAAAACATGCACAGAATTGACTGTCAGTGTTTCACATATATTTCAAAATCTTTTCTCTGCAAACATATACAAAATCTTCATTGATGGCTACATAATACACACCAAGCACTAAAACATGAGTTTCAAATAAATACAAAAATTAGGAATTCAAACTCGAGAATATGTACAGGCCGCTGAGTTCACCATGGGCACATTTAAATGTTCGAAAAACACATCTTGTAAAAAGCACAGTTGTAAACTGGGAAACATATTTTCGTATTTGTGGGTTTTTATTGTTTTTTTAAACTCGATCCAGCAGTTACTATTCAAAACATTTCTACATATGTAATATCATGATTATGCACCTGAACGCCACAACTATCTGGGATACATAAAGACACCACATTCAGCTTCTCTCAAGCATACATACACAAGGTAAACATACTGACTAAAATGGGGATTGAGTTGTTCAACGTGAGCCCCTGCTGTGCACCATCACACACACAAATCATGTCCTGAGGCTCCGGCGGGGCGGGTCTTGTCCAGATGTATTTACCTGCAGACTGCTGTGTCATAGCTGGGATATTGCCTATGACTGCAGTGGTATTCCCAAACGAAATGCAAGCATCCTTTCTCAAAATACAATTTACACATCTTAAACATAAGCTGTAAAACAAAATTTTAAAGTTCAATATTTGTATGTTCTACATCACATGAACATTTGTGATGAACATTTTCATGTTAAGATAAAATATACAAATCTAAAATAGTGAAAATCATGTTTCTATGGTGATGTAAACCAACTTTGAGGGCCACTGTTTAGTGGGACTGTCTGTATCCCTATATACGCTACCAACAACATGCACACTTCACCCCAACTTGTACTGTACACTTTCCTGAATTCACAAAACATAAATGCATTTTCCATATTTACAAAGTAGAAATAATTTACCATGCTTTCACCTGTAAATTGTTGATCACACCTAAAATAAATCACGCCTTTACAATCATTCAGACTACTGTTCAGTTAATAGTTGTGGAAAACTGCATTGCTGGAACAATTATAAAACATTATGTATTTTTTGAAACCAGTACAACCATTTAATATAAAATAACAAGAGTGCCTTCAAATTTCATGCTAGTCTGCAAGCCAGTGACTACTAAATTGTGTTAAGGACAAGAAAAAATCCAATGATGGTACTTTTGGTAATCCTTATTGACCAGTAGCATTTGAGAGCTAATATTTTGAACCAGTTCTCAATGCTTCAATTTTGCTACAACTTAGAGCTGAATAAAACTGATAGAAAAAGTAAACATAGTAAACACTTTCATCTCTTTCTTTCTCCTCTATTCTTGAAAACAACAACTAATTTCTGAGGCAGAAGAGATGTGAAATCTCAACTACTTGGTTATGCAGCTGAAACAAACAAACTATGTTTTCCTTAAAAACAGAAGTAACTAACCATTATACAAAAATCACACCAGAATGCCCCCTATTGAACAACTAACTGTTTGAGAAAGACATCCACAAGGAATCATCAAGCAGTTGACTTGAGTGCACAATGAGATCCCAGCCATATGAGAACACGGCCTCCTTCCTTGCAACCTCATACACCTGCCTTGGCACTGACGCCGTCCCAGTGCTACATACTGAAACTCTCCCCACACCCACATGTACCCGTAATGTTGGGGTTGTTGAACACAAACTCAGCAGACAGTTTTGATTCAATAAAGTCCATCTCTGTTCCCAGCAACGTCAGCTGAGCCTTGGAGTCGATGTAAACCTTCACACCTGGAAATACAGAGGGAGACATGACGAGTTGTGCTCATTAACCGAGTGTGTTTCCTATTTCATATCATATATCATATTATCAACCTCCATGTCAAAATGATGAGATCTGTTGGTCCACATGATCTTAATAAAATATTGTGTATCCCGCCTTGGACATGTTGGAGGGGAATAAATCTCTTATACTCCACCATGAGCAAGTCAGGAGGTACATGTCTGAGAGACAGCATAAATCCCTTAAACCCAACTTCAAAGCAAAATGCTGCACACCCTCCCACCCCCACCCCTCCGACGAGGCAATGGAAGTCATGTGACATAGGGCAATCTAACATCAGCTCAAAAGAACAGCTGTTTTATATCAATTTCGAATTTGTTTTAATTCTTTTGCAATGTCATATCAAAAGGATAAAAGGATGATAAGATAAATTGTCGTAGCAGGATCACTCTGGCTCGTGGTATAAACCCTAATGTAAAAAACCCATGTACCCCTCGTGATCCTGCTACAACTTATATTATGAATAAAAAATTTGTTATGTAAGCATTTAGCCTCCTGATATAAATATTACCTAATGACAAAAATAATAATATGATTGTTCGGGATGAAAATCGCATGAAAATATGCAGAATGGTCATGAGTGTTTAGGACGAAATTCGTGTCAACATGTAGTTGTAGCACAATGTCATCGGTCATGTTTGTAAGCTAAATTAAATTAAATTTCTATCCGATTTTCAATATGTCATCAAGTATTCAATGTCAAGAAATTTCATTTGGAACCAAGTACTTATCAAGCTGACTTGCTGCAAAAGGTAAGATAATAATATTTTTGGCAAATCGCTGCACACAATACAGAATTAAAATGTGAATTGATACAAGAGTAAGTGCATCATCTGGATATCAGTGCATGGATGTGATATTCATGGTTGAACAATGGTGAATGCCATGTTTTTCAACCTTGGGTCATGATCTATATTTAGAACAGTATTCATACCCAGTATTAAATCCACAAGATTTTCTGGCTTGTACATTTAACTTTTTCAACCAATCACATTGCGACACATACTCCCATACATTTACAATGCAATATAATACTGACGGTCATACACAACTGATCCACACAAGCTGTGTCTGTTCAATATAAACTACATGCCATATCCTTATCTGTAATCTCATTGTTAAATAATGCGGCTGTTTCATTATACTGTAGCAGCATCATAAACACCACGAACAGGCAAGACAGCTGTATAGTATTGATTTGGGGAGATGTTTCTCAACAAAAACATGCATACAGTTCATAGTGCATCAAAGTGTGATGAAGTATTCATCATATATCAGGCACTAATATTAACAATTCATGTTTGAGGACAGGTGTTACTTTATTTAACAATACATGTTTGAGGACAGGTGTTACTTTATTTAACAATACATGTTTGAGGACAGGTGTTACTTTATTTCAGTAGAGGAGATCTTCAAAATCTTGCTAAGCCCAGGTTTCATTGAATATATCATGATATATAATCTTGTCTCCATGACTTCATTCAATCCATATATGACATGCACAATTTCACTAAAATCAGATCCTAATGACTGAAACTGCTACATGAAGCTTTGTGTAGAAGTTGAGACAACAAATATCTGATTTGAATGAGATTGCATATATCAGTACATCACAGTACTGCCCCTGTCAGCAATACTCCACCTATAACACAGTGCCTGAGAAATATCATTTTTGTTTGTTTGTTGTCGTTTAACGCCACACTCCAATATTCAAGTTATATGATGGCGGTCTGTAAATAATGGTGTCTGGACCAGACAATCCAGTGACTGACATCATGAGCATTGATCCTTGCAAGTGGGATACAATGACATACATCAACCAATTCAGCGAGCTTGATCACCCGATCCCCGTTAGTTGCCTCTTGTGAGAAGCATGGTTGCTAAAGACCTATTCTACCCCGGATCTTTACTTGTCCTGAGAAATATCAAGGCATCTGGTGTATACTGACCAGTGACTTATTTATGCAGGGAAGGGAAAAGATGTGGACAATTTTCAGTTCATAGATGATCATGAGTAATCAAAATATTACTGTATTCCTACCACAATAACCTATCAAGACTGTTGACTTGTCACAGTTGTGTCAACATTCTTAATGATTGTTTGTTTGTTGTTTGACAATGCATTCAGCAATATTCCAGCTGTATGACAGTGGTCTGGAAATAATTAAGTCTGGACCAAACAATCCAGTGATTGACATTGTGGGCATTGATCTATGCAATTAGGATAAAATGACATGTATCAACCAAGTCAGTGAGTCTGAAAACCTGATCCTTTTAGTTGCCTCTTATGACAAGAATGGGTTGCAGAAGACCAATTCTAACCCAGATCTTCATGGATCTTTAATATGATTGTATCCAGTGGAATAGGTGATCATGATTATGATAAGGACATGAATAATTACCATCCTGAAGCACCTCCTCATCAAACTTTCCCTTCTCACTGACATAGTCTAGTGTATAGGATAGTCCATTACACCCGCGTGTCTTCACTCCAATCTTCACACCAATCTGAAATCAAGGTCTCACAGTCAAGAGAGAAGAGCATGTGTACCAAGTTGGAGGATATAACTCATTTCAGTACCGCGGAAGGTCGGGGTTCGATCCCCAGCCACATCACACCAAAAGACGGTAAGAGATGGAACTTGTTCTTACCCTGGCTGGCGTTCGGCACTTAGGGGATAAAAGAAGGCCTGGTTGGCTCGGAGTCAGTATACTGTGTTTGTGTGGGGTATTCATGTTAAACTGTGGCATGGTATCTCACACACATACGAGCATTTTGTTTAAGCTCATGAGTGTGATGAGAGAAAGACATTCTGTGCAAAGTTAGTAATTTAAGAGACTGAGATGGTGATATTATTTCCGAGATAAAGCTATGGTGACATGTGGGTCAACTGATCAAGAGAATAATTATAATAAATAACAAAACAAAGAAATGATCACTGATGATACACTGGATATTCAAAGATGTTGTTTAAGTAACATTACTAGTCCTAAAACTAGGACTTGTTGGTGTGTTAATGTAACATATAACATTACTAGTCCTCAAACAAGGACTTATGAATGTGTTAATGTAACATGTAACATTACAAGTTTTCAAACTAGGATTTGTGAATGTTTTTAACCTTGTTCAACGCCTTATAGACTTGAGTGATAGGCCCTGCAAGTTTGTCATTCTGAAATACAACCAAAACAATCCCTTTCTTCTTTTTTGGGGCAAATATTTATCATGTTTATGCAAGTACTAATTTGACAGTTCAAACTGTGTCAACATTCAAGGACTATCAACGATGAATTCAGAGCATCTTACCATTTCTGGCTTGTTCTCCATAAGTTGTTTCAGCTTGCCGACAGCAGACTGTGTCTGAAGCATAGTAAACAATAGAGGCTTATTTATCTTCAATGCAATCTCAAAACACGATAAATATTGTTATTATGACAGTAATACCTACACATCAAGGCTCTGTCATATAACACTTAAATATTAGTAGTATTCACTGTAGCTGAGGCAACTGCATCCCTTCATCTGCTTATTGTTAAACACAACTCAAATTTTCAATGTCTCACAATTGGAACCCATCAGAAAAATGTGCCAATGTGACATTATAGGATTTAATGTGCACTTCTATAATGTCTGCATCTCCCATTGGCAACAAAGGATTTTGCTTAGATCATAAAATAATTTCAAAATCTTTTGTACAATTTCTTCCTAATACTTACCCCCGATACATACTCTATTTCATCAAATGTGAACTTTGAATAAGGACTTCAAATTGAAAACATTTTTTTGCAGGTACATGTACATGATGTAGATCTATTTGTTTTCAATCTGGAATCTTTTTCCAAAATGTATAAAGTGTTGGTATGCTCATTGATTGTAAACAAGCACAGCAATCTCTCATAATGGGCATAAACAAATGATCATGATGATAAAGAATACAAGAAGTTGCTATCCATAAAAAAATGTCATGTATTCATCATAAACCTATATAAATCATCAATCCAGTAAACTATGGCTATTTTTGTGCAGATATTGGAGGGCCCCACTTTATAAATAAAAATCTGTGTTTTAAACATGTTAAAGGGTTATAGAGCAAAAGGCCCTAAACAATTTGGAGCCCCACTCTTCCAGAAGTACTTCAAAAGTATTGTTATTATATAACACCAAACAAAATAACAATTAATACAAAGGATCAGTATGGGGCTATCAATAGCCGTCACTTTGGCTTTGGCCTATCTGACTTATTAAATGATGATTAATATAATAATAATGTCAAATGGGAGACAAGGGTCTCATGTTCGAATTTGTAAAAATGCCCATCACCGTTTTAAAATTCCATCGGACCATATGACCCATTTTAATCAAATCCTGGAAGGACTGTTGTCATTTAGTTTCTATTATGAGACATTTACTCATTACTTTCACTTGCAAGTTTGTGGAAAAGAAAATGATGAAACAATGATAAATTTATTGCGTTGTTTACATCATTATGATCATGCCTAATTTCATGCCAGTTGGTCCATAAAGTGGTATTGCTTACTGGTTTAGGAGACTAAAAAACAAAACTGACATTTCTGTGTCAAACTTTAAAATTAAATCTTGATCTGGTATGTCATGTTATTGTTACGTAAAACTTTTCCCCAGGCATAATAAACGAGAACAAAATTTTGACCCCATCGAAGCATGCTGTAAACGCTCTTGGTGATAAATGAAAATAAAAAGCAATCTAAACTGAAGAAATGTTTAAGTACAAGATTTCTGTCTTACCAAAACAAGCGGTACCCGTTGTGGGATTAGCCGTTTTGACGTGACAGCTCTCACTGTGGCCCTACCAATCGCCCTGGCGGCCATCTTGTTTCTGTTGAGCGAAGGGCAAAGCACTTTGCTACAGAGACTTTTTATTACAACTATAAACTCTAACCAAACAATACGGCATCTTTGTCGATGCCGAATAGGACTGATGCAGATAGCATATGCTTTATAGCTATGAGAAATGGATTCTACCAGGCTGATTTTGTTTGTTTCATTGTCTATTGATAAAATCTATAACAGAAAGGGAATCTCTTCAATTTCAGAGTCTGATGAAATCTAGTCATTGTAGACATGCTTGGAGATTTCGGATGTTTTTGTTTTAGGGTCTGCACGAGAGACGAGACGTTTATGTGACTCTTATAGACACTGCAGCGAGGTGGGCTTGGATTTTATCGAAATAATTATGTTTCAGACTTCTGAAAACAAACCGAAGTTGCCTGCCACAAAAATAACATTCTTTCTTTTTTCTTTTTTCTTTTTTTTAAATCAGGCTTATCAATGTAAATACATGTATCTGGTTTTCTAACTGTGGCTGTTAATATCTTATCCCGATACATAATTAGGTTTCATTATTAATTACCACACACCAGCCATGTAACCCATTGTAACCACCCGACACACAATCAGCCAGGTGATCCATCGTGACCACCCGACACACAGTCAGCCAGGTAACCCTTTGTGACCACCCGGCACACAGTCAGACAGGTGACCCTTTGTGACCAACCGATACACAATAAGCCAGATGATCCATTTTGACCCCCGATACACAATCAGCCAGGTATAACCCTTTGTGACCACCCGGCACACAGTCACACACAATCAGCCTTGTAACCCATTGTGACCACCCGATACACAACAAGCCAGGTGATCCATTGTGACCACCCGGCACACAGTCAGCAAGGTAACCCTTTGTGCCCCCCCCCCCCCCCCCCCCCCCCCCCCCCCCCCCCGATACACAGTAAGCCAGATTATCCATTTTAACCCCCGATACACAATCATTCAGGTAACCTATTATGACCACCCGATACACAATCAGCCAGGTAACCATTGTGACCACGTATATAGTCGGCTCAAACAACAGCTGGTGATGGGGCTTGAATTCTTTTCTGTCCCCAGGTCAACACGGGAACCAAATGTTTCGACGTCAGCTTGACACACGAAGACACGTATAGATGTATATGTATAGTATTGCGAGTGTAATTGCGCCAAATTCACCAAAGTGTACAGACGTGAATTTTATTCTGAAAAGATAATCAAGGCTCTGTTGTACTTATATTTTAACGTAAACCTCGCATTGTTGGAAACAAATAATGTGCCGTCTACTTGCAGACAAGTGTCCGAACAAATAATTGGTATAAACGTATGAAAACTTCAAACTGAAAGATACAACCAGAGACCATATAATAGTCGTCCCTCTATTATATGGTCTCCGATACAACCCAACTGTAGAAAACACAATTTCTCGAACAATTCGACGTAAGCTTTTATCGTTATTGCAGGTAACTTGATATGATATTGTCCGCTTTCAATTTTTAATATTAGTGTTGTGAATTCTAGATTCGTATAACGTTTAGTAGGAGGACAGATGTAAGCTATAAACGAGTACTGTATTATTTTTATCCACGCATGCCCAAGTAAACAGGAAGTCGAGGTCCACGTTTTCTGTCTGCTGTGGTGATTGCACATTCGTGACACAATACACCACAAATTCGGCACACTGACTAGAAGTAATTTTTTCCACAAACTGTACAGCGTGTCAAGAATAACTATGGCAGGATGTCAAGATGTCATTGTTATAGATGGGGGCATGTTGGAAGGGGTAAGCAAAATGAATTTTGACAAGTCATTTTCTGATGTCTTGGCATTATCTGAATAGGAGTGAGTATTGATTCTCAGACCCTCATTAACAGTTTAATTTCTGGCCATGTTTACACTTTGCCTTGACTGTAGACGTAAAGGAATATTTCTGTATGTGTTTCCGGAAGTGTAGAGCAGATTAGGTAAGACCTGGACACTAGTCCATAAGTCATAATGTTAACCACATACAGACCTGATGATTCACAGACTGCAGTTGGGTAACGTGAATAATTCTGAGTGTGGCAATGATACAGCTGGAATATTTTTAACTGTGGCGTAAGGCAACAAACAAATAGGTGTGTAACAATGCACCAAATGTTAGGTGCATCATGATGATAAAAGCATCATATTGGCAGGAGATGTATATCAATACAACACAAGTTACACAACACAAGTTTGTATCTACATAACAATGCTGTGTGGAAGTGGATGAAATAATATTGTCAGGACTTATCCAGACCTGCTTAGAGGCTGATGTTCAGCCCCAAATTGTATTTACAAATTCCCAATTCATATTATATATTGATAGCTAATGTTATGGCTTTGTAGAAGTGACATGTATTTCACAACCAATTTGAGCAATACATGTAAAACAAGTTTTCCCCAAATTGCCTGCCACTTAGCTCTTAGTTTGGAGGATGAATCCATGATTGTAACATACACATGTTTACTGTTTCTCCTTGTATGTACAAGAGCCACTGTTTTATTAATTAAGTTAAACCTAAGAATTACATCTTAATTAGGTTACTATTCATATCCATTCATAATAAAAATGTCACATTAACCCATCAAGTGTCAACTTCACATGTATCGTGTATCATACATATCTACTATTTACATAAAACTATCAGTCTGGATTGACCTGTGGACCAATTGGATGCAGCTAATTGTGTCTAGTGCTGGTAAAAAGGGGATTCATTTGTGAACTGATAATTATTTTTGTCTGACAGCCGTGTTGGGTTTTTCCCTTTTATCTGCGGCATAATGCTTTCACACAGGCATAGTAACCACAGTAATGAATGTCATGTTTAAGGCTTTTTTACCCATATGAAAAATTAGACTTGAAAATACGATCTTTTATCTTGAACTTTTATAATGTCTGATATTTTGTCTGAAAAAGACATCAGAACCTGACACCTAGCCCACAGACATTAGCACATATAACTTGAGAGTAGTTTAGTAAATGTAATTAACATGATTACATGGTGGCACATGGTCCCATGCACAGCACACAGGTCACAAATCAGGTGAACTTAAGCCATGTCCTTGGATGAGTGACCCCCGTTTTGGCAGTTTGGCTCCTGAGAGTTTGTCGGGCTTCAGCCCTGCCCCACAATGATGCAAGTGTTTGAAATGTGCCTCTGTTCACCCAGCAGTGAATGGGTACCCGGTAGGATGAGATGGCAATCTGGTTGTTGTTAGCGCCTAACAGGCAGCTTGGGTTGTATACTCCCCAGGGAGTTGAGAATGTTTGTTGAGTGCACACTGGTCCATTGACCAGGGTAATAATGTCTAAGCGCTTAGAGGGTGCTCCAGCATGGAGTACAGTGCCATACAAATGGACTGTTGTTGTCGTTGTTGTTGTTGTTAACAGTGCCCTGATATAAAGATGTCTGCTTGTTTTACCAGGGCGGTCAGATCCTGCGTAACTCTGCTGCACTGAGTTGTTTGCTCGGTCAGCCCGTGACTATCAACAACATCCGAGCTGGGAGGAGCACTCCGGGGCTTCGGTAAGAGAACAACTTTGCAGAATTGTCTTGCTGCATCGATGAATAGCATGTATATGAAGTGATGATGATATTCCAATTGTTTGAATGCACATTACACTCGGTTGCCGTTTGGGTTAGATCGCTGACTTTGTGTGCTGGCGATTAGGTGCCTCACTCTGGAAAGTGTGGGTTGGAATCCCGGACGGGACTCAACCCAAAAAAGTACGAGAATCTGCACTTTACTAAGAAAGTGTTATCCCAAATATAACATTTGTTACATTTGCCCACTTTCTAAATGGCATTGTGTATTCATAGCTTTCGGCCATGGGAGCCGTGCCAGTTTTTACTTGTCAGAGGGGTACTCAAAGTACGTGATCTAGACTACCAGTCGTCGGACTTTCATTTTGTGGAAGCCTCGGTGGCTGAGTGGGTTAGATCGCTGACTTTGTGTGCTGGCGATTAGGTGCCTCACACTGGCAAGTGTGGGTTCGAATCCCGGACGGGACTCAACCCAAAAAAGTATGAGAAACTGTAATTTACTAAGAAAGTGTTATCCCAAATGTAACATTTGTTACATTTGACCACTTTCTAAATGGCATTGTGTATTCACACATTACATTGACATTAACATGATTAAATGTCATTAAACAGTTGTTTCAGGTTTTTCAAAGATTTGTAGTTAACAAGATTTTATGACTTAATGTTGAGTTAATGTCAGACTTTATCTCTGTATACTGTAGTTGTGAATAGTTTCTGTTGAACACTGTTTGATGTATAGAGAGGGAGGTTGGCGGTTTGATTCCTGGCTGTGTCATACTGGTACTTACAGACTTTACAAAATGGTATTGTTGTTTCCCTGTTTGGTGCTCGGCATTAAGGGCATAAATCAAGGTCTGGTCAGCTGGGAATCAGTATGATGTGCCTGCGTGGAGTATCCATGGTAAACTGCGGCATGGTGTCTCAAGTGGGATAGACATAAGTGCTATAATGTTGAATGCAATGTTCAACCTCACCTCACCTCACCTCACCTCACCTCACCTCACCTCACCTCACCTCACCTCACCTCACCTCACCTCACCTCACCTCACCTCACCTCACCTCAGACCGCCTCCGTGGTCTAGTGGTAGAGCGTCCGCCCGGAGAGCAGAAGGTCTGGGGTTCGATCCCCGGCTGCTTCATACCAAAAGACGTTAAAAGATGATACTTGTTGTTACCCTGTCTGGCGCTCGGCATTAAGGGGCTAAAACAAGACTCGGAGTGTTGAGTGGGGTATTCATGTTAAACTGCGGCATGGTATCTCAGTGAGCTAGCACTATAAATCAGCATTAGTCCGGACTAGTACAAGCAGCCACACACACACACACACACACACACACACACACACACACACACACACACACACACACACACACACACACACACACACACACACACACACACGCATGCATGCACGTCGCTGTATGAATACAATAATCTTGGATGCGACGTTAAACCCAATTTCACCTCACCTCACCTCACCTCACCTCACCTCACCTCACCTCACCTCACCTCACTCTACACCAATAAATTAATACTAGTTACAGTTACTTCTGATATTGCTGTTCATCACTAGCTAGATGTTACCTCACAATCCAATGCAATAGTTAATGATTCCGTCAGCTTCAATAAATGTCATGTGTTTATTTCAGACCCCAACACTTGATGGGTCTGCAGCTGATCAGGGACATTTGTGGAGGGAAGCTGACCGGAGACCGAGTGGGGTCGACCGAGATCACATTCCATCCAGGACCAATCAAGGGAGGGGCCTACCAAGCAGACACGAAAACAGCAGGGTCAGAACTTGTTGTAGTCCCCCCCACCCTTGGGATCCTGGGGTAGAATAGTTCCCATCACCCCATGCTTGTTGCGAGCTGACAAGCAAAGATTCTGTATGCCATCAACCACTGACTTCATGTATCCAAGACTCAGAAATTTACAGGCTAAAGTAATACCGCAGGAACATGCATCATTTAACCAGGTTTCCTTCAGCTTTCCCCAATACCTATCTCTTCAATTAACACTATTTATATAATTACCATTTAGTAATATGGTCATGGTGCTTTTAAGCATCTGTAGGGCAGGGACATGTATTATTTATTGCTAAATGGTCTGAATTTTATAGTACGGAATAAGGGCAAACTTGGGTTACAGGTGTGCTTACGTTGCCCAGTTGGAATATAGGTTGAGAATTTGGGCTACCTCCCTTTTGCTCCATGTCATTCAAATAGGTCTAAATGAAAAATAATTTGGTTTTATTTCCATGATATGTATAGATATAGATATGTCTTCTCTTGGAAATATGTTTTTTATATTTGATACATGAAGTGAACACCACTGACAACCCACATCACTATGTTAGTTGAATAATAAATGTACAATATCGTATGATGTTTTGATGACATTCAAATTAGAACATAGAGGAAATATTTGACGGGCAGGCAAATAAGATATGTTGTGGGCAGCAATAAAATATGTTAACCAACCAGCCTGTGAACGCAAATGGAATGTTTTATTGTGTTGTTACCATGGTGACCACCTCCTGTCTTATTCCAGGAGTATCTGCCTGTTGATGCAGGCCGCCATGCCGTGTTTGTTGTTTGGAGATGGGGAGAGCACCCTGAGTCTGCGAGGGGGGACCAATGCCGAGATGGCACCGCAGGTCGACTACACCACAATGGTTAGACCTTACTTGATTCCAGATGGACCGGTGAAGATTCGTGTTAGAACAGGAACCCATGCTTTGTGTAAAAGGCGACAATGCTTGTTGTAAGAGAATAATGGAATCGGGTGCTCATACTCGCTGATTTGGTTGATGCATGTCATCGTATCTCAAAGCTCATGATATCAATCACTGGAATGTCTGGTCCAGACTTGATTATTTACAGACCGCCGTCAAATAGCTGGAATATTGCTAAGTGCGGCATTTAACAACAAAGAAAGAAACAATACAAAATTATTCAAGATGACAATACACAAATACTAAATACAAACTTGTAGACTACATTCATTAATAAACTTATTATAAACTTAATTCTTCAAGTGTTGATACATATATCAAGTTGGATAATCTTGTATACCTTTTAAATAATTATAAAGTTTCTTCTAGTTCATGGGAGGTCGGGCAGCCTAGTGGTTAAAGCGTTCGCTCGTCACGCCGAAGCCCCGGGTTCGATTCCCGACATGGGTACAATGTGTGAAGCCCAATTCTGGTGCCCCCCGCTGTGATATTGCTGGAATATTGCTGGAATATTGCTAAAAGCGGTGTAAAACTATACTCACTGACTGACTCACTCACTCTTCTAGTCCATTATTATTATTGCATGTCTGATTAAGGCTAATGTGTGGTTGGTTTGTGTCTTCACAGGTGTTTAACCCAATGGCTGAAGAATTTGGAATGACATCTGAGTGTGATATACATCGAAGGTAACCCTTGCTGGCATATATATTCTTAACCCAGATTGGGAATGTAGCCTGTTTCATAGGTCTTCAGCAACCCATGCTTGCCATAAAAGGCGACTATGCTTGTCGTAAAAGGCGACTAACGGGATCGGGTGGTCAGGCTCGCTGACTTGGTTGATGCATGTTATCGTATCCCAATTGCGTGGATCGATGCTCATGATGTCAATCACTGGATTGTCTGGTCCAGATTATTTACAGACCGCCGTCATATAGCTGGAATATTGCTGAGTTCGGCGTTAAACAACAAACAAACCAAACCAATCATGCCAAGAAAATATTGTGATGTCTGATACATTAATAGTCTTCAAATATTAAAATCCTGCTTCAAATTTTCAGAGCAGTCTTTTTTTGTCTCCACACTTTCTATGTGTTCTCCAAGCATTATTGGTCAGAATATCTCATATATGTCTACAAGTGTTACATGGTGTTTGTGTGTTGTTAGGGGCTATTATCCAAAGGGCGGTGGTGAAGTCAAGATTACATCATATCCAACCAAGAAACTCAAAGCAGTCTCCATGACAACCAGAGGAGAAGTAACCAAAGTGAACATCAGGTCATTTGTGGCAGGAGTACTGCCAATTAAGGTAAAATAATTCAGTGATATATATTTACTTTTCTGTATGTGTGCCATTTTTACTTCTTCCTTTTTATTGTGCAGAGTTGCATCCCTTGGGCACACCAGATTCTATGATTGTGGGTTCCAGTCCTGATTCACCTTGATTGTTTTTCGAGGTCTGTTAGCACCATATCCTTGCTCGTGGGTTAACCACAGTGGTAAACATGGACCTGCAGCACTAATTTGGGCTTTCCCCCACATCAAGCTGACACGCCATGATGTGACTGGAATACTTTTCAAAGCAGCGTTAAACCCGACTCACTCACACTTTCTTAATATTGATGCCAATGGAGAATTATTATCCTGTTTTGTGTCTTGTTTTCTGTTTAAGTTTAAAAAGGCTAAAAATATCCATTTTTAACCAACTTGAAAGATTTCTTATGATTTCAGTTGAAAAGGTCTTTTGTGTATCAGGAAAATCTGTAGCATTTACTCAACTGTCATTGTATCTATGGTTAGTAACTGTCAATATATCCAATCCTCCGTTGAGGTCGCTGACATAATGGCCTGCTGTGCTGTGGTTAGTAACTGTCAATACATCCCCATCAGGTCGCTGACATAATGGCCTGCTGTGCTGTGGTTAGTAACTGTCAATACATCCCCATCAGGTCGCTGACATAATGGCCTGCTGTGCTGTGGTTAGTAACTGTCAATATATCCCAAACAGGTAGCTGACATAATGGCCTGCTGTGCTGTGGTTAGTAACTGTCAATATATCCCCATCAGGTAGCTGACATAATGGCCTGCTGTGCTGTGGTTAGTAACTGTCAATACATCCCCATCAGGTAGCTGACATAATGGCATGCTGTGCTGTAGCTAGTAACTGTCAATATATCCCCATCAGGTAGCTGACATAATCTTCTGCTGTGCTGTGGTTAGTAACTGTCAATATATCCCCATCAGGTAGCTGACATAATGGCCTGCTGTGCTGTGGTTAGTAACTGTCAATACATCCCCATCAGGTCGCTGACATAATGGCCTGCTGTGCTGTGGTTAGTAACTGTCAATACATCCCCATCAGGTCGCTGACATAATGGCCTGATGTGCTATGGTTAGTAACTGTCAATACATCCCCATCAGGTAGCTTACATAATGGCCTGATGCGCTATGGTTAGTAACTGTCAATGTATCCCAATCAGGTCGCTGACATAATGGCCTGATGTGCTATGGTTAGTAACTGTCAATGTATCCCAATCAGGTCACTGACATTATGGCCTGCTGTGCTATGGTTAGTAACTGTCAATATATCCCCATCAGGTCGCTGACATAATGGCCTGCTGTGCTGTGGTTAGTAACTGTCAATACATCCCCATCAGGTCACTGACATAATGGCCTGCTGTGCTGTGGCTAGTAACTGTCAATATATCCCCATCAGGTCACTGACATTATGGCCTGCTGTGCTGTGGTTAGTAACTGTCAATGTATCCCCATCAGGTCACTGACATTATGGCCTGCTGTGCTATGGCTAGTAACTGTCAATGTATCCCCATCAGGTCGCTGACATTATGGCCTGCTGTGCTGTGGTTAGTAACTGTCAATATATCCCCATCAGGTCGCTGACATAAGGGCCCGCTGTGCTATGGTTTTTAACTGTCAATATATCCCCATCAGGTACATGACATAATACCCTGTGTTACTATGGTTAGTAACTGTCAATATATCCCCATCAGGTCGCTGACATAATGGCCCGCTGTGCTATGGACACGATCCGACAGCAGTACAAGGATGTGGCCATCAGCAAGGATGTTGTCAAGGAACCAGACTACGCTGCTGTGGGGACAGGCACAGGTATCATGTGAGTTATAGTGATGGTAATAAGATTTAGGGAGATCTTTGAAGTGCCTTTCATTGAATTATCTACTTTTAAAACTTGATCAAGGCTGTCTTATAGAAAATGTAGCTCAGCTTCAGTAATTCTTTTATCTTTTCATCATGTTCATGGACAGTCCCATCGTTCGAGATGTATTCATCATCCAAGAGAAATGTTTATCTCTAAGCTTTATTGTTGGAAAAGGGTTTGGTGGGACAAACAGTACATTATTGGCCTTTTGTTCCTCATTAAATCTCTAAGATAGTCTGTCCATTCGTCCATGTGTCGGTTACCAACATTTTGGACATAATATTTCTTCTCTGAAACCAAGCATTAGTTGGGTCTGTTACACTACTGGCTGACAGAATTCAGGTCCAACTTGGTCTGTGGCATCAGGGCATCCATATGGAAAATGTCATTTTTGACAAGAGATCTGCTCTTTAAAGTGCCAGGATGTTGAAGCATTGTTTGCAAACAATATCTGATAACCTCTGACCTTACTCTGACCACACCATGGGACAAGACTCATCAGCAGGTCAGGAAGGGCTTCTTTCCGGTAAATACCCCTGCCATGTTGATGCAACGTGATTGGCTTCATATTACCTAGTCATTTATATTTTAATCTAGGCTTTGATAAACACTGGCTTCCAATCAAGCTAGCAGTTAGTATTTTGTAACTCAAAACATGAGAGCTTTCTCTTCAATTTGTTTCAAAGAGAGGCATTACCGACTCAGTTTATTCTGTACAGGGCTTTGGATGTCGGCTTCGCTGTGCTGAGTTCTATTGTTTTGGTTTGAGAATTGAACTGTGCATGAACTAAAGGTGTGACGTCACACTCGGAAGTTATTTCATGCATTTAAAAACACCCAAAACCGTTGACGTCCAGGGCCCACTTACACAAAACGATCTTAGTGTTAAGACTATTGTCAGCCTATGTTAAAGTATTGGAGTTAAGATCATCTTAGCGCTGACATTGCTTTGTGCAAGTGGGTCCAGGCCTTTTCAGTGTGTATCATCATGAAATTTGAATACAAACATTTGATTCTTCTAGGAAATGCGGAAAATTGCATGTTCGATGTATTTCTATGGACCCTGACCTTCACATGAATAACTGTTTTAGAATAGTGGCAGAAACTAGCACAGGATGTCTACTGGCAGGATCAGGGCTGGGAAAGAAAGGTAACTGGAGGCTACTACTAGCTTGCACTATTCCATGTCTGTGCGTTGTATCAAAGTGGCAAACATTTACGTCCTGCACCACTTGTGGGTTTGGGGCCATGGGGTAGCCTAGTGGTAAAGGTCTTTGCTTGTCACACCTAAGGGCCAGGTTTGATTCCACACATGGATTGTATGTGTGAAGCCAATTCCTGGTGTTCCCCGCTTGGATATTGCTGGAATATTGCAAATAGCGGCACTCACTTCCCAAATGGAGTTGACACACAATTAAGCGTAAGTATTAATAGCTTTTTATATGTCCACTGCTGAATTATGTCTGGTCATGGATCATGGAGACATGTTTTTGTGTAGGTGTTCCTGCAGAGAAGGTGGTGTCAGACACTTATAGTCTTGCACTTGTCTGGTCGCAGATCATGGAGACATGTTGTTGTGTGTTGTGTAGGTGTTCCTGCGGAGAAGGTGGTGTCAGACACTTATAGTGTAGCCCTTGTCTGGTCATGGATCATGGAGACATGTTGTGTGTTGTGTAGGTGTTCCTGCGGAGAAGGTGGTGTCAGACACTTGTAGTGTAGCCCTTGTGGGGTCACAGATCATGGAGACATGTTGTTGTGTGTTGTGTAGGTGTTCCTGCGGAGAAGGTGGGGACGGATGCTGCTCAGATGCTGCTTGATAGCCTGGCCCACGGGGGATGTGTTGATGACCATCTACAAGATCAGGTCAGTCAGATGCTTATCATCAGGCAACACCAAATAATGCCCAATTTTCATTTTTGATCTAAATGTTGAGTTTGTTCAATCATTGATAGATGGGATTTTCCAAAGTATTTCTTCACCTAAATAACTGAGTTATTGAATATACTGTAAGATATCAACTGGTATTCCGTTTCACTATAACAAACAAGAGCCTGAGTAAGTCTAGTTTTTGTTGAAACTGAACTACAGATGACCACAAAGACTCAGCTGGGTCTAGCTGTATTAAGAGATGCGGGGCGGTCGGGTAGCCTAGTGGTTAAAGTGTTCGCTCGTCACTCCGAAGACCCGGGTTCGATTCCCGACATGGATACAATGTGTGAAGCCCATTTCTGGTGTCCCCCGCCATGATATTGCTGGAATATTGCTAAAAGCGGCGTAAAACCATACTCACTCACTCACTCAAGAGGTGCATGGTGTTGTGATAGCTAAAAGACCACACAGTTGCAATATTTGTACTACTATTACAATATCATTGCAGTAGCATGATAAGTACTTTAATTTCCAAACTATACAGAATTCCTGACTTTATTTTTCATGACAATGAGCCTAAGATGTCCCAATCTCATTAAAATCAGATTTTGGTTCTCGCTACAGCAAAACAAAGATCTGATGACATCCCATTACAGGTCACTTCAGAACACGAACATGAAGTTGACTTTTAGCCAATCAGAATGCAACTTTCTCGAGCTATTGTGCACTAGTTTAAAACTGGTGACTATGCTTTGAAAACTATTTTGACAAATTCTTGATTCAAAAATTAAAAACTAAACTAAAGAACATTCTGGAATGTAGAACAGATGGCCTAGATGGTATGGCAGTACTTCCCATGAGCAATGTAAATTCTCTTCTGTTCAAATGTTTATCCCATTGAAGCAAGAGATAGACGAGGATTTTGATTGATTTGGTCATAAAGCCTGTAACTGTTGTTCGGAATACCCCATGTTAAATGTTTTGAGGTGCATGATTAGAAAACACATTCCGACTGTCACTTTCCTGAACTGGTAAGCGACGCCCTAATTGGTCGAATGAAAGGTCATTCTGACGTGACCCCAAATGGCATGTCCTCAGATCTTTGTTTTGTGGTAGCGAGATCTGAGAACTAAGATCTGATTTGAATGAGATTGAAGATGTCCTACATGTCCTTGGTTCAGTAGATTGATAGGGAATTACAGGAGGTAGTTCTCACCAAGTCTTGTATACTTGTCACATTATTAAAAGTTAATGATGATTACAGGATAGTGATAAAATTGTTGGGTTTTTTTTTAGTATCAAAATTATTTAAATCTGATGATGCTGTCAAGTATTAATAGCTAACTTGTCATCTCATGGACAGTTGCATATAGTTGGATCTGATGTTTAACTTTACATGACATATTGTTTTACCTTACCATGACATACAGTGTTCCCTTGCTATTGCGCTCTTCCGTATAGCACTAACTCGAATAAAGCACACAGTAAAGCATGGCTCCCAAAATTTAATAACATTTTTAATAAACTCAAGTTTTCCACTGACACAATGTTTTCCCCCATCTCAGAAAACATTATCAACTGATCACCCCAATCACGTAACACCGAAAATACCAGTCAACAAATCCAAACTGAAGTACGCAATTAAATCCTATTATTATCTTATCTGGTTATAACAAAATTGTTCATTGTTTATCTGGACTAATGTTTTCAATATATCTTATTAATTACATTCAAAATTTCATTCAATAATTATAATAATGTTTACAATAATTTCAGCAAAATCGTATGCAAAGTGATCGGTAGATTGCACAACTCACTTTTATTTACAGCAGCCATGGTCAGATTACAAACTTTAGTTGCAAGAGAATGGATACACATATCATACCATGACTCGCTAAAAGTCATATTTGACGCAGTTTGACTATTAAATGTCAACATAACGTTTTCGCGATTGAAATACATGTAGTGCGGGATGTCCCATGTGACTGGTCAAATTGTTCCATGCGTAAAAAAATATCCTGCATACCACCTGTACCAAAGTGCTTAGCTTTATGGTCCTTATAATTCTAAGTATATATATAGTGGCAGCTGCAACTAAAATAACACAATATTGGAATATGTTATTCCTGATAAAATAATAATTTCAGATACAATTTCTTCTGACTATTGCGTCAAAATTCTTTGAAGTTGTATCATTTGGTATTTTTTAACTGAATCACCGGTAGATTGGGAGGAAACGTGTGCACAGCTGATTGCTATTTCTGGCTTAGTTTACGAGAAAATACACACAGTAATCTTAATCTCTGCATATAAAACAATCCCTTGTAGAGCAGGAAATACATTTTAAATGGTAAATCATCATGTGATGTTTTATATCAAATTTCATACTTTTATTGACCAAGTTTGTTATACCTGTTTATTCACCTGAATTCGCCAAAGGGATCCAATGTGGTTTTTTTAAAGTGCATATTAATACTTGATCGTGTTAGGTAGGCAGAGCATGTATACTGTTTTGTTGGTTGTCTACCACCTACGACTTGACCTCTGTTAAACTGCTGATCATCTATAACGCTCATCAATTATTTGGACCCGGAAGGTAGCTTTGTAGCGAGGGATCACTGTATTGTTTCACCTTACCCATGGCATATTGTTTCTGTTGATTTAGTTGATCCTGCTGATGGCGCTGGCAGAGGGAAAGTCAGAGGTTCTGTGTGGCCCGATCACTCTCCACACAAACACTGCCATACACGTGGCTCAGCTTCTCACTAAGGTAGGCATCACCCTACACACAAACACTGCCATACACGTGGCTCAGCTTCTGAATGAGGTAGCCATCACCCTCCACACAAACACTGCCATACACGTGGCTCAGCTTCTAACTAAGGTAGCCATTACCCTCCACACAAACACTGCCATACATGTGGCTCAGCTTCTGAATGAGGTAGCCATCGCCCTCCACACAAACACTGCCATACACGTGGCTCAGCTTCTAACTAAGGTAGCCATTACCCTCCACACAAACACTGCCATACATGTGGCTCAGCTTCTGAATGAGGTAGCCATCGCCCTCCACACAAACACTGCCATACACGTGGCTCAGCTTCTCACTAAGGTAGCCATCCCCCTCCACACAAACACTGTCATACACGTGGCTCAGCCTCTCACTAAGGTAGCCATTACCCTCCACACAAACACTGTCATACACGTGGCTCAGCTTCTCACTAAGGTAGCCATCCCCCTCCACACATACACTGCCATACACGTGGCTCAACTTCTGAATGAGGTAGCCATCGCCCTCCACACAAACACTGCCATACACGTGGCTCAGCCTCTCACTAAGGTAGCCATTACCCTCCACACAAACACTGTCATACACGTGGCTCAGCTTCTCACTAAGGTAGCCATCCCCCTCCACACATACACTGCCATACACGTGGCTCAACTTCTGAATGAGGTAGCCATCGCCCTCCACACAAACACTGCCATACACGTGGCTCAGCCTCTCACTAAGGTAGCCATCGCCCTCCACACAAACACTGCCATACACGTGGCTCAGCCTCTCACTAAGGTAGCCATCACCCTCCACACAAACACTGCCATACACATGGCTCAGTTTCTCACTGAGGTAGCCATCGCCCTGCACACAAACACTGCCATACACGTGGCTCAGCTACTGAATGAGGTAGCCATCGCCCTCCACACAAACACTGCCATACACGTGGCTCAGCTTCTCACTAAGGTAGGCATCACCCTCCACACAAACACCGCCATACATGTGGCTCAGCTTCTGAATGAGGTAGCCATCGCCCTCCACACAAACACTGCCATACACGTGGCTCAGCCTCTCACTAAGGTAGCCATCACCCTCCACACAAACACTGCCATACATGTGGCTCAGCTTCTGAATGAGGTAGCCATCGCCCTCCACACAAACACTGCCATACACGTGGCTCAGCTTCTAACTAAGGTAGCCATTACCCTCCACACAAACACTGCCATACATGTGGCTCAGCTTCTGAATGAGGTAGCCATCGCCCTCCACACAAACACTGCCATACACGTGGCTCAACTTCTGAATGAGGTAGCCATTACCCTCCACACAAACACTGCCATACACGTGGCTCAGCTTCTGAATGAGGTAGCCATCGCCCTCCACACAAACACTGCCATACACGTGGCTCAGCCTCTCACTAAGGTAGCCATCACCCTCCACACAAACACTGCCATACACATGGTTCAGCTTCTCAATAAGGTAGCCATCACCCTCCACACAAACACTGCCATACACGTGGCTCAGCCTCTCACTAAGGTAGCCATCACCCTCCACACAAACACTGCAATACATGTGGCTCAGCTTCTCACTGAGGTAGCCATCACCCTCCACACAAACCCTGATACAGCTGTAGTAATGGTGATCAATTGCAGGCAACCCCGATACAGCTGTAGTAATGGTGATCACTTGCTGTCAACCCTGATACAGCTGTAGTAATGGTGATCACTTGCAGGCAACCCTGATACAGCTGTAGTAATGGTGATCACTTGGAGGCAACCCTGATACAGCTGTAGTAATGGTGATCACTTGCAGGCAACCCTGATACAGCTGTAGTAATGGTGATCACTTGCAGGCAACTCTAATACCGGTGTAATAATGGTGATCAGTTGCAAGGCAACCCTGATACTGGTGTAATATTGCTGATTTGAGCATATACTCAACTCCCACTGACTCAGACTCTGATACTGTGACTGCTGTCTACCAAAATCAAATGCAAATGTATTGAGAGTGTTTGGCCAGTTCCCAAAGCCATCTTAGCAAAACTAGTAACTCCATTACTTGATTGAAGGTCTAAAATCACCTTGTGAAATGGGGCCCAGATTATAGAACTACAGGTGCAGACAATGTACGTTCAATGTGCAAATGGGACATTTTAGTGATTTAGTTGAATGACTTAACGATGCATCTTTGTTTTCAATGCTTATAAAATGTTCATTGCAATTTCGTTTTCACTGTTTCTTCAGGCCAAGTTCGAGATCAAGAAGCTATCAGACAACTCCAATGTCATAGAATGTGAAGGGATTGGACTTGTGAACAGCAGGTTACGATGAAGCGTGTGTGATAGTTCAACATCTGTGTGACAAGCTTCAGCCGTCCACTGATCTCCCAGCATAATAATAAAAACCAGTCACTGTAAACTCTCTACTTCTACACTAATTAAGGGAGGACTTAACTGGCTAGTGCACAACCTAAAGGAGGACTCACCTGGCTAGTGCACAAACTGAAGGAGGACTCACCTGGCTAGTGCACTATGTAAGGGAGGACTCACCTGGATAGTGCACAACCTGAAGGAGGACTCACCTGGCTAGTGCACTATGTAAGGAGGGACTCACCTGGCTAGTGCACTATGTAAGGGAAGACTCACCTGGCTAGTACACAACCTAAGGGAGGACTCACCTGGCTAGTGCACTATGTAAGGGAGGACTCGCCTGGCTAGTGCACTATGTAAGGGAGGACTCACCTGGCTAGTGCACAACCTGAAGGAGGACTCACCTGGCTAGTGCACTATGTAAGGGGGGACTCACCTGGCTAGTGCACTATGTAAGGTAAGACTCACCTGGCTAGTACACAACCTAAGGGAGGACTCACCTGGCTAGTGCACTATGTAAGGGAGGACTCACCTGGCTAGTGCACTATGTAAGGGAGGACTCACCTATCTCATGCGCTACTTAAAGGAGGATTCATCAGTCCTGTCCATTGCATCACTCCGTCACATGCGCTACTGCTACATTCTGGGATGACAATCTCAGTTTGAGTCCCAGCTGTCCAGCTGTATGGGGAAATATGTATGTCTCATTGTTATCACTCTGCACCAGCAATTTACATTTAAATAATAATAATAAACTTCAGAGGTCCTTGATAATTTACTATTAAAGGTTATTCCTACTGTGTAATAAGTGAGTTATACTAATATGTCTACAGAGTTCCCTACATTCTTTCAGTGAAGTAACCAACTTTTTGAATTCTAGCTGAGGCGATGGACAATTGATTGAAGTATTTCAGAGAAAGCCAACCATTCAGCACAGTGTCTGGTGTTGCAATTTTTCATAAACTATTTGTTTGATGTTTTGGTTGGTTGGTTTGTTGTTTAACGCCGAACTCAGCATTATTCCAGCTATATGACGGAGGTCTGTAAATAATCGAGTCTGGACCAGACAATCCAGTGATTAATATCATGAGCATCGATCCACGCAATTGGGGACCGATGACATGCATCAACCAAGTCAGCGAGCCTGACCACCCGATCCCGTTTGTCGCCTTTTACGACAAGCATAGTCACCTTTTATGGCAAGCATGGGTTGCTGCAGTCCTATTCTACCCCGGGATCTTCACGGGTCCTATTTGTTTGATATGAGCTGCTATAAATAAAGGCCATGTATAATTAATTACTAATAATATGTAAGTGGCAGAGAAGCTATGAAAAGGGTTAGGTCAGAGTGGTAACCAAAGGACTTGTATATTTTGGTAAAACATGTGATTACATGAATGTGTAATAAATTCATGATAATGTATGCAGTATGTGAGGAATTCTAAGAGCTTGCTTTGATTTGTTGGTGGGTTTGAGCTGAAAATGTTTTACGTTGTTTTGACTGTTATCATGTTTTTCAGTATTGATCATGATGAAATATATGCTTTACACAACAATGACATTTTTTGGTTATATTTTCAAGTTTATTTTTTAGTGTATGTCAAACATGTTTTTTGTTTGATGTTCAACAATGTTCCAGCTATATGACAGCGTTCTGTAAATATTTGAGTCTGTACCAGACAATCCAGTGATTGACATAATGAGCATTGATCTACACAATTAGGATATGATGACATGCATCAACCATGTCAGGGAGTCTGACCACCCGTTAGTCAGTCGCCTCTTACAACAAGCATGGGCTGCTGAAGAACAGTCCTAACCCAGATCTTCATGGGGTTGAAACATAAGTGGTAAACTGACTAAACCCTCTTGGTGCCACAGGACCATATATGGTCCCGAGAAAATGCCCTTTATAAACCGTGAATTTAGATATCAAATACGTTTTTGAAACAGCGACGTCATCACAGTGCGGCACAGCGGTATGCACGCTGACTGACATCCAGGCACCATGAGGGAAGACGTTTGGAGGGCAGAAATAGAGATTATGTCCTACTTGTGTTCTTGTATTATAGGCATAAAATGATAGATAAAATAATAGTAATTAGCAACTCATTAGGACACTCATAGTAATTATATAAATAAGCAATATGAGGGGCTAACAGAGTAAGAAATAGGTATAACACATGGGAAGATATAGGAAGGGCAGGCGATATAGGAATTGAACACAGGAGACATACTGGGTCACTGTTAACCAGGGGTGACAGTAGTAGGTCGAGGGTCGGGGTGCTAGGGCAAAACAATAAAGGTAACATAGCAAGGGAATATACAGGTTGCCAAAGACAAAATAGATTGAGAGAGGAACGTAGAGGAAATTGCCCTCGGATTCATATATGGTTTGGGGGCGGGAGGGGGATAGTACAGACTCCGGGAGTCAAGGCGGTCACATTACCACAAGTCCTAAAAAGAACCTAGGGATTAGACTAGAGTGGGCTAGGACGACCTAATGTCAGGGGAGAAAGGTGGTTGACAATGATACATGGAAACATGAGAAGAACTGTGACGTAGGTACCGGTTAAATAGGGGGAAAAGCCCCCAGATCGAGAGAGCGGCTGGGAGGACTACATCTGGACTGGTGCTCCGCTCTCGGCTTGTTGTCACGATCTTCCGAACCAGAAACCAAACTTAGGCACCAGCATTTCGACTGAGACTGAAGCTTTGCGGCCGAAGTCTCGCATTTAAGTGACAAATAGAGTGGGTTGACCGGCAACACAAAGTGGGAATAAAAGCTGTTAAACGATGTCAGGTGACGGCGTGCAGTTGTTGCACAAGCGAGGTAACGTTGCGCAGCGGTTGCGCAAGTAAAGTGGAACTGTGCGGCGGTCGCACAAGTGAAGTGACGTGGTGCAGCGGTTGCACGAGAACTTCCACTGTGAGGGAGATTACAGTCGTTGGGAGGAACGGTGCAGACGTTTGCACATCCGGAACGGTGCAGACGGTTGCACATCCGGAACGGTGCAGACGGTTGCACATCCACGGACCACTCCGGGCTTACAATGGAGGGGCTTTCGGAGAGACGAGCGGATGGTTACACCTGGACCCAGTGGTGGAGTGACGTACCAGGAAGTGATGAACAGAACTAACAATTATGACATTTTAACATTTTGTGTGGTGCCAAGTTTCATTGGACCGGGCCTGGTTAGGTAAGCAATATTTTGATGCATTGTGTTGAATACATATTGTAAAAGAACGAGATCCTTGAACATAATCATGCCACTAACACAAGACTCAAACAATAACGGTACAACTGTCGATCAACAGTGTCGGCGTGGGTCGGCTTTATTTTCTATGCCACTCACAAGTTGTAAGGTCGTTCCATCTGACCTAGTGAGCCGAGCACTTGCACTCCGGTAGCATACCAGTCTCATGGTGCCAGTACGCACGGCTTGTCGAGGTAATTGAGAAATAAGTGCTCCTAACAACCTTGAAGAAAACTTTTCCCAATGAAATTCCCCGCTCTCAATCATTGCGCTAAAAAGTGCCAATGACCTTATTGACATAAAACAACAAATGTTGAGCCATTTACTTACTTCTTACAAGTGGTCAGACATCCAACGGCTATAATTGGTCGAAACAAGGATGATTTTATCAGGGATCTTGTTCTTGGAAATGCATCTCAGAATATAAAAATATTTGTGATTACTAGACGATATTCTACACTTGCTAAAGTTATTTAGAACACAGCTTACGCTGCCGGGTCCCCTCAGTTTGAGTCAAAAGTAATCATGCAATGCACTTACTGAGTGAACAGGTGGACTAGCCCACTAATTCGCGACAATCTTCACTCCAACCAGTAAATGTTGTTAATTTGAGCCAGTACCTTCGTGCCCAAAACACCACAAGACACACACACCTACCTAGAGCCCTAGAGACACATACACAGTCAACATTTTACTGTCCTCAAAATAACAGTCATAATCCAGGGAAAACCACAATGGCAGTGGTGGCCGTTTCACCCAACAGGGAAATTTTACAAATAGAGCAGAAAGTTTCCACCATCCCCCGGGCGACAATACACGTGTGGAGGAGGTAGTATACTACACTCCAATGCAGGGTTTCGCATGTTACTCACAGGACACTTTGTGACAAAAGCCTAACCTCTCCCGGCCAGCAATCCCCCCCACCCCCCATCACTGAACCTGATACTCATGAACCATGATCTTATCAGTTGTTCTCCTGCTCCAGTAAAACAGGCAGGGGCGAGCTGGTCCGAGTTGTTTACGTTATGGCACTGATGGTATGGGCCAGTGTCTATTCACTAAAAAAACAGTTATCCCTTGAATTACGATCAATATGGTAACCATCTATATACATATGGGCCTTCAGCCCATTTAGGCAATTCATTAAGCATTATAAATGATGGCAGTTATGGGGTAGGCGCACACTGAGGTATGTTAGTACAAGAAACCCTTAGTAAAAAAAACCAATCACACAAACAAAACAACAACAAAAACAACAACATAATTTTGACAGAAACCAATAACTCCAAAAAATTTGAAAAAAGGTCCAAACCGAGATGACAGATTCAGCTTCGGAAAATTGTAGACTTGCTTCATTTTTAGGGCTATATCGTTATTTTAACTGAACTTCTCCCCGTTACATAAATACCACCAGAAGACCACGAGCATCAATAGTAGGTAGCACTGGGGGAAACATGATGTTCATAGGACCTGCAGGGGTATGAACACCGTTGTAGGACTATTAAGATAATTCTTATTATGTCAAATATTGAATCCAGTTTATTAGTTCTACTTCATGAAAAAACAAAACCACCAACAACAACAAAAAAGACCTAAAAAACCCAAAACAAAACCTACTTGATTCGTTAATCAAAAGCATTTGTTTATTTTTTTCATCAATGTCTACTGTGGTACCTCTGATATTTTCGTACAAAATTGACTTGATAAACGTTTCATGATAAAAGAGTTATATTTTGTAATATGTGATTCCGCGTTGAAAAGCATTAAAAAGGCAATTGTGTTACGCCCAATGAACGAAAATCCAAATGGTTCAGCTACAAGTGGACCAATATCTTCTTAATCTGCAGAACATAGATAAGATAATATTTATTGCAGAAACATTCCATTATGGGACTGATGCAATTTTGTAAAGATGAAACATTATGATTCATATATACATTTATACAGACATACAGAATTTACATCCCGGTAGTCACAAAAAAACAAATCAATATTACATATTTGATGATATTATTATACATAAAATGTCAACGGTTGGACAGTTCGTCACGCTGAAAACCGTGTTCGATTCCCGACATGGGTATAATGTGTGAAGCCCATTTCTGGTGTCCCCCGCCGTGATATTGCTGGAATATTGCTAAAAGCGGCGTGAAACTAAACTCACTCACGCACTCACTCAACGGTTGATTAGGATGAAGGGGTATTTATTGTTGAAAATAATAGACATGGAAACAAAGGATTGACCGGTACTCGTATCAAAGTCGTATGTGTTCAGTTCGACAGGGGTGTTACGCCTGGAACTACATTCGGCGACTACCGATCGTTATCTTAAGTTCAATTATATAAATGATATTGTTAGTGTTCGATTATTAACATACATATTGGTTTGAAACCCTGTAACGTGATGGATACGCAGACAGTTGAACATGTTGTGACTTCTTTTGATGACGAATTCGGCAAAACGACCGCCCCAGTCGTCATCCCGGGAAAATTATGGCGAAAATTGTGTCGGCTCTCCCTATTTTTGAAATGTCTTTCTGGATACATTTTTAACATGGGAGAACATTGGGGCAAAACCCATTTAGCAGACGGAAGGTTCAAAACTTACAAATGTCATCACTTCACGTTGAACCCTCCAATACTTTTTACGCCCAGCCCCCCCTGATTTGGCCGACCGTATAGGAAGGGCCCTCTATCTAGCAGCAAACCCAGGATCCCTGACCGATGTTCCTGAATCGTTAGGTATAGGAGCTGCCGTACTTTTAATGTACGGTTTATACTACGACTTACCAACTTTGGTAGTACTAGGTGTTCAGACGGAGAATTGGACGTGGACGTGGCTATCCTCTTCCAATTAACACAGCTACAGACGGACATGGGGGCCGACCTACAGAGTTATGAAGAAATATTCTGGCAATTAGTGGATATTCCTAGATCAGTCATCGGACGAACTCTGTCCAAACCAATTACGCCGGAAGTACTGAAAAGTTTAACAATGGGAAGGGGCCATCTTCCTTTTAGACGATCACAATTTGCGTTGCGGCATGTCTTGACGCGATGCGCCCTTTGTTATAAAGACACATTTCCGATTAATGATCCAGGAACAAATTTTCCAACAGTAACATTTTGCAAATGGTGTCGCCGGATACAACACGTGGAATGTGCAGCCGCCCTTCTAAAACAGTCTGGCTTATCCTATCGCATAGTGACGCTCAACGCAGGGACACCAAATGCCCGACAGTATATAGAACTTGACTTCCCTACTAGCCACTATTCGGAGGCATTCGAAGTGCAGCCAGGGTTCATGGAGGGTCTTGTTCCTCCACCTTTAGACCTCAGATTCAATTTAGATCAGTGTTCAGTCTGTAGGGTACCTTTCGGCTTTGATTTCATGGAGGTGCCGAGCGAAATTCCACCTCTATTGAACAAGAATCCGGCCTTCACACCGCCCAAACATCCCCTCGATAGATTCGACGTAAGGACCCTCTTGAATTATTTCAGATCGTCAACAGTACGAATACGACCGAGAAAACCGGTACGAATATATTTAAGCCAGTCGTCCCCTCCAATAGAATTTCCAAAAAGGTTGATGGATGAGACCAGACGCCTCACAGGTGCGCTCCATCGTAGACTCGTGGAGACGAGGGCGCTACAAATTAGACTGTTCTACCCTCCTCAAAGGTCAACCTTTTCGGACGAATATTGTTGGAACAAGGGGGTATCATGTACTCGGTTAGCAGACTGGTTGAATCAGGACAATGGCTCAAACGAAACATAACATAGTTGTGCGGCAATAAGAATCGTCTCACAGAGAAGTCACACATAATCAAAGCGTTTACGTCTCTTAACTCTATAACGTATAAATGTCGTTTCGTAAGTAACGTATTCCTTGTGTCCATCTATGTATTCTGTGTTATTTATTGGTATTGAGGGTGTACCCATGAATATATATTCGAAGATTATTACTCCTATTGAAACTGAATCAGTGCAAATCTTGTGCAAATATATGCAAATATGTGGCTCATTGTTATTAGAATCATGCCAATGTTTGTGTATTAGACGTGTATATCTATTGAAATTGTATTCACGTGTGTGCGTATTTTCTGCAATTGTTCAAGGTCTACCAACACTATGGTCACAATTATTAATTTAAAAAAACAAAACAGTACGTAACAGAACAAACCAACCTGAACCAACCCAGATTCCCACGGCACTCTACCTTAATAGTGTGAGGACACACTCTTCGTCAGACCGGGGGTCGTATTATAGGCATAAAATGATAGATAAAATAATAGTAATTAGCAACTCATTAGGACACTCATAGTAATTATATAAATAAGCAATATGAGGGGCTAACAGAGTAAGAAATAGGTATAACACATGGGAAGATATAGGAAGGGCAGGCGATATAGGAATTGAGGAGCAAAGGAGACATACTGGGTCACTGTTAACCAGGGGTGACAGTAGTAGGTCGAGGGTCGGGGTCCTAGAGCAAAACAATAAAGGTAACATAGCAAGGGAATATACAGGTTGCCAAAGACAAAATAGATTGAGAGAGGAAACGAAGAGGAAATTGCCCTCCGATACATATATGGTTTGTTTGGTTGTTGTTGGGTTTGTTGTTGTTTTTTTTGGGGGGGGGATGTAGTACAGACTCCGGGAGTCAAGGCGGTCACATTACCACAAGTCCTAAAAAGAAGTTAGACAAGAGTGGCCTAAGACGACCTAATGTCAGGGGAGATAGGTGGATGGCCAATGACAATGAAAAAAATGAGTAAGGCCATGACGTAGGTCGGGAGTAAAAAAACAAGGAAACGGGAGGTTCGGGACGGCTGGAGGATCCCACTTGAACACTGTGGTCTCGTTCTAATATTCGGAAAAGAAACATACAAACCTCCAGTATTTTGACTAGGGACTGAAGCCTTGCGGCCGAAGACTCTTAA